ATCTCAGCCAGTAAACACTTTTTAAAAAATAAATTATTATTGTTATCTTCTGTTTCTTATATCATTATAGTTATCCAAGTATTCTTTCGCCTTCTACTCCCAGAGAGTCATTCCACATAATAAATAACATATTTTTTGAGAGGGGAAGAAAATCATTACAACTACTTAATGTACTGAAAAAGCCTGAAAAAATGCACAGTGTGTAACACCTGTGGACTTCCTACTTCCATTAATGGGTGGGTTAAAGGGGTATCATCTCATATCTCTTCAGTTGAATCCTGTTTGAGCTTTATGATTTTGTCCATTTATTTTGGGGGTTTTGGTATGTAGTTCTTTCCATTTACATTGTTTTAGTTATTGTTTATATTTTCCTGGCTTTGCTACTTCACTCTGCATCAGTTCATAAAGATTTTTTCATGCTTCTCAGTACTTATTACACCCACTATTTCTTGTAGCCCAGTGATATTCCATTGTGTTTATGTACCACAGTTTGTTTAGCTAGTCCCCAATCGATGGGCTTCTATTTTGTTTCCAGTTGTAACTTTCACAAAAAATGCTGCTTCAAATATTTTGGTGTTTATGAGGACTTTCTTCTTATCTATGGCTTTGTTGGAATGTAAGCCCACAGTCTCTGGTTCAAAGGTTATGGACAGTTTGGTTACTTTATTTGCGTAATTGCAAATTGCTTTCCAAAATGGCTGTTTCACAGTTACACCAACAATGAATTAGTGTGCCTGTCATTCCACGATCCCTTCAACATTGAGTGTTGCTATTTTTTGATCATTTTTGCCAATTTGCAAGTGTGAGTTGAAACTTTAGGATTATCTTGATTTGCATTTCCCTTATTATTAATGAGTCAGAGCATTCTTTAATGTGACTGTGAATACTTTACAATTCTTCTTCCAAGAACTGTTGGTTCATATCCTTTGACCACTTAACTCTTGGAGAATGAATAAGTCTATAAGTGTTTGATCTTGTTAAACATGGAGAGATGGAAGCCAAGGACAGCACTGGTTTGGAATATAAAGACATTTTTAATATCTTAAGGATAATGGTGAAAAATTATGAGCAGTATTGCCTCATAAAGCAGCAAGATGCAGTTGAAGTAAAAACAAGCTTATAAAAAGTTTGACAAGGGAGCCATCTGATAAAACTAACCTGAGAATATTTTGAGGATGGAACTTAATGGATGATAACACATGAAATAAAGTGAAAAGATACATACAATTTTTTAAAACAAATTCTCTTCATTGAAAATAACAGTGGTGCTATCACATTTGGACTTTTAACATCATAGTTTCCAATATTCTGCACAGAGAACTAGAAATTATACTAAAGAAAGCAAAGATGGGAAGGATCAATTAGACTGGGTCAGTCTTGCACAGAGAGACCCATGCTGGGTGTTCAATTTTGAGGGCAAAGGAATACCTTTTCAAGATATTTAAAAGAGGAGACTACCCAGTGCTTGAGAAAAAAATCTCATTATTACTACAAAAAGTTACTGAGACAATATCAAGCAATCAGTAAAAATTTATTGTGTTCCTACCATGTGCCACGGCATTGTGCTAAGTGCTGGAGATAGGAAGAGGCAAAAAACAGCCTCTGCCCTAAAGGAGCTCACAATCTAATGGAAGAGACAACAAACACCAATACAAAAAGTTATATCTAGGAAGGCATAGAATTAAGAGGGGTTATGAAAAGCTTTCTGTCGAAGATTGGATTTTAGTTGGGACTTATAGGGAGCAGAGAAGCCAATAGGTGAAGGTGAGGATGTCAATAACTAACAGCCCATATGTTGATTTTGCTGTGCATAAACACATATTAGGACAATAATCTATATATACATTGAAGACATACTTGATAAAGGTATGAGAAGGGAACAGGTATATTTTCACAAGTGATATTCTACAGCTGACCGCATTTTTAGTGTCACAAAATTGACTGAAAGTTACAGAGAAAAGAGGATCCCATGGGCTTATTTTTTGTTGAATATAAAAATACATTTGATTCAGTCCATTGCAGTGCCACCTTTAAGGCTCTGTTCTAACAAGGTGTTTCTCATGCAGATGTCAAAATTATGTAAATTCAAGATTCCTTCAAAAATGTTTCAACAGAGAGAACTTTGACCATTTAATTATTAATATCAGATGAGGAATTAAACAGGGTAATATAATTGCCGAAGGTGTTTGTAACCATCATGGAAAATGTCTGTTTTCAGAATCCAAATGGAAGAAGGATTTCTTCTAGATGGCAGGGTTCTTCAGATGCTTTTGTTTGCCGATTTATAAATGTTTTAAGATTTGGAAAGCACTTCACGTATATTATCTCCTTTGATCTTCATAACACTTCTGTAAAATAGGTGCTATTATTATCCCAAATTTCCAAATGAGGAAATTGAAGATGATAGAGATTAAGTGATTGACTCTGGGCCACACAGCTAATAAGTGTCTGAGTTAAGATTTGAACTCCAGTCTTCTTGACTCCAAGCCCAGCACTCTATCCACTCCATTACCTATCTCCTTTAGTAATACTGTGCCAATTGCTTTAAACCCCCCAAATGAGTTTCAAATCCTCCTAAATGAGTTTTGTAGTTATTTAAGGGTTGGGCCTGACTAGTCACCAAGGAAGAACCAAGTGGGTAAAGAATCCTTATTGTCTAGAATGTGATATACAGTTGGATGGACGGCAGAGAGAGCTGGTCCATCAGTATAGCGTAATCTGTCCCCATTATTCTGAATGCTCTTCCTCTTTGTCCTCCATCTCTTAGAAATTCCTCTCCTATTATTGTATGTACTTATTTGCCTGCATTTTGTTTCTACTCATGAGAACGTTAATTTCTTGAGGAGAGGGATTGTTTTGGTATTCCCAGTTCCTAAGGGAAGTGGAAGACTGGAAGACCATCAGCCTAGGTGCTGAAATCATGATGGAGAGGGGAAAAGGGTGGCATATGTCAGTGACAGAGATGAAGTCAGTCTATCAGATGGCTTAAAATTCAGAGCAATATGTGGTGTTGGAAGGTGGTTGCAGAGCAAGAAGCTGGCTTTGGGTATGGAAAGCAAGGACTATGCTAAAACTTTTACAGGCCCTGTGCGATAGGGCAAGTGGGAATGGAAGGGGACAGACTTGGAGAAGTTTACCAGAGAATCCTCATCCACAAACACTTTTTAAAAATAAAATTTTTATTGTTATCTTTTTTTTTACATCATCATAGTTATCCCCAGTATCCTCTCAGTTTCCCCTCTCAGAGCCATCTCATTTAACAAGTGATGTTGTTTAAAGACAAAAAAAGAGAGAGGAAAAAAAAATGAGCACAACTGATAAATATGTTGAAAAAGTCCAAAATGAAAACCACTTTTCAAATAAGAGGGGAAGGTAGAGGGAAAAGAGAAAGGGTGAAGGGAGGGTTTGACATTGGAATGAGAGGAAGTATTGAGACGCAATGGGAAAAAGTGAGTAGAAGATAGTACCCATGGTGGGGGAGAGCTGAAGGTGAATAAGAGTCAGTATGAGAGTAGAAAGGTAGCTGCAGAAAAGGTGGTGTACCTGGATAGGGTTTAGTGGGATAGGTAGTTAGGGTAAACTAAAGGGGCATATTTAGTGATAGGAGGAGGACAGATATTAAGTAGATAGAGATGGTTAATGGAGACACTTATAGGATTATAACTTTGTTTTAACAAATATTTGCACAGTATTATGGAATGTCTCATCGAGATTTTGTATCTTAACCATTGTTAAGAATAGTACATTTAGAAAACAGTATGCTTAGTGCTAACCAGCTGAATTACGAACTAAAAAGTCATTTGAAGGATGATATGAGAACCTAACCATTATTTATAATATTGTTTTTATTGGAATATCTGGGTTTGGGAGAGTTTTTGAGTTGGGAATTATCTATATAAAGACAACTCTAGGAACATGGAATTTTACAGTATAAACTCTTGGGAAAGATAAAGCTCTTTCCTGGCCTTATGCACATGTATGTAGACCTGTACAAATTATTTGCATGACATAAAATGGTTGACTGATGAGTTCACAGGATTTTCCTTGACCCGGAATTGAAACTTGAACCCAAAGGGAAAGCATTTTTTTGAAAAGCATAAATTGAAATGTTAACATTTAAAATTGGCCTAGTAAATTCAGGGACGGGGAACCTGCATTCTGGAGGCCACATGTGGCCCTCTAGGTCCTCAAGTGCAGCTCTTTGACTGAATCCAAACTTCACAGAAGAAATCACCTTAATAAAAAGGTTTGTTCTGTAAAACTTGGACTCAATCAAAGGGCTGCGCATGAGGACCAAGAGGGTCACATGTGGCCGTGAAGCTGCAGGTTCCCCAACCCTTCATCAAATGTAATTGTTTTTAGATATTATGGATCTATTATTTGAAGTCAAATGTTCTTCATCACATAATATCTTTGTACCAAAATGACAACTGTAGCATTTAAGTGTTAGAACAATGCATTCTGACCATGAGCTATGTAATGCTTTATGGTGTAAATAACTTTAGTACATACTTTTATCTGCTCTGATAAATGTTTCAACAAAAGAGTTTGTTTTTTTTTAAACTACAGGATAACATTTTAAAATTTGATGTTAGTATATTTAAGTTGTCCCTTTTCTGCTCTACTCCCTTTTTTGTTTCAAAATAATAAGATAAGTTTCTGACATATTTACATTTTCTGCATTTTATTATATTGGGTGGTGAATTATTAAATAATTTGCAGATGCAATCTTTTTTAATAATTTATACCTTTATTTTTTCTCTGAGTGTTCTACAGGATATTTGATTGCTTCTATTCCATTATATTGATGGTATTTAATAATAATGTATTTGATGATATATTTGAATATTTGAATTTCTCTTGTTAATTTACTAAGCAAAAAGTTTTGTATCAAACAAAGCGACCTGTTATTGAAAGAAAAAGTGTATCATTGGTATTTGAGTTATCTTTTACTTATATAATTCAAAATCTGAATTTTTTTGTTTTTTATTTTTTGGCAGACATTTTTGGCTCTTATAAACCAAGTGTTTCCTGCAGAAGAGGATAGTAAGAAGGATGTGGAAGATAACTGTAAGTAATAAGGAAAAAAAAAACAAAATAAGATAGGTCAATAGATGTTGAAAAAGAAGATAATCAATGATTTTTTAACTAGGTTATTGTACTTTTTAACTTGAGTAGTAATGTTTAGGATGCTAATATTTTACTATGCTTGAACTGAAGTTTTGTTGAGTCATTTTGAAATTTTATCTTGAGCAAAGTGAGTATTTTTGGAGTTGTATTTGTAGTTCAGTAATTTTGAATGCTAAATTAGATGGAAAAATCAACTTCATAGAAATTAGCTCATAAGTCTAGTTGATGTTATGTAGTAACTAGTAATTAATGTCAGAGCATTTTGTACACATGATATGCAATGTAAATATTACTTATGTACGATTTGGTTTGCATAGAAAGATGATTTGTTTTTTAGTCAACTGGTTATTATTTCTTCCCTTAAGATCAGACAGAAATTATATTCTAAATAGTGTAAGGAATTAAGAATCTTGTTAAATAACTATCATAGCATTTGTATCATGGGCTTTTTAATATTAGCAGTCAGTGCTTATAAAAATCTTAGAATATTTTTCTTTCACTGACTTTTAAAAATCACATTTGACTAAGCATGGAAAGTTTAAAATCTGAGGGAAATAATGCAAGTTCCAAGAAATAAGAGAAAAAACACAATGCATAGTATTTATTATGTAGGCTTTCTTGAAATGGAAATTTATTGCTATATTTTTTGAATCCTCTCTCACATTCTGCTGTGCACGTGATATTTTTTCTTTTCTTATTTTGTATTTATGTTTCAGTATTTAGGTTTATGTTTCAGTATTTAAGTTTATGTTTCTTTTTTTTCTTACTGTGTATTTAAGTTTTAATAATAAAAAAAATAAGAGAAAATATGGAGATAAACAAATTTAGGAAAGGAGGGTGAGTTGTGTTCTAATCAGAGAGTATTTTCTGCAAAGAAGTAAAATTAAAAAGAAAGGAGAATGAAGAAACCATAACCTCCCCATACAGAAGAAAGAATAAATGAGAATGTTCCCTTAAAATTTGTTAGAGTAGTTAGGAGTGACAGGCAATGTGTCATGGTGGATAGAGGGTTTGTCTTGGAAACATTAAGACCTAGTTTAAGTGCCATCTCTGACACATTTTAGCAGTGTGAGGGCCCATCAGTTGATCTTTCAGTACCTCAGGTAACTGATTATAAGCTGCATCTGTATGAGTGGAGACACTCTCCATAAAAGTAGTTTTCAACCACCGTCAAATCATAGGTCAGTACTAAAAATGAAACGAAATAAAAAACCCAAGAGCAGTAATTAACTTTTTTTTTTCTTTTTGGCGAGGCAATCAGAGTTAAGTGACTTGCCCAGGGTCACCCAGCTAGTAAGTGTCAAATGTCACCTAGCTGCCCCTAACAATTTAGTATTTTTTTTTTTTTTTGGTGAGGCAGTTGGGGTTAAGTGACTTGCCCACAGTCAGACAACTAGGAAATATTATGTGTCTGAGGCCGGATTTGAACTCAGGTCCTCCTGACTCCAGGGCCAGTGCTCTATCCACTGCGCCACCTAACTGCCCCAGTAATTAACTTTTGTATGGGGTATAAAACTCAGTGCTTTTGTGTGATTTTTCTAAATCTTCATGTATCTAATAAATTGCAAACTGGTTGCATGAGATACTTTTGTTTAATTTACATTTTTAAAGTTGCCCTTCTCTGATTATTTCATCTTGTGTTTGTGTATAATTACTTTATTTCTCTGATTTTCTAGTGGAAAGAGTACTGACCTTGGAATCAGAGAATCTAGATGCGCACACACACACCCACACCCACACACACCCCTACACCCACACCTACACCCTCTCACACACACACACACACAGCTCTGCTTTCTGTGTGACCTTGGGCAAATAACTTAGCCTCTTTGGGTCCATGTTGCTTCATATCTAGAATGAGGAGATGGAACTTCTAAGGTTCCTTACATTCCTATATGATTCTATGACACCAATGTTTTACAACTTTATGCTATATACTCCATGTATATGAATGTCTCGTTTTATGATGCTGTATGTACAACAACTGTTTAATATATGTCAACTGTTTTCATCATTGCCAGCCTGTACAACTAACTGAGTTGTACTCAACTGAGTTGAGTATATACCACTGAGTGTGGTATATATACTTATGATTCCTATTTGGGAAACTCTGTCATAGGCTATGTAAATGATTCACCCTAAACTTTTCAGGAAGACGAACATGCGTTCAGTAGATAGGCCCAGGTTTCACAGCTGACGAGGTCACTCTATTACTTCATTAGATCTTTTGTCTCAAGTTTGATGCCAGACTGTCTGGTTGTCTGCCAAGTGATACATTTGCTTTGTTTTCTGCTTCCTCATGGAGTGAATGTTAGAATGAATTCCTCTTATCTACGTCAATGTGATACTGTAATGTACTTCGAAGTCTTAAAAAAAAGCTTCTTTTGAAATAGAAATACTTTTATTGCCATTTGGAATACCTTGACTGCTTTCAGTTCTATGCTTTGAAGAAAGATTTTTGGCTTTCTCTAGCATTTTATTTGATAAAGATTAGTATGATGATCCTATTTATTCTGGTTGATTATTAGGCAGTAATCAAGGAATATAAAAATATGAAATATTTATTTTTATAATAGATCTTCATAATAAAGATATGTAGTATGCCTTCACAGAAAACAATGATACTTTTAGGTATTAATTGTAAGATACACACGAAGGCATAAGCATGCATAGCATAGTGCAGATGATAGAGAGTTGGACTTGGAGTCAAGAGCTCCAGGGTTCAAATCTCATTTCTTAATCATATTGTCTGTATAAATCTAGGCAAGTCACTTAACCTCTTGGTGCCTCAGGCAACTTTAATAAGTTGCTTTATTGATGTGGAAGTTTTCTCATTAGTCTCTACATCGATGGAATCGTGGATTTTCTCTCTCTCTATGTGTCTCTTACTCTCCCCTTGCCTCTTCCCTTCTCCATTTCTCTCATGTGTGTGTCTATGTATGAATACTTATATGAAGTAATTAATCTTATAAATGGATTCCTATTTACTGGAGGTTGAAGCTGATAGATTATCTAGTTCAACCTCTTTTCCAAAAAAAGACTTCACTTAGCAATTACTTTCAATTCAGCAAATGCTTGATTGAGTACTGTTTGCAAGGTATTGTGTTCTCTGTTGTGGGATATACAAAGATAACATAATTCTTGCCCTGAAGGAGTTTATAATTGACTGGGTGAGATAACACATGTCTGTAATCGTATTACAAGGCTTTCTGTATTATAGCCAGTACCAAAACCATGTACAAAGGAGGAAAAGATCCCTTTGAGCTGGAGAGGAAGATTAGAGAATCCTTCATGGCAGATGTAGTATTTATAGAATTTCAACAGACTGAAATGGGAAGGCATTCCAGTCAAAGAAAATGACTTTAAAATAGATACATAGGTGGGAAAACTCAGGGTACACTCATTGTTGTTTGGTCATTTCATTCATGTCCAACTCTTTGTGACCTCATTTGGACTTTTATTGTCAAAGATACTGGAGTGGTGTGCCATTTCCTTCTCCAGCTCATTTTACAGATGAGGAAACTGAGGGTTAAGTGACTTGCTCAGGATCACATAGGTAGTAAGTTTCTGAGGCTGGATTTGAACTCAGATCCTTCTGACTCCAGGCCTGGCGCTGTATCCACTGCACCATCTAATTGCCTAGGGAATGTTTAATCTTTTAGTTTGGACCATAAAGTCAGTGGAGGTTATGGTTGAAATATAGATCAATCAGATTGTGGAGAGCTTGGATGTGAGGCTAAGACATTTTGATCATGTTTGTATATAATAGGGAGCCACTGAAGATTTTTGAGCAGTGGAATGACATGTTTAGACCACTCTTTTAGGGAAATCAGGTAGGTGTCAGAATACATTGGAGTGGGAGAATGACTGGAGTGGAAAGATAAGTTTAGGTATGAAGTAATGAAGATATTGGGAATGGACGGAAAGAGACATTTGCAAGACACGCACACATTTTGGGGTGAAGGGGAGACAATTGGTATTAAATGACTTGCCCAGAGTCACACAGCTAGTTAAGTATCTGAGGTCACATTTGAACTCTGGTCCTCCTGACTCTAAGGCTGGTGCTCTGTCCACTGCGCCACCTAGCTGCCCAAGATGCAAGACATATTAAGAAGAGGTAGAATTGATAAACAGAAGGAAAAAAGCAAAGATAAATATAGGATTTTGGTACATGGGACACTGGCAAAATGATTGTCCATGAACACAAATAGGAAAGTTAGGAGCAGGAGCTAGTTGTGGGTTGGTAACTGAGACAGGAATGGAAATTAGTCCAGTTTTGGACAGAGTGAAGTTGAAGTATTAGTGGGGGCATTCAAGTATAGATGCTTTTTAATAGGGTAGTAAGGAATCTTGGGGGAGGGGATGGGGGAGGGAGATATAGAGAAAGAGCATGCACTATTTGGAGATATAGAATATAGACAGGAGATATCTGCATGGTGTAATAATGTAGTGTAGAAATGGTGTAGAAATAATCTTTAAACTAGAGCAGGAGTGGGGAACCCGTGGCCCTTTGACTGAATCCAAACTTCACGGAACAAACCCCCTTAATAAAAGGATTTGTTCTGTAAAACTTGGACTCAGTCAGAAGACTGCACCAAAGGACCTAGAAGGCCACATGAGGCCTTGAGGCCACAGATTCCCCATCCGTGAACTGGAGCAAGTCAACTTTAGGACTGTCCTCAGATCTGCTACTTTATATCTGGATGATCTTTGACAAATCCCTTAACTCTTTGGGATATTATTTTTATCATTTCTGAATGGTAGTGCCTTTCTTCTGAGATTACCTCTGAGTTATATACTGTTTATATCTTGTTTGTATGTAGTTGTTTGCATGTTGTCTCTCCTGTTAGATTATGAGGTCCTTGTGTGCAGGGACTGGTTTCAACTTTCTTTGCATCCCTGGACCTCAGCATCGTGCTGGGCACATAGTAGTTACTTAATAAATGTTTGTTAACTAGTTGATCTTTAAGAATTGACTAGATCTCAATTTCTCTGCTTTATATTCTAAATGCCAGGGCTGATTGTTAATGGCAGACATTTATATTCCTTTTTAAGATTTGTAAAATACTGTTCCTGCCTTCTCATTTGAATCTCATAAAAACCTGTGAGATAGGTACCCATCATTTTACAGATGATGAAACTGAAGCTCAGAAAAATTATGACTTGCCTTTATTCCCAAAGCCAGTAAGCATGGGAGATGGCATTTGAATTCAAGTCTCTCCTGACTCCAACTGCCTCACTCTTTCCATTTCATTATCTCTCTATACCCAACCTAATTTGGATTTGAATACACACATTATAGTGATATTTTAATTTCATTAATTCTTTTCTTTTTATTTTAATCAACAAGTATTTATCATTACACCTAATGAAATGATCTAAGAGGTCTTTACACAACACTTAGCACAATTCCTGGCACTTAAAATGCTTGTTGACTGACCAAAAGAGAGCAAAATCTCTTCTTTGCATCACTGGAAGGAATTTCCTATACTGATGAAAATCACTGGTTTGGACAAAAGAATGTAATCTAATTTTAAACTGAATGGTGCAAATAATAACTAATAGAGAACTTTTATCTATTTGTTTTAAAATAAAAACAACTCTTGTATCAGATTATACTGTACCATGGTTTAAAAATGATTGATTTAATAGCAAAGTTAACAAATCTGTTTCAGTATTGGTCAGAACTATTCAGTTTCAGTTCTTTCATTTTCTTTTTTTCCCCAACATAAATTAATTTCCACATGTTTTTGTTTCAGGCTCACTGATGTACTTAAATGAAGCCACACTTCTCCATAATATCAAAGTACGATATAGTAAAGACAGAATTTATGTAAGTATTACAAATGCGTCTAATTGTTTAAAATTTTATGTGTGAATTATTTTACATCACATTATATAGTTTTATTCTATTTCTGTTTAAAAAATAATGGAACATCTATAGAATTGAAGTTTATCATTCTTTTATTATTAAAATGATTCAAATTGAAGATAGTAAATCTGTAGTGATTCATGTGTTTAATACTTTCTATATACTAGTATACCAATACATTACTCAGAATATACTGTATACCTACTTAGAAAAATCTGGAATGTTAAGAAAATGTATCAATTAGATTTTTCTTTTCAGTCTTACATTTGAGATTTCTATCAGATCACTTAAATGTATCATTATTTGTCTTCTTGTACTCTTAATTCAGAAAGAAACGATTAATTTGATTTAATTCTGAATATGGGCTAGAAGTAAATTACTGTCCTGGCTGTAGATAAATTACTTTGCTAAAAGTTCTGCTGCTGCTAAAGATGAACTTCTTTCTCTTCATTATTTTTGAACGATGAAAACACATGGCTTCTTTGACACCTCCTGGATCAAATGACCATCTTAATCTTTTATATTGCTATCAATTTGCCATTTGTAGTTACTTAATTATGACTAAATTACATTTGGTCTTTGCCATCTGCCCAAACAGTGACAGCTGCTAAACAGAACTAATCTAGCCTTTACCAAGACATGCCACCTACTAGCTTTCAATTATTTAGTTTTGCAGCCTCATTTTTTTCCTTAAAGGAGACGTTCGTTTTTCATGCCAAGAAAAAAACAATAGATTTAAGATGATTATTTATAGGTTAAGTTTAGTTGTCTGGATAAAACAAAATAACATGTATATTTAATAAAACCAAATGTTACAATTCTAATATACAATTTGAAATAATCTTTATTCACTTACCAAGTAAGTCTCTTAGGCATATTTAAACATTATCGTTTTATTAGCGCCTTTAATTTTTATGTAATAACACATCACACTAATTTCCAAAAATATCCCCCTTTCCCAAAAGGGAAAAAGCAGTTGAGCATAACTAAGTAGCATTTCCACAACATCTGAAAGTATATGTAGTATTCCTCATCCATAGTCTCCTACTTCTGTAGAAAAAGGAGGGTGATAACATTTTCTCAGCTTTTTGCAGGGTCAGATCTTAGTCACTAAAATTACACAGCATTCAGTTTCATTTCATTGTTTCATAATTTATGTTGTTGTAATTGGCATATATATGTTTTTCCTGATTCTGCTTAATTCATGCAGCATTAGTTCATATAAGCCTTTGCATATTTTTCCAAATTATTTGTTTTTGTCATTTCTTGTAAGTACAGCAATATTCCATTATTGTTTATGTCACTATTTGTTTAACCATTCCCTGATCAGTGGATACTTTGTTTCCAGTTTTTTGGTACCACAGAAATGTTTCCTATGAATATTTTGGCATATATGGCACCTTTCTTTGACCTCTTTTGGAATTTTTGGTCACTTTCTTAAAAAAGTGTAATTCTTAATTTCTTTCCAGAAATGTTGAATCAATTCAAAGTTCCACCAGCAGTGTGCTAGTGATCTGTATTTTCACAGCCCCTCCAATATTGACTATTTTAATCTTTTTTCCTCTTTGCTAATTTGTAGATGTGAAGCAAAACCTTCAAGTTGTTTTGATTTCCATTTCTCTTGTGAATGATATGGAGTAAAAAACTATTTTGATTCTTTATAGTTCACAATTCTTTGTGAACTGTTTGTCCATATCATTTGACCATTTTTAGGGGGAATTTTTCTCTTGGTCTTATCTATTTATGCTATCCTTATGTATGAGCATTAGGTATAGATTTTTCTAGTCAACAATTTCCATTGTCCTAGCTTCATTGATCTTGTGTAGAGACCTTTCAATGTCATTTAATGAAAAGAACCTTTTTTATATCTTTTGTGATCTGCTTTATATCTTAATTGGTTAAGAATTTTTCTTCTAGCTGTTTTTCTGAAAGTTACCTCTACCCACTTTCCTCTAATTTTCTTTATGATGGGACCTTTTATATTCAGATAAAGTATCCATTCATGGTAATTATAAATAATTCTTATATTAGCATTTGAGGTAAAATGAAAAATAGTAGAAAGACAGAAAATGGTTAAAGCAGGAGAATTGTCTTTTGTTTCTCTTGATTGCATTGCCTGTTTTAGTATTGTTGAAGTATTTTATAAGAAGCAGTTTTTAATTGTTGTAGAAGTTTCCTCTGGTAATTTGAAATTTTACTAGAACATTTTGTCCCATGGTTTTTGCAGAAATATGAGTTGTCATAGAATGAACCATTGATCCAGAACCAAAACCATTTAGGTTGGCCTAAAAATATTGAAAGAAAATAAAAACAAAATTAAAATATTTAAATGAACATTTCTGAGGATAGCTTTATTAAATTGTTAATGCCTTTAGGACAGGTAGCGTATTAACTTGGAGCTTTCGCCAGCTTTCCATTGCATATGGTTCTGAAATATTAATGCATTTAATGGTGTGGATAATTAATCTCAGAATTAGTATAGAATTAGTTATAATTTCAATTAAAATGGATCTGCAGTTTTTTTCTTCGGCCAGTGTAAGTGATTTTTGGTTCTTGATCAAAGATTCAATGATGACTTATGTGGCTTATGAAAATTGTCTTGTGTGTGTAGTGGAAGTTTTAAAAAGTTTCACTAGCTGACATTTATGTATTTGGTTTTACAAATGAGAAACTCTGCCTGCAACTTCCTTTCTTTCTTTTCATCATTTGTAATGCCCTTAATGGCTTGACTGTCTGAATGGCCAGTTAATTAACAAGCATTTATCAAAAGTCAGTCAGTAAGTATTTAAAGTTCCTACTATGTGCCAGACAATTAAGTCCTGAGAATATAAAGAAAGGCAAAAGATAGTTCTTTTCCTCAAGGAATTTGTGATCTAATGGGAGAAGAAAATAAATAGAAAGGAACTGAAAAAAAGGTAAGGGAGAATACTGGACACCACTGATAATGAAGTTCAGAGGAATGCAGTTGGTTGGGAAATGAAGAGATGGTTTTCTTGGAGGCTCTTCTTAAATGGAGGATCTTGGAGAAGCTGTCAGATGTCCACCCTTCACCCACTCTAATCAGAGGGAGAGAGGGGCCCCAGGAGCAGGAGGTACTAAAGAAGTGTGAGTTTCAGTGTTTATGTATTTCTCATTCTGCACTTTAGAAAAAAAGTGTGCATTTAGGGTCATCTGTTGTTTGCCAAGAGATGGGAAACAGGTTTCACCAACAACCTTGTGGTATCATGATTGATTATTGGATTCATCAGAGTTCTTTCAAAGTTTTTTTTCCTTTACTTATAATTATTATGTAACTTGCTATCTTAGTTCTACTTACTTCATTCTGCATCAGTTTGTACAAATTTTTTTCAGGTTTCTCTGAATCTATCCCTTTCATCATTTCTCACAGCCAAATAATATTTCATTCTTTTGTATGCCACAATTTTTCACTTATTGGCCTTTTTTTTTTTTTGGAGGCAGTTGGGATTAAGTGACTTGTTCAGTGTCACATAGCTAGTAAGTGTCAAGTGTCTGGTCTGAAACTGGATTTGAACTTAGGTCCTCTTGACTGCAGGGCCGGTGCTCTATCCACTGTGCTACCTAGCTGTCCCCACCCATTGTCCATTTGTGGGCTCCAATCACTTTGTATTATTTCAGCTTTAAGTACTCCACAAAGTTTCAACTGACTCTGAACATTTTCTGGAACTGGACACTCCTGGAGGTTTTATGCAACTCTACTGGATATATAAAAACCCTTGAAACTTTCTTTTACTCCTTTGGGAAACCACTCTTATTAGTGATTTTTCTCCTTCTATATCCAGGAAATACCTTTGGTATCCTTTCCTGCATGTGTGATTAACTGCTGAGGATTACCAAACTTTACCCTTCCTTAACTAGAAACAAAAGAAAAATACACTTAACAGTTATATCTGTATATGTATACACGTCCCTCCCGTGTTTGCTAGTGTTATTGACTTCTTCCCTTTAACAATCCTTTCTTCCAATCATAGGGGAAAGGTGTCCTCACCTTCCTGACTCTCTTAGGTCTCTGTCTATTAAAGTCACCAATTAATTATAAATATTAAAATAGTGCTTAACTTTGCTCATTAAGCACTAACGGGTACTTTTCAGTGGGTGGCAATAGTAACACTAAGTAGAAACTTAGGGCTATGTGACTACAGTAGAGTCAAAAGTAAGCCTTAAAATTTGATGATGGAGAAGTCTCAAAGTTATAACATATTCCTTTAGAGATCCATGACTCTCTAGAGCAGGGGTGGGGAACCTGTGACCTTGAGGCCACATGTGGCCCTCTAGGTCCTCAAGTGTATCTCTTTGACTGAATCCAAACTTCACAGAACAAATCCCCTTAACAAAAGGATTTGTTCTGTAAAACTTGGACTCATTTAAAAGGCCGAACCCAAGGACCTAGAAGGTCACGTATGGCCTTGAGGCCACAGGTTCCCTACCGTTACTCTAGAGGTTAGAGAATATTGGTGTTCTAGAGGGTTTTGGTGGTTGGCAGTCTTGCAGTGATTAGCTTGCTATGTTCATTACTGTATGTATTGCTTAATTATATATATTTTTTTAGTATCTTCTGTATAAGTACGAGAGTTTATGAAGTATCTTATATTAGTATTTAAAAGATTTTTAAAATTATGAAAGCATTTAAATTTGCTTCAAACTACAGAATATCTGATCATTGTCAAATTGACCAAAGTTGAAGCATGACTTGATAGCACTAGTGCACAGTCCTATAAACTGTCATTCTTCTTTGGTGGACCTTGGTAGTATTTAGGTAATTTCCCAGATGGTAACAAAAGAATTACAAATGTGGGGGTGCTACTTTCGGATTTCCTATGAGTACATACTTTGGGAGCCCTATGATTTTCTTGACTCTGTGGTCATGCTGTTTGCTCACATATTTAGATCCATTATTCTTTTGGGTAATGCTACTCATGTCTGGAAGCATTATTACATCCCCGGGATGCTTCTGCAGGTGATACTTCATTTTGCCTTGCTACATATATACATATATATATTATAATCTTTAATTAGGATTTACATTTAATCTACAAAACATTTTTATATTAACATAGTACAACTTAAAAATGATAAAAAACAATGCATCTTCAAAAACAAACAAAAAAACTTTTCGCGGAAAAGGTATTTTTAGATTTTAAAATTACCTGCTAGCATTGTTTTAAATTTAGAGGTAACTGTTGATTTTTAATGTTTAACATATGGACATTGTGTTGTGGCAAATAGTGCCAATCTTTATTTAAAATAGCACTGAACTGATGTCATTGTGATCTAATGGTTTTTCTTGCAGGTTTGATTTCATTCTGCAGTTTTTTTATGTCATTAAATATGGAGATAAGAGAATCCTTAAAAGCAACTCAGATTTCATTTTAATTTAGATAACAATCTGTTGCATTAATAGACATGTTGCTTTTAAAATTTTCAGACGTATGTGGCCAACATCCTGATTGCAGTGAACCCATACTTTGACATACCTAAAATATATTCTTCAGAAACAATTAAGCAGTATCAAGGAAAATCTCTTGGAGTATTGCCACCTCATGTCTTTGCAGTTGGTATGTAATTATAACTATAAGAAGCATTTGTTAATTTATTTTTTCATGAATCAGGAATTTTGAATTTTTTCTTCTTACTATTGTAGAAATGTACTCAAATTCTTTTTCTTTTTACCCTGTCAGTTTTAGTGTGCAGATAAATAACTCAGAAAAACCATTACTTAGCAAAATGTGTATCATTTTGGAAACATTTTTACACAATTTCTCAGGCAGCATAGTCACACCTTTGCTCAGAAATTATAGATGTATTTGTTCTTCCATCCTTAACATAAATTTTGAAATATGACCATTTTTTCTTAGATATTTTCTTTTAAGTTGAAAATTGATTATGAGGGCTTGATCTCCAATGACTTTTTGGGTTCTCAACACGTATAAGACACAGTTGGTAAACATCTTCCTTCATAATGTCCCGGGCATGTTAAATCTGGACTTCTAAGGGAATTATGCTTTCCTTGGCCAGGCTGTTTTTCAACCACTGAATATAGTATTATGGAGTTCTTGAACTGTGAGATCATAATGTATACTATTTTTTGCAAAGGGGCTTTGTAGAGAAGTAAGACTGAAAGTGATGTGTAATATATTCCTTGTATAAAAGAGAATTAGAATTCTTTTTTTTTCTTCTTTAAGTAATTCTAATACACAGATGGCATTACAACCTTAGTAAGTAAATACCCAGATGGGTGACTTCTCCCCATGTGTTGTGATTTGACTCATCACTGTTATGTGCAAGGCTATAGTTTTACTTTTCAGTTTCAGACATAAGCAAGTCTGAGAGCTGTTAGGTGTTATCAGCAGAGCCTTAACGGGTGCCGGTGTTGCAAATAGCCTTCATATTTCAGCTATGCATTTGTCCTTTTGTAAGCTTGACAGAAGAATATAGTGCTATCATTTAATTGCACATTTAATTAAAAAGAAATGTTAAAAGGCATACAGAATCTAATGCTATAACATAAGGGCTACTCTACTTTAAGGTATTGGTTTGCTTGCAAGTGAGGTATTCGAGCTTGTAGAGAAGTGAATAATTTTTACTTATTGTAGAGACTTTGCAATGTTTGATTGCCATTTTACAAATCTTACCCCCAAATGCTCCTTTTAAAAAGTCTTTATGGGGGCAACTGGGTGGCGCAATGGATAGAGCACTGGCCCTGAAGTCAGGAGGACCTGAGTTCAAATCCAGTCTCAGACCAAACACTTAATACTTACTAGCTGTGTGACCCTGGGCAAGTCACCTAAGCCCAATTGCCTAAAATTAAAAAAAAAAAAGTTAAAAATATCATTAAAAATCATTGAAAAAACTCTTTATGACCCTAATAACCTGTGTTTAAAACTTTTCTACAAATGAACACAGAATTTCCTTGTTGACTAAGATGTTGAATAGGATTGGCTGGTACACACTTTGAATAGTAATACTTTTTCAAGTCAGCTTCATGTTTTAGAATTTGAAGCATATATTGAAATGCCTTTCCTGTTTTGGGTAGGTTGGTTATGATTGACGTAAGATGAATAAATTCCTAGTTATAAAACCGAGGTTTCCAGAGATCTCCTTTGAACTTAGATTATTGTAATTTAGAATTTAACAAAATATTCTATTAAGTCTACAGTTACTTCTTTTGACAAAGGCTTAAAATTTAGATAATTTACAAGCTTTAATGTTGAATTAGGGAGAACTATGTGAAGAACACATAATAGCAATAAATTTAAGGAAGCCTAGAGAGTGATATTTTTTAACTTTCTAGAATTCAGAATTCAGAATTCTAGAATTCTAGAACTCTAACTCTTGTGGATATTCAAACTGAGTTTCTAATAAAGTTAAAAAAAAACAATCCCATAATTTGGTTTCAATTTTATCACAATTTCCTAAGAACCCTTTTATATTACAGAGTTTTGAAATTAAAAATTCATTTCTACTCCCCCTTTTATTGGGGAACTTCATTAACTATGTGTACTGAATATTCTTTACTATGTATTTGCATTTTCTGTGGAGATTAGTTTTAGTGTTGGAAATCCATGGTACAGCTCACAATAGAGATATTGTAGCACACAAATAATAGTACAGTTGTTTGTATTTCATGTTTACTAAGCTGTGAAAAGTATGGGGGCATTTTAAACTCTAAAATGCATTTATAATTTTCATTTTTTATCCTATATACTGTATCTTATTTTGTCAAAATATAACATAAATGCACTTTTATTTTAAGTAGAGTATCATTCTGAAGATAAATTTGGTGAACATAGTTTTGGATACCCTTCATTTGTCATGTTATTTTGATCTTAGCTGACAAAGCTTTTCGAGACATGAAGGTACTCAAAATGAGTCAATCGATCATTGTGTCTGGAGAATCAGGTGCTGGCAAAACTGAAAATACGAAATTTGTTCTTAGGTGAGTATGTGGCTGGAAACTTTAACAGACAACTGTTAACTAGACTGATGTGTTTTTTTTTTTTTTTTTTAACATAGTTTGGATTGGATTTATATAGTAGTATTTAAACAACAACAGCAACAAAACTTTCCTGTAAAATGATTCTGGTGATCCTGTGTTTATTTTTGCCTCTCTCCTCTCTCTCCTCTCTCTCCTTCTTGTCTCTCCCTCTTTCTCTCTCTCTCCCTCTTCCCATTTCTACTCCTATCTCTCTCCCTTTCCCTCTTCCTCTCTTCTCAAACTTCTTTCCTTATTCCTCCACCTCTATGCCCCCCTTCCACACATAATATACCTTTTTGTTGTTCTCCCTTTGCTGTAGTTACTCTTAATCTATACTTCTTAAAATTAAATAATTTCTGCTAGCTTTAGGGATAATGAAGACATATTGACACCTGTAAATCAGTTCAAAACTGGTACTGGAGTATAGTGTCTGGAATTAGGAAATACCTGGCTTTTAATCTGCCTTAGATACTTATGAGCTTTATGACCACAGGCACGTTACTTAACTTGGCTGAGCTGCCATTTTCTCATCTTTAAAATGGGAATAATAAGAAGGAGCTGTTTTGGGGATCACATGACATTCCATGCAAAGTACTTTGTAAACCTTAAAAGTACTAGGTTGAATGTCAGCTATTTACTTTATGTTTTACAACTATCTTAATATTTGTAATACTATTATTGCTGCTGCTTTTAGTAGTATTACTACTGCTACTACCATTAGCAAGCATTTTATATAGCATCTGCTGTGTGCTAGTGCTTTACAAACATTGTTTCATTTGATCCTCATAACAACCCTGGGAGGTAAGTGCTATTATTATCCTCATTTTACAGTTGAGGAAACTGAGGCAGGTTAAATGATTCGCCTAAGTCACACAGCTAGTAAAGTGGCTGAGGCTAGACTTAAACATGGTTCTTCTTGACTCTGGTGCTTATACGTTGTGTCACCTAGCTGCCTTCAGTACTTGGAAATTAGAAACTATTCTTTTTGAAATAAAGCAGTGGAGATAGTTTTGCAAATATAAAATGATTCAGGTGAATATCAGGACAAAAGAAATTATACTGTATTACTTTGTAAACTTTAAGCTATGTGAAGACAAGAACCATAGCATGTGTATCATTTTTATATCACACATTCTCTTAGCTCATTGTTTGCTAGCATATTTAAATATCTGTTGAATTAAATTGAATTTAAAATGTTTATAAAAATTTTAAAATACTATTTTTAGGCTCCTGCTCTTCATTGTATATTGGGAAATGACTATATAATTGTTTTTAATGAGTTTTGTAATGGCAGATTGTTACTGTTTCACCCTCGGCTTCCTTTTCACTGTGTAGAAAACTGTCAGTTCCTTCTTGCTGCAAGTTTTTTGTTTGAAAGAAACCTGGAAAGCAAAGTATCGAGAAACTTTTTCCTCTCCTGAGTTGTTAATATTTACACTTAAGGTCCAAGTACTCTCAAAGCAGGGCACTCAGTTCAACCATTGTAGTTTCTAGTGGCAGTCCACTGATCAGGTAAGTAACTATCACATGTTTTGGGACCTAGTAATAAGCTTCAGTGTTATTTCTGAAAGAGTTGTAATATTGAGCAGTACTTGTATTAAAGTCAGAACATTTAAAAATAATAATAAAGATGAGAACAGCCTCTGGGTATGTAATTTTTGTTTTCTGTTTCAAATCTTGTTTCTTAATATGCTCTTTTTTATTCTTTCTTAGCTGTATGATGGCATATTTTAACACACTTGATATTCAAAAATTTTCATGAGTATTTGTAGTTTCCATTAGTATAGACATCTGTATTTCTCAAAATAGATTTCTTTTAGCTTGCTGTGGGGAGAGGAAAGGGAAGCCACATTCAGACTTGTAAATGTATTTGCTCTACCTTTGTGCGTTTAAAGGAGGCTAGGCTGCTAGTTACAGTCAGGAAGGACCTGGCCGGTTTCTTTAGTCAGTTTTCAAGAATTGTTATAGCTAAAATTTTATTAGCTATTACCCAAACTTTGGTGATGAGACTCTGACTGGCTCTGTAGATAAAATATACATTGTTTATAGTCAGGCCTGAACTCAAAGCCTTTCTAGCCTGAAGTCTGTGTTTTACTGGATAGCCTTAGAGAGTGCAATGTCACTTCCGTGAAACCATGAAACGTTGGTATAGCACTGTAGTTAAAGGTACTTATTAACAAAAGGTTAATTTTATTATAGCCTTCAGACTACTATATATTTTATATATACACACAACTACTTTGGAGGATGTTATTTTTCTGAGGAAACAAACAAGATAGAGAGGATCACAGAAGATATAATGTACAATTTTGATTATATAATTTATATATGTAAAATGTTTTTAATAGACGTTACCATAACTAGTACTCATGGTCTCCAACTGATGGGTAGGAGAATAGTTCATGACCAAACAGGTAAGATGGAATATTTTGATTGCATAAAATTACTGTTTTTATACAAAGTCAGTATAGATAAAATTAGAGAGAAAGAAGGTAAATGGGAAAAAAAGCTTAGTGTCAGGTTTCTTAGAAAAAGGCCTCATTTCCCCAGTATGGGGAACTGATTCAAATTTATGACTGAATCAATAAATACATTTTCAAAGGATGAGAACAGGAATTTTTTTTCAAAGGATGGAATTTAATCTCTCAATGACTACTTAAAAAAGTTAAAGATCACCAATAGAAAAAATGTAATTTAAAGTAGCTCTAAATCGAGTCAGTCAGCAAACATTTAGTAAGTGCCTGCTATGTGCCAGACACTGTTAAAGTGCTGGGGATACAAAGAGAGGCAAAAAATAGTCCCTGCCTTCAAGAAACTCACAATCTAATGGGGGAGGCAAAAAGCAAATAAATACACACGAACAAATTATATGTAAGATAAATAAGAAATAAGAAACAATTAAAAGAGAGAAGATAATAGAAATAAGTGGGGTTGGGCAAGGCTTCCTGGAGAAGAGCCACAAGATTGGAAAAGATGAAAAAAAAAAAAGAGGAAAATGACAAACATTGGAGGGACTAAGGGAAAATAGGCACACACTAAAAGCATTGTTGATGGAGCTGTGAATTGGTCATTATTTCCAGAAAACAATTTCGAATTGTGTACCACAGTCACTAAACTGTGCCTGCCCTTTGACCCACTGATACTAAAGCCAAGCATATATCCTGAAAAGACCAAAGAAAGAAGAAAAAGACCAATATGTACAAAAATATTTATAGCAGCTTTTTTCATAGTGGCCGGAAACTAAAGGGGTAACCCATCCACAGTTTATGGTATACAAATGTAATGGAATATTATTGCACTATTAAAAATGGCAAAATGTCCAGAGGAGAAGTACCAAGTTGATAAAAGACTTTGAGATCATATGAAATGACAGTCCATTGAAAGAATTGGGCGTGTTTTGCATGGGGAAGACCCAGGGAGACATTGATAGCTGTCTTCAAATATTTGAAGGCTTGTCATATAGGGGAGGGATTAGGCTTGTTTGGTTTGGTTCTGGAGGGCAGAACCAGGGTCAGGGGATGGGGAGGAGGTTGCAAAGAGACCCAGTGAGGCGTGATGTTAAGACAATTTTTTAAAAAAGTAATTAGAGTTATACAAAACTAGAAGGGGTTGCTTCGAATATGTAAGGAATATGTATATTCCTCCTTGGAGATCTTAAAGCAGAGTCTGGATGACTGCTTCTTAGGTATAATATTATATAAGTTGTAATTATTGGTAGTCTTTTAGCTAGCCCCGAAAGATGGTTATAATTTTAACTGGCTCCAATTAGAGGGGACATCCTAGATGTATGAAAGAGCATGAGCAGAGGCACAAAATAGGGAAATTATACACAAAATGTGTATGGAGCAATTTGGTTAGGCTGGAACATAGAGGTAATAACATGAGATAAGGCTGGAAAAGTAACATGGTGCCAGACTGTGAAGTTTTAAATGTGAGGCTATGGAGTTTGAACTTTATTCACTAGATTGTAAGGAGCTGTTGAACTGGTTGAGCATGGTTATATCTGTGTACAGAGAAGATTAATTTGGCAGTGGTACTGAGAAGGGAAAAAAGGGTAGAAGTAGTAGTATCAGGAAACTATTGTAGTAATATGTAAAATAGTGGTAGTAGGAATAGAGAAGAAATGGATTTGACGAATATTGTGAAGATAGACTCAACAAGATTTTAATGGTGTATTCTAGGAATTGGTTCTTGCCCTTGTGTTGTTTCACATTTTTATAAATTATTTGGAAAAAAGGTATAGATACATGTTTATCAGATTTATAGATGACAACTCAGAAGAGATAGCTAAGACAGATGAAAATCAGTATCTAAAAAGATTTCAACAGGTTAGGATGCTGGCTTAAATCTAATCTTGACACTGTTTTTAAAAAATCAACTTTACAGGTATAAAACAGAGGAGGCTAGTTTAGATAGTAATTTTTCTTAAAAAGACCTGGGGGTTTTAGTGGACCATAAAGTTCAGTATGAGTCAGAAATTTGATGTGGCAACCAAGAAAGCTAATGTACCCCAAGGCTTTATTGAGAAGTGTAGGGAGATGATGGATTCTAAAGTAATCTGCCTTGATCAAATATTATCTGAAGCATTTGTGTTTACTTAGGACATCATATTTTAGGAAGGACATTTATAAGTTTGAGAACTTCCATGAAAAGGCAGCTAGAATGATGAAGGGCTTTGGGATCATGCCATATAAAGATTGTTTGAAGAGAGACGACTTGGGAGAAGAGGAAGGAGTGGTAGAGGTTGGGACATAGAGTTAATTAAATCATTTTCTTCGAGTATTTGAAGGACTATTAGGTGGAAGAAGGATTAGACTTGTTCCCCCCCCCTTTTTTTTAGCTAAAAGATGAGTATGATTTCAACTGGCTAAAATTGGAGCAGACATTCTAGATATATGAATGAGCAAAAATTAGGAAAGCACAAAATGTGTATGGAGCAGTAGAGAAGAAATGGGAACCTGGGGTAGAAATTATAAAGAGGCAGGTTTGGCTTGATGGCAGGAAAAATTTCTTAATAGTTAAAGCTATTTCTGGGCTACTTCAGGAGGTAGTTGGTTCTCCAAAAGTAGTTCTCTTCAAATGAACAATAGGTAGCTTTTTGTTGGCTCTCTTGTAAAGGGAATTCTTGATTAGATACAGGCTGAGCTAGTTGGCCTCAAGGTCTCTGCCAGTTCTGAGATTCTTTAATTCAATGAAGGAGACTTTCCTATCCCCATCACAGGGGTCTGAAACTTTTTAATGATTAGAGCTATCATTAGAGATGGTCAGAGGAGAATATTCTTCTGGATAGAGGTGATCCATATTTGAATCAGGAACCAAATGAACAGAAGGCAGAGCCCAGACTGGGTTGGAGTTCTGTGTTTTTCTAGAGCTCCATTATCCAAGGCTAAAATGAGTGAAGTAATTAGATGTAGGTATAGAAACCCAGGGAAGTTAGGTCAGGGGCATCCTACAGGGAATATTGATGAATTAACTTATTCTCTCTTCCTTATATTGTGTGTTCCGTATGGCTGTCATATACTGATGTGTCAAATATGCATGCCAATCCCTGACTTAGCTTTGGTGGTTAAACTTGTTGGCTAAATTAACAGTGTCTTCTCCCAGGACACCTTCCCAACATTGATGCCGTGATTTGGTGGTTGACAATTTTGTGGCATGTTTGTTGTATATGGTGCATTAGACTTTCCTTGGTTGAATCCATGCCTTCCTAGTCCTTTAGGCACTTAAATTCAGTGGAGGATATCTTGAACCATGTATTCTTCAAATCCACGCATGATTATTCATGGAGACTAAGGATTTCAGGGGCTTGTTCAGTGTCCAAGTGAACCTAATTTAACAAAGTGTGGCAGAACATGAAGTGGATAGGGAGTAAAGAAATCATACCATAAAAATAGGCCATAGAATCTGCCACAGGAGTTCTGGGAAAGTAGCTTACCACTTTTTCTGCCGTTTTCCTGAAAGATGCCAAGGTTCTGGGAGGATACCCAGAGCTCTTGCTTTATTCTCTAATGTCTTCCTTTTTGTATGCCATTCCACTGTTTGTATAGTGTACCATGAAACAGTCTGGGTAGCTTCCAGATAGCCCCTGACTATTCCTTGGAAAGTGAGATTCCACTGGACATTCTTCTGATAGATGATGTGAGGGGAAAGGCTGTGGAATTGAAAAACTGCCTCCATGAACAGGCAAATGGCCTTTGCTGTAGTGAGTGATTCTGCATGGGGGATGTAAATTGTCCTTTTCATAGTCTCGATGAACCACTGGAATGGCATCCAATCCCTTAAATAAGGATGAGTTTGTGATCATGTGTAGCTTTGCCACCATTCAAGATAGGTGATAGTGTGGGATGAATTGACAATTGTTGCAACAAAATCAAAAAGGCTGCTTCTCAGGGTCCTTGGCCTGGACATTAACTTAATCGTAACTAGAAATGCTGACCTGCACTGTTTCGTAGTAAGATCCAGCAAAATTTTTGTGTAGCTGTCTATAAGCCCTTGAATATGTCCCCTGTGGGCTTCTGCCAGAATGTTGTGACGTAGATAAAGTGCTGCATCTTGACACTAGGAGGAAAGCATAGTACAAGTGGATATTTAAGAGTCAGTGCAAGACTAATCCTCCTTTGGCTAAAGGCACCATGTCTGTTGGGAGGGGGTGAATTTTTGGTCCCGAGTATAAGTAGTCATAAGGGAATGTTAACAAATTTTCTGTTTATCTCACTCAACCTGCCTTCCCAGAAGTTTGGTTATTTATAGTGGCAGTGTGCTTTTTCTGTAGCTGACTTATGCTTATGTGTTAAGATATTCTTGGGTCAGATTTACCATGTTGCCTGACTTGAGTATGCCAGTACAGCTTTGGACTCTCTTGGAGATGAAGAAGGAGATGTTGAGAGGTAGGAGAAGGGCTAGGAGAGAGTAGTATGGAATGTATTATCATGAGATTATAGATTTAGAATTGGAATGGACTTTAGAAGCCATCTGGTCCACCTTCCTCACCCCATTTTGTAGATGAGGAAACTGAGGCCCAGGGAAGTTAAGTAACTTGTCTAACATGACACAGTCAGAAATGAGCAGAAGTGGTATTTGAACCAATGTCCTATGCCTTCAGAGTCAGCACTCTTCCCACTGCACTTTAGTATCTCAGAAACTATATTGTACTTCTGCCTATTTTTAGTAGGAGTTATCAAATTCAACATGGCCAAAACAAAATTCCTAATCTTCAGATTCACTATAATTTTTCATTCTTTTGTTATTTTCATTTTTCATGATCTAAGTTTTAGTTTTAAATGCATTAATAATGTTGTTACAATTATGAATGTAACATTTTATTGTTATCTAAATACCATTTCTTATGTTTTATTATTTTTTTAAACAGATATCTCACGGAATCCTATGGTACAGGCCAAGATATTGATGATAGAATTGTGGAAGGTACTTTTTAAAAAAATTGAATCCAGTTTTTATTGTTGACATTTACTAAAAGTAACTTAAATGGAATCTCACCTCTTGTCATTTAGTGTAAGAATTATGAAAGATATTTTTATTTTACTTTAATGGGGAGAATGACTACTCTTGCTAGTCTTTCACTGAAGTTATAATCAGAGTGTGGAACATTTTGTCATTTTATCATTTTTTTTTAAATAACCAGAGTTTTAAGACTGATATGTATAAGTTAAGTTAATCTAGGCTCCACATTGGCTACCTTTATGTCCTTCATTAAGTAATAAAGATAAATGGTTTAATCCTTTCTTGGCAAAATGCTGATAATGGTCCTAAAACTATTAAGTTGGTATAGGTATATTTCCTGGTGATATTACGGCAATTGCTTTTTTTTCCTTTTAACCAAAATAGATTGTTATCTAGAAAGGTGAACATCCTTAGACTATTCTCCCTCTTCTCTAAATCCATACTCCCTATTCTCTCCTATAAGTTATGTCAAGTACTTATTTCCACATTAACTAAGTATGGAAGATACTGAATTTCCTCTCATGATATTTATTACATAGCTAGCATTTATTAAATACTTACTGTGTACCTAGTACATGTTTATTTCAAAATATAGTATTTTTTGCATTTGATTTTTGGACTGTTTTCTTAAAGAGACTCAGACTTGTCTCTGGTTTGTTTTCTTTTATAATTTTTTTTTAATACAGCTTCAGGTACCCTTTGAATTTTGTATTAATTGAACAGGCTTTCTAAGAACTAAATTAATAAAATGCTTCAATATTTTACAAATCTGTAATCTCATCAGTGTGAGCTTCTTCCATGCAAGCAAATCACTGTCCCTCTATAATGTAATAGATGATATTTGGGAACTGCTTTAGCCAAAATTAATTATCTTGTGACTTACCAAGTGATGAGCCAGGTGAATGAATGAATGAATGAAAAATCATTTATTGAGTTTTTACTATGTGCAAAACCTTATGCACGAGCTGCAATAGAAAAACAAGATAATCCCTACTCTTAAAGAGTTCAAATTCTAATGGGTGAGGAAACATAAGAGGGGTAAACTTCAAATCAAGTACAAAATCCTATGGTTCTTAGTGTACAACAGCAAAGCAAATGGTAATGTGTCTTATCTTCTTTAATGTTATTTCTGATAAGATCATATCCATTTCTGATGAACCATTTGACAGTGCCAAGGACTTTTTGATGGTGAAAACCTTTTCTGGGTCTTTAGTAACTGTAGCTGCTGAAGAGCCATGTCTGCAGCAACTGGAGAAGCAGTTGTTAGGTCCTACTAGGATTTGTTTCCCTGGATGGTGGCTTTGACACCTAACTTTAAAGTAGGGCCAGTGGTCTGAAGAACACTTCTGTTTGGGTTCAGAGTCCTGGGTTCCTTCATCAGGATCTGAGAGGAAGGAGGTGGTGGTGGTGGTAGAGTTGATGGGGGTAGTTTGACTTGTTTGGCACATGTTACATCCTGTCTCTCTCTCAGGGTGCTTTGATATTTCAACTAAGCTGGCTTGTCTGCCATGCAGGTGGTAGTTGGGAGGGATGGTTGACCCCTTCTCAACAGGGATTGCTTCTGGGCTAGGGTGATGGCTGTGGGCAGCAGGGTGATGGCTATGGGCAGTGATTAATTAAATAGGTTATTCAGTAGATAGAGTGATGGATTGGGAGTCAGAAAGACATGAGTTCTATGTGAGTTGTGGCCTCACACACTTACTAGCTTGTGACCCTGGACAAGTCACTTCACCTGTGCCTGTTTCAGTTCCCTTAACTGTAAAATGGGAATGGTAGTAATAGCACCTACTTCGAAGTGTTGTTGTGAGGATCAAATGAGATATTTGTAAGGTACTTCGAAAACTTAAAGCACTTTATGAATACTGTGATTATTTTTATTAAATAATAAACTACTTTTCCTTAAACTTAAAAAAATTCTCTTTAAACTGCCCGAAATCAGTGGAGTATCACCACTTTTTCCTCATAATTAACTTTTTGTTTAACTTTGTCCTTAAAATGGATGTCTTAGTTAAGTGATCAGTTTCCTTGTTAATTTACTGTGGCCCTAAGTATTGCTGGGCCTGAGTCTGTTAACACAGAGCTAGAATAGTAAGACTATGCAAAAATAAAGCTAAAATGGAATAAAGACTCCCTTATTTCCTGAGTCACCTCTGCCATGAAGAATTTTTAGCACTCTTCTCATCTTTTTTCTCCTGGAAAACTAACTGTTTGCTAATAGATCATAGACAGATTGAAGTTATATTTGTCAGTTTCTCGACAAAGAATTCCTGGCTGTCTTATTTCTTCAGTTCAGTAAAGGTTTCGAGAAGCAAAAAATAAAACAACAAACCTGAACTGCAGTACTCAGGGAAAAACAAAAATCAATCATATGTTATCAAAACAATTTCTTATGTGGTCCTGAAATAAAGACGTGAAGAATTATTAAGTTCATATATTTTTATAAATGACTTAAAATTTTCTTAAAAATGAAAAGAAATATGATAGATACCAGTGGGAAGCTTTTGGTTCAGTCATTATTTGGTTACGTTGTTGCCTGTAATATGACTTCTGCAAAAAGAGTTAGGGAAATAAAAATGTCTGTTAATTACTCGACAACTTATATTCAACTTTACTTTAATGGTCTTTCTGTGTTTGTTAGATTCTGGGGTTTGACATTATAGTGCAGAACCAAGTCCCTATCCAAGTACTTGAATAGAGTCAAACCTTTTTAAAGACAATTTTTATTTTAACCACAGATATCCATGTGCCCTACTTCCATGTGGAATTGGGACGACACAAGCGTGAATACAGTTCAAGTGCCTTAGTGTTCTAAGGAGGGTGCTTTTCTGTCTGATTTCTAAAGGATAGTAACAGAGAATGTTTATTTTCAATATTTGAAAAGAGAATTCAGTCTTGACAAGATTGTGATCTGTCAGTGTTAAATTAAGTACCTAGTAAATAAAGTTGAATTCAACAAAAATAATTTTCTCAGATTCTTAAGTCACGTCTTTTTTCGTAGGATCATAATTAGAAATGGAATGAACCTTATAAGGTTTTTAAGTTCAGCTCACCTCCCCCATTTTATAGATGAGACTGAGGCACAGAGGTTAAGTGAGTTGTCCAGTGTCACAGTTAATAAATGTCTTAGGCAGGATTTTAATAAAGGACTTCTTTACTCCAAGTTCAGTTGTCCTGTCCACTATACAGAGCTGCTTCTTATATTCCAGGTGACTGCTAATATTATTTGATATTATTAATATAAAGCTTAGCCCCTTTTGAAATGTACCTTTAAGGGAATTTCCACAAGTTGTATTTACAGTGAGGGTATTTTCAGGAGTATAAATTATGATATTTTTCATTTCAATTATAAATTTTTATAATTTACTAAATTACTACTTTTTGATCTTCAAAAGTTAGCGAATAAAAAGAATGATTTTAGAAGGCATAGTAAGGAAGACAAACTGAAGACTGAAAGGATTCAAAACAGAACCTCTTAATGAAAGGTTAAATGATTATGTTATTTAGGGAAAGTGACTGAGAAATATTTGCAAAGATGGTGAGGGACCAATTATTTCCCCATTCCATTATAGATAGACCAAGAGGAATAAGCATTAAATGGCGTCAAGGAAAATGCAGCATAAGCAGTTATGAAAGACTAATAGATTACTGGATGGAATGTGCTCATTTCACTTTGTATCAGTTGATATAAGTCATCCCAGGTTTTTCTGAAAGCACCCTGTTTGTCATTTCTTAAAGCATTCCATCACAGTCACATATCACTACTTGTGCAAAGATTCCTCAATTGATGGGCATCCCTTCAATTTCCAATTAATTGTCACCACAGAAAGAGCTGTTATAAATATTTTTTTACATATAGGTGTTTTTCTTTTTTCTTTGATCTCTTTGGGGTACAGACCTAGTAATGATATTGCTGGGTTGAAGGGTATGTACAGTTTTATAGCCCTTTAGGCATAGTTCCAAATTGCTCTTCAGAATGGTTGCATAAGTTCACAACTCCATTGGGTGCTTTTTAATAGTCACACAAAGAAGGAATTTTTAAAGTTATTTTTGCAAGTGAAAACATTAGAAAGGGGGATGTTTCACATTAAATATTTTCCCCTTGCCATGAAAAGCTTATTTTATTGTTTGTCAAACTTTGTAAGGCCAATTTATGTGTGTTGAAATTGTAGAATTACTGGTTTTAGAACTTCTTGTTTAATTTTTTGTGAAAGTCATTTCTTGATTTGTGGGAGATGGAAAAATCTCATTTTTTTGTGTAACTTTTTTTTCTAAAAGTCTTCCATACTGCACTAAAATGATAACATTGTAGTCTCTTAGACTTGAAATAATTTTTATTACCACTTCTTTTCACTATTGGTTATGAGTAATTTTAAGTAAGGTGAAAGGTCCTAGGTGATTTTTAATTTTCTCTCAAGTGAGTCTTTTAATGAAATTGTTTTACTTTTATCCTTCTCACTAGCTAACCCATTGCTAGAAGCTTTTGGGAATGCAAAGACTGTTCGTAACAATAATAGCAGCCGTTTTGGAAAATTTGTTGAAATACATTTCAATGAAAAGGTAAGAGGATGTTTTTGGATATGGTATGATGTATGTTTCTGATGAGTATGAAGATGTGAAAAGATTTGGAATTTTTCCTCATTTCATGATAAATTTGGGCAAAGATTATGCTTGTATTTGTGGAAAATAGAGACAGCTGTAGTAATGCCTTTTCTTCTATTGAATGCCTTTTTTGCCTTTACATAGATTTGAGAGCACCTAAATAATTTTATCATAAGCTTCAGAAAACCCATGATAAAGCTCATTTTAAGAGTAGGTGTTTCATATTGCCAGAGACTTTTATTTTAGGTAACATTGGAAACTCATTAAAATAAAACAAGCAATCCTGCGCTAATCCTCTATTTTTTATAATGCTGAAAATTCATAGTGACATATATTATTGTATTTGCAATTAGCATCATTATTGATTTTGTTATTATTAGAGACAATTAAATTATTTGTTTTGTTATATCCTTTAGGATGTGAAATCTTAAACTTATTTTCTTTCCCTCAAAACTGGTTTCCCCTTTGCTATTTCTGTTAATGGCACTAATTTAATTCAACAAGAAGGTATTAAGTACCTGTTATAGTGAAGATATTATGCTAGGTGCAAACAAAATCCTAGAAAACTTCCTCCCCTTGAGGAATTTACATTCTGTTGAAGAGAAAAATCTATCAGCTGAGAAGTATCTACATGGTAACTTGAGGAGGAGGAAGAGATCACTAATAATGTTGGGAGGGAAAGAGGAATGTTTCCTCATAGGAGGTGCACATAAATGCAGTCTTGAATGAAAATAGAGATTTTTAAGAAGCAGAGATGGGAGGGGTTAGCTCATCCCAGTGCAGAGGCACAGAAAGAGGTGATGGAATGCTATGTTCAGGAAACTGCAAAGAGATCACTTTGACTGGTATGGAGAATGTATAGGCAGGAAAAAACACATGAAATAAGGCTAAAAAGGTAGTTTTGAGTCAGGTCACGAAATACCACACTGAAGTATTTTTATTTTATCTTCAGTGCCTAGTGAGCTCCTGAAGATTTGTGAGCAGCAGCATGACATGGTCAGATGAGCTCTGGGAGGATAATTTGGCAGCTGTGGGGAACACAGAGAGAAAGGAACCTAAAGATAGGGAGACCAATTAAACTATTTCTTATAATCCAGGTGAAAGGTGGCAGGAGCTTGAACTAAGGTGGGTGAAAGGAAGAGCTTCAGTGTGAGAGTTGTTGTTAAGAAAGCATCAATAATTATGGTTTGGTAAAGTGTGAGCAATGAGGGAGAGGGAAGAGTTGAGGGCATCTTCAGGGTTGTGACATGAGGAACTGTTTGTGCTTATAGTAGAAATGGACATTTTTATTCAAGAGAGTGATTTGGCGGTAAATAATGATGAATTCTGGTTTGGGCATATTGAGTTTGAATGAAATATTAATCCAGTGGGCAGTTGAAGATTTGAGAATGAAGTGCAGGAGAAAGATTAGGATTGAGTTTGTAGATTTGGTAATTAGCCATATAGCCATTTGGCTTTTCAATCCTTGGGGGAGCACATGAGGTCATCGAATGAGATTGAGAATAAGAAAGAGAATGAAGGGAGAAGTGAGAAGGCCTAGAACAGAACCATGGGTACATTATATGGTTAGGGGATGGGAAAAGACTAGTGATACAGCAAAGAAGACTAAAATACAGTAGTTGGCAGAAGGGTGGCCAAGTGAGAGCAGTATTGGGAAAGCCAAATGAGCCAGAGAACATGTAGAAAGGAGTGGTTAATAGTTGTAAGATACAGGAAGTTTGAGAGGATAAGGAGAGAGCAAAGGTCATTGTAATTGAGAGGAAGTCACTTAATCTTTAGAGATTAGTTTCCGTGTCTGTAAAATGATGAGATTGGACTAGATGATTTGGATGATCAAAATGGCAAACTCGCAGGGGAGATCAGAAGGGATAAGTCAAGAGAACAAGTACAAGGGGATTGATTTTTGTAAGAAGAACCCTGTCTTTGTTAAGCATTGTGCTAGGTAATAGGAATACATATACAAGAGTGAAGTTCTCTGTTCTAAGGGAGCCTTACATCCTATTAACTGGCTATAACATATTTACAAATAGACAGTATGTTTAAAAAATACACAATAATTTTGAAGGAATAACAAGTAGGAAAATCAGGAAAGGCTTTTTAAAGGAGGTGGCACTTGAACTGAGAGTGTTTTAAGAGAGGCACAGGTGAGTCAGTGAGAAGGGAGCACCTTCCAGGCCAGGAGGAATAGCCTGTTTAAAGGCAAAGAGAAAGGACATTGATTGTCTCTATAGGGATAGCAAGCTGGCCAGTTTGGATGGATTGTAGAATGCATGAAGGAGAATGATATGTAACCAGTCTTGAAAGAGAGGCTGGAACTTATGAAGGTCTTTAAATAACAAACAGAAGAGTTTCATATCTGTACCTAAAGGTAAGGGAGACCCATAGAAACTTTTTGAGTGGAATGAGGTGGTCATGTGTGAGTTAATGAATTTCAGTCTCTGCTTGTTTAATTTCATTTAGTTTTGTCTCATCTTTATCCTTTCTTTTAATTTAGTTTTGGTTTTTAACTTTGTGGTAACTAGTCAAGTTTTCACACAGATAACTCATTTGATTATGACTCCTACATCAGTAGCCAGTTCTTTCTTGTTTGTTCAGGTATGATCAGTTGTGCTTGTTTGTGTGTATGTATTTCTTGCTTGCCAAGGTCTGTGCTTTCAAAATCTCTTCTTGAAGAAAATGTTCATGATACATAGGCCCAAGAATATTTAACTTATTAATTTTGTTTTGGCCTATTTTATTTAATTTCGTATACCAGTAGTAATAGTATTTATATAATACCTTAATATTTGCAAAGCATTTTACAAATACCATCTCATTTTATCCTCATGCCAGTTCTTATCAGGTATATGTTATTACTGTCCCCACTTTACAGAAGGGGAGATTGAAGCAGACAGAGGTGAAGTGATTTGCCCAGGGTCATACAGCTAATCGACCTCTGAGGGCATATTTGAACTTAATCTTTTTTTGGGGGGGGGGGCAATTGGGGTTAAGTGACTTGCCTAGGGTCACACAGCTAGTAAGTTTCAAGTGTTTGGTCTGAGGTCAAATTTGAACTCAGGCCCTCTTGACTTCAGGGCCGGTGCTCTATTCACTACGCCACCTAGCTGCCCTGAACTTAATCTTTTTTTGACTTTATGTCTGGCATGCCACCTAGCTGCTTTGTTAGAAATAGGTTTTTCAGCATTTTTTTTCTGTCTTTGTCTATATACTGAAATCATGGAGTATCAATTTACATGTTAACTTGATTTGGAGGAGATTGTAGCATTTCTTTAACTCTTCACACCTTGCCTTTCTACCCCGTCACCATTCACTATAAAAGCAGGAAGGAGCCACACTAGACTAAGGACCATTAAACATTTTTCTCATCTGTTCATAGGTTACTATGATCAAAGAATTAGTCACTTAGCAGCCATCCTGCTGCTGAACTTCTATGTCTTGGCTAGGTTGGGACTTGGACAGCAGACAGAGTTTATTGCTAGGATCTCATTCAAAGGCTCTTTGCAGAATCTGCCAGAGGTCACCTGTATTGATCGCCACAGTGAGGCACTGAAATGGGTCTTTTGTGGAGTATTGGTTCATGCACAGATAATTGTGGGGGCAGTTATTTATCAGAAAAGATTATATATTTTCCTTATATGTTAATATATAAAGGCATTTCCATAAAAATGCAATTTCTTGACTTAAGATTGCTGATCCATGCAAGGACCATTGCACTACTCCCAAGGACTAATAGTGAAACATGTTACCCACTCTCTGACAGAGAGGTGGGGGATTTGCAGGGAAGACTGAAATATTTGTGAACACGGCCAATGTGTGGATTTGGATGTGTTTTGCTTTATTATGCTTATTTTTTATAATAAATAGTTTATTTTAAGTTTGAGGGGAGTTTGGAAGGAAAGGGGGAAACTAGTGATCAGGATACCCACCTAAAAAACAACAACAAAGGAAAAAACAGAGGGTCATTGTACCATTTTTTAAAAATGCTAAGAATAGAACAGAAGAAGGTCCTGAAGTAGATGCAGACAAGCTGGACAGGTTTGAAGCATGTTTAATTTGTTATATTCTTTTGGAAATGCAGCTGGTATGTAACAGAAATTCAAAATCATGAATTCTCTTTTTTTCTCTTTTGGCTATGTGGAAATGCTAATGTTCAATGATGTTTGTCAAGTACAGAACTAAGCTAAATGAAAAAATGTACTTTCTTTTTTTATTTAGAATGCAGTTGTTGGTGGATTTGTTTCACACTACCTTCTAGAGAAATCTAGGATCTGTGTTCAAGGCAAAGAAGAAAGAAATTATCATATCTTTTACAGACTGTGTGCTGGTGCTTCTGAAGATATTAGGGAAAAACTTCATTTAAGTTCCCCAGACAATTTTCGGGTGAGAAAAATAAAACATCCTTTTATTGATAACATAGTCTAATTTTACTGTATTAACAATTTGTTTTATTTGGATTCAGGATCACAAATCAGACATATTCTAGCCCAGTGTTCCCTATATACGATTTAAATATAATTTGGTATATTGAGAGGCATCATTGTATAATGGGTAGAGAGCTGGCTTCAAAGCCAGGAAGAACTTAGTTCAAATTCTGCCACTTACGCATACTGGATGTATGATCCTAGGCAATTATTTAACTGTTCAGTGCTCTAGGCAAATCTCTAAGACTGTAAGTTGCGGAAAGGTGCTGTTTTGTATTGGTGGAAGAAATTCCCTTGTCTTGAAGTTCTTTATACCAATAAAATCTAAGGTCTATTCCCTAACCCTCACTCACTTTATTAAAATTGCAGATGTACTAAATAAATCTATTTGAATTTTTTATCATTTTGCAAAGAGTGAAAATGATGGCAAAGATGTGGGATATGTACAAGTATAATATCACATTGTTCAAGCTGCACAATTTAGGAATATGCAATAATTTAAACCTGCTGGCTTAACTTATCTTTGACTGATTTGAGGAGAAAATGGTTTGATTTACAAAGGAGGCAAATTATTGGTCTAATTCACAACTAAATGTCAGCATGTTTTTTTTTTTAAGGAACCATTTTAGAAGTAGAGTTTATAGTCAAACCCATGATTATGCTAGCTTTTTTGTTATTTCTTTGTTTTCCTTTTTTGCTGTTTTATTTCTTTGGAATCATCTTTAATTTCTATGACATCGGCCATTTCCAAACTCTCCAAATGATATCACATCCATAGCCTCTTATAAAACTTCTTCAAAGTAGCCAGAAACTGTATTGAAAGGTATTTGTAATTATGTTTATCTTTCTACAATTGTGTTTTAGATTCATTGGTTCCTTCAGGCAATTTTAGATGGGTAAAGCTGCTGCTGCAGTGGCTCTGTCCCCTGGGCTCCATCTATATTAGCAAACAAAGCATTAATTAGAGAGAGATAAATGCCTGTTTGACAGTATTTGAATTAATTAAATGCATATTTTGGCAAATAATAAAGTATTAGAATCATTCAGACTTCTTAAATAATTTTGCAAGTATGTCAAGGAGACATCTGCCACATTTCTACAAAGTGGAAAACAGGAAAGCGTATGGTATGAACCAGTTAGTTAAAATTATTGCAAAGACTTTGGCCTCCTGAGGCTTTAACTTTAAATGCAAATATCTAACATCTGATTTTTTAAAAGAGAAACATTCACCTTGGAAATTTACTATGAAGTTAAATAATATACCTCTTATTTCCTTACAAGATAAATAAAAGCTGTTTACTAACATTTTAAATAGCAATGTTCAGCTCTGTAGATATGCTTTGTTTTTCCCATCAGAATTTAGAACAGCTAGCCATCTTGTTTTATTTCCATTACTTTGTTTTAACGGCTTAGCCAACCATAAGTCATTGAATAGGTATGTATAATATGAAAAAGGAGTTAGTCTCCTAAATTATTTACATTTTGCTTTAGTGTTTTTATTTTTATAATTGAGAATGGCTAATGGTTGACAATCTGAGAAAAGTTAATGGTCAATAATCTGGGAATTTACTCAAACAAAATACAGAAGGCATATTGATCAGAGTTAGAGGAAACTACCCCCAATACATGCTGATAATAGTTCTCTCAAACTAATACAAAAAGTTCCCTTTGACTATAGCCCCTACTCAGTGAAGTTCTTGAAAATATTTGGTGTTCAAACAGTCTTTGAGCCCTAAGTAAATGATCGAAACTTAGCAAAGCATTTACTAAGTAACATGAGACTTGAGTACCTCTAATGTAAACAAGTGCCTGTAATGTAAACAAGTGTAATAGTACAAGTCAAATCAACAAGTATTTATTAAACTAGGCATTGTACTAAGCTCTAGGGATACAAAGAGCAGGAAAAGACAACTCCCTTTTCAATGGGAGAGACATTATGAAAACAGCTATGCACAAACAAGATCATACATAGGATGAATTGTAGATAGTCAGTAGAGGGAGTCTTTGTTGTTGTTCAGTTGTTTCAGTCACGTCCTTCTTCATGACCCCATTTGGGGTTTTCTTGGCAAGGATACTGGCTTGGTTTGCACATTTCCTCATTTACAGATGAGGAAACTGAGGCAAGCAGAGTTAAGTGACTTGTCCAGGGTCACACAGCTTGTAAATGTCTGAGACAAGATTTGAATTCAGGAAGATGAATCTTCCCGACTCCAGGCCCAGTGTTCTATCCACTGTGCCGGCTAGCAGCCTGAGGACTAGGAAAGGTTTCTTGCACAAGGTGGATTTTTTTGCTGATATTTGAAGGAAGTCATTGCTGAAGGCAGTATTTCAGTTACACATAAGTTTTGACTTCTATTTCATCCAATGTTCTGTTCTTTGTTTTAGAAACTAAAGTTGTAAATGCTGCCATAAACAAGTATAAAAATGATGGTAACTTATATTTATATATCATTTAATTGTTCCCAAGCACCATTACATAAATTACCTCATTTGATTACAGTCTTTAAGACCAACCTTTAATGAACATTAGGTGCAAGGTAGTTGGTGTAGGCAAAAGGGAAAAGGGTGAGGCAGTTCTTGCCCTCAGTGAATTTATGGTTTAGAAACCTCTAAGATAAATACTGTAAGTATTAATATTAAATTGTGTTTTAAATGTGCTCTCACTGAAGTTCTGAGAGAGGCTAAATAACCTGACCTCTTATTTTTCCCTTCTTGCTGGTTCTTTAAATTTTTTGGGGAAAAGTTTGCCAAAATGTGTTTCAAAATTCTCTTTTCTCTGAAAATAGATTAGAATTAATACTTTGTCATGAGTTTCACCTTGGAGAATAGATACAGTTCATAGATTATATTGGCACTTAAAATGTTATATTGACTATTCAATTTCAGAATTACTGTTTATCAAGTATAGGAAGTTTTTATCATAGTTTTTTATTTTTAGTGCTTCAGTGAATCAACTCTTTCTATTTATAGAGAGATATTGGCAGTTAGTTGTTTAGTTTCTGTGGAAAAAATAAATTGTTTATGTATTAGGGATGAATAAGTGACATACTGGATTAAAACTAAATGTTTTTTTAGCAAGATCAAATGGAAATATGTATAAATTGTTGGCAAAATTAAAATGAGATTTTTCTCTATCAATTTATAATATAAAAATATTTCTTTGTCATAGTATTTAAATCGAGGCTGCACTAGGTTCTTCGCTAATAAAGATACAGACAAACAGATTTTACAGAACCGCAAGAGTCCTGAGGTACAGTAAACTTATTTTTATTTTAAGTATTTTTAAAAATGCTTGCCAAGAAGTAATAATATGTTTACTCATTATTTTAGCCTAGTAGTTTGGCTGTGGTTTTAATATTATATTTGCTGATTTTTAAAGAACAGGGAATTAAACATTGCTGTAACATTATAGCACTTATTTCAGTATAAGCACTTATGTCAGACTTGGGGTATTCATGTAATTGGGCCTTACCAGACTTCTTTGTAAATTACTTGTTTTTTGTGAATTGCCCAAGATTATTTTCTAGTAACACATTACAAAACTTATTGTACTACTTTGTTAAATTATGGCTCCTTAAAACAGCAAAGGTATAGAATATGTACATATTGACTTTATTTGGTTTTCTACTTCAACAGTTTAATTACTTTTCTCAAAATACTTTTATGCGTATCTGATATTAATGTATAAAGAAGACAATACAATGAAATAATGGTATTAAATTGTTAGAACTTTTCATAAAAATCACATATCACTATGTTTTATAGGCAGGTCAATTAATCATTATGTCATCTTATACACTTGGGGAAATGTTGGTTTTAATAAAATTTTCACTTTAAAGTTCTGTTTTTAAAGCATTAACTGCTGAACTTAGGAAATTAAATACTATGGCCTTTTTAGGCCTAATGTGTAAGATACTTAAGTTATATAATGATTTAAAGTCATATCCATTCAAAGAGTTTAAATTCAGAAGGTTACAAACCCCTGAAAATCAAGATAAATGTTCATTTCCAATGTTTCTGTTAATTTAGATGGTGAAAGATTTATATTGAGTGCTTAATTGAATGTATCATTCTTGTAGATGATTTTTATAGATAAATTTTGAATATACTGACATTTATAAGTTAAAATATTTTTACTCACTTGATAATGGTGACTATGGTAAAAATAAAAAAGAAGGGAAGGGGAACACAATGTGTCCTACTCAGGTTACAAATAATTGTAATATCTATGTAATTTAAGGTAATTCATTTTGTATGATTACTTATATACTTTCTAAAGCAGTAGATATGGAAGGGAGAAAAAATATTTGCTAATTGGAAAAAAAATCAAAGTTTTTTTTAAAAAAGGAAGTCTGTAAACAGAAAAAAGTTGCTGTTTATATATATAAACATTGGCTAGGCAATGGGGTTAAGTGACTTACTCAGGGTCACACAGCTAGTAAGTGTTATGTGTCTGAGGCCGGATTTAAACCTAGGTCCTCCTGAATTTAGGACTGGTGCTCTATCCACTGCGCCACCTAGCTGTCCTTGTACTTCATTCTTGAGGAGGATCATGACATCAGCAAGGTGATGCCATGACTTGCAAAATTAGATTTAAGTGAGGGAGGGCTGTGCAAAGTCACCAGCCTCACTCTCTCCTCCTGAGCCATTGGAGTCCATTGCCAAGATACAGATCAGGACAACTGGAGATGGCTCCAGATGCACTGGGAGGCATTGGCCTTTTTAAGCTAAGGAGGCAATACACATTCAATGATTAAGGCTAGGTAAGAAATGAGGCAAAGAATGGCCTCTTTTACCTAGTTAGAAAAAAAAAAATCATTCAGGGAGGGGAAGACCCTCAGGTTTACATTAGCTCTGAGCAATCTGGGCCCAAAACAGTGACCAAGTTGGGGTTGGGCTGGGACCTATTGTTGGCCAGTCATTGAGAGCCAGAATGATTTGGGTTTAAGGCAGGAGTGGGGAACCTGTGGCCTCGAGACAGCCTGCTAAATCCTCAAGGTATGGCTTTGACTGAATCTAAACTTTACAGAACAAAACCTATATAAGGGGCCTATAAGTCAAAGGGTCACACTTGAGAACTTAGAGGACCACATGTTGCCTCAAGGCCATATGTTCCCCACCCCTGGTTTAAGGCATGGTCCTTAAGAAAGAAATGTAGCCTGTCAACCCCAAGATATCTTTCGAGGTTTCAGCAATCCTCAGGGAAGAGCACCAGCAGGTAAGGGTGTGGCCTCAGTCAAACTGAGACCTGGGAGAGACCTTAGCTTAAAAAGTCCAGTCTCCCACTGCATCTGGGGCCATCTGCAGTTGTCCTGATCTATATCTTGCTGCTGGATCCAGATGGCTCAGGAGGAGAGAGTGAAGTTGGTGACTTTGCACAGATCTGTCTGACTTAAATACGATTCACTTGGCAAGTCATAGCATCACTTTCCTGATGTCAGTGTCCTCTTCGAAACAGAAAATGAGAAACAAGATGTTAGAGGACTGGCTTTGGAGTCAGGGAAACAGGTTCAAGTCATACGTGTAACATGCATATGTTACATGTGAATGACCAAGGGCAAATCATTTGACCTAGTGTCCCAGGCAACTCTCCAAAGGGACTTTTCATACTGGGAGGTCATACTGATGAAATTACAGGTCTGGACAAATTTTTAAAAAATTATTTATTTGAATAGGAAATCGTAAAGAGCATAACTGGTTGTCATTAGTAATCTTTTATCCCCAAAGAGCCATATTTAGAACTTACCACTTTTATATAGAAGGTGTTTTCCTTGAGATAATAGAAATTCAGTTATTCCATTGCTCTGATCCTTAAATCAGGGTTAGAAATCTTAGTTCTGTGAATGGAAGAAGTAAATGGGATAGGAGTAGATAAAACATAGTTTTCACTATTTGAAGAGAAGAGAAAAATGTAATATTTCTAGTTCTTTAGTGAGCGTACTTTGTTTTTGTCTGTCCCTAATCTTGTTGATAATATGTTTGATTGCAAACATAGATGGATAATGGATTAATGTTTTAAAATTACCTTTTGTCTTTTCTTTATTATCAGGAAGATGAGGTGATCATTTTGAATAATTAGAAGATATAGTTTAATTCTCTTGGTGTTTCCTCAGTCTGTGTGAAGTGATTACTTTTTAGATGCATGCAGTTTTTAGTCTGCAGTCGTGATAATAGTGTTTTCATTTATATTTAATTTGAAGAACTTTTTTTATTAAAGCAAATACCATTTAATTTATAGCATTTCTCAGTTTACCTTAAAGACATAGTGATGTAATTTGTGCTTTCTATTAATTTTTCTGCATGAAATTGTTATTGTTGCTTCTTTCTGAGTTACACTCGCATTGTAATGTTATGTCTAGATGTTTTCCAGAAATCGTGAAGAAAAATTATTTTGTTTGAAGGTATTCTTCAAGACTTAGTTTCATGAGAGGCAAGACTAAATGATCTCTTCTGTTAATACATATAATAATATGTATTAACCATATATATTTTTAAAAGTGTAACTGTCAGGCCAGCCAGTATTTCCTATTAGACTATATTTAAGCTATTCACCAATGACATCTTAGCAGCAAAGTACTTTTTATACAGTAAGATTGAATAACTTATCTAATATCAACTTCTGGAAAATTCCCAGACATAGTTATTCTGTCTTCCTACATTCTGCGATTTTCATGCTATGCGCTTCCATGATCTTTGAAGGCATGGTTTCCAATTATTTGCTATTTCTTATATCATGGTACTGCTTTTAATCGACAGGCACATTTAGATGCAAATGTTTCCAAAAAGTGTTTCAGTAGATCCTTTTAGTAAGCATTATGTCCTCATCTACCACTTGAATAACAAACTGGAAAAAAAGGTATTAGTCCTCAAAATGTTTCAGGGTTTGAGAAGCTTTATCAGTCCTTTGCTTGCCTACCAGTGTCAGTGTTGACACCAGTGATAATGTATGTATAAAACCTAGAGGTAGAGGACTTGGTGGTAAAATTTTGATGCCACTTTACTTATAATAGCCTTTTTTTTTTTTGGTTTAATTTCTTTCACACTAATGTATGTGTTTGCTCCAGCTGAATCAATTAATGTTCTTGTTTTTTTACTTCCTCCTTGTCAAGTTTCCTAACATTACACTGCTTTTGGTTAAAAATGACGAATTAATTGGAAAACATTTTATTGAATTAATTTTTAAAAAAATCTTGGTAATTTAAAAATATTTAATTTTGCATGAATTTGCATTGCATTGCTTTATTTTAAACTGCTATTGTTATTATAATTTTAAAAATTTCAAAGTGAAATAATTGTTGTCCTTTTTTTTTTTTTTTGGTAGTACCGTAAAGCAGGTTCCTTGAAAGATCCTCTTTTAGATGACCATGGTGATTTCAATAGGATGTGCACAGCCATGAAAAAGATTGGTTTGGATGATGAAGAGAAACTTGATCTTTTCAGGGTCGTAGCTGGTGTCCTGCATCTTGGAAATATTGATTTTGAGGAAACTGGCAGCACTTCAGGTTATTAATTCAAATGATCTTTATTGCATATTTTAAGTCATAAGATGAATACTGTTGTATCAGCTGTTTTTAAGTCTAATAGCATATTATTGAAAATTTTAGTTGCTATACAGTGAAAACAAGACTGATAGAACAATGAAACTGGGAGTTCTAATTCATCCAAAAAAGCATTAGTATATAAAAGAATTGATAAAACAAACATACACAATTTATAGGCTTGATGTCTTGAAATTGTTTGTGATATTTTGGCACCTACAATCAAAACCTCATGGTATTTTTAGATGTATGTAGATGTCTGTGATATTTCTTTTATCAGTGAATTGAAAAGCACTTGAAGTGATCATAAGATACCCAACATGGGTAAAACTCAGTTCATGTAGTCGTGGAGTGTAGATGATCCTCTCCTGTAAGTTTCTTGGTAGCGTGTAATGCTACCTTTGATGCAGAATGGACGAATTATGTAGAAAACTTCCAAAGTCAATATTCATTTAGTCATCATAACATTTGGTTGCCATACCTTTACATATTTCACATAGATGAATTTCTATATCTGATTTCTGTTTTTTTCTCTTCCACTATCATTATTTCTTCTGTTCCTTTTGGATAAGATTCTCTTCCATAGCCATTTTGTAGTCAAAAGTCCCATCCTATAAAGTCTCAATAATAATTATGAGGTTAAATTTGCTTCCTAATGTATAGATTCATTCACTGCCTGGCTCATAGTATCCCTCTATACCCCAGTTTTTGTTATGATAAGTGATTTCAACATACTTATATATGTTCCCTCAGTCGAATGAATATATTAAAAAGTAAATATTAAATGCCCATTTTGTGCAAAGTTCTGTGAGAAACCCTAGGGCTGTAGATAGAAAAAATACAGTCCCTGCTCTAAAGGAGCTCACATTTTTATAAGGGGAGACAATACATATAGGGAGTTTCAGTTGTAAGAAAGGCTCAGTGGTCCTTAGGGTACAGATGATAAATGCATCTTCATTGTTAAAAGGATATCTATTTTTGAGCCATTTGACTATGTCAAAGACTTTGGTGGTGAGAACTTTTGTTTCCAGGTCTTTTATAACTTTGGCTGCTGAGAAGGCAGAACACTTGGAGAGACACTTGCTTGATTTCATTTTCACATGGGCTGTTCCTTTTTTTTTTTGGCTTTTTGGTGAGGCAATCAGGGTTAAGTGACTTGCCCAGGGTCACACAGCTAGTAAGTGTCAAGTGTCTGAGACCGGATTTGAACTCAGGTCCTCTTGATTCCAAGGCCAGAGCTCTATCCACTGTGCCACCTAGCTGCCGCAAAGGCTGTTCCCTTGGGTGATATCTTTAGGTGCTAGGCTAGAAGCAGGGCTGGTAGTTTGGGTGACTCGTGCTATTCCCAGAGCTCTTGAGTTTACTTCTCCATTGGTAGCAGTTGGTCAGCAATTAATGTTTATGTTGGGACTGTGAAGCTCTTTCTCCGTACAGGTTACTCCCCTAAAAGATGGCTTCAGGCATTACACTGAGCAGGGAGTAAGAGAGAGGGATGTGATGCTTTTTATTTCCAAGGCCTTTGGATGCAGGGTCTTGTCACCAGTTTCTAATCATCTCTGTGCAGTTGATTCCCAGATCTATGTGTCCAAGCCTAGTCTCCTAAGCTGATAGCCCCACATCACGAGCTGCCTATTAGACATTTTTTTTTTAGGCAATTGTGGTTAAGTGACTTGCCCATGATCACACAGCTAGTAAGTGTCAAGTGTTTGGTCTGAGGCTGGATTTGAACTCAGGTCCTCCTGACTTCAGGGTCAATGCTCTATCCACTGTGCCACCTAGCTGCCCCCTATTAGACATTTTTAATTGTATGTCCCATAGGCATCTCAAACTCAACTTCTAGTCCAATCTCCTCCTTTTATAGATGAAGAAACTAAGACCCAATTGGGTAAAGTGAGTTGACCAAGTTATATGGTAAATAACAGCAGAGTTGGGATTTGAAGGCAGGTCTTCTGATTCCAGCATCAATGTACTTTCAACTGATCCAAAGCTTCCTTCTTATCTCTTTGTTACTGTTGAACAAGAATATAGAATCCTTGATTTTTGTGGGTGTTAATTAATGACTTGTGATTTGGAGTTTGATAAGAGTGAAAAGACATAGAGTTCAGGGTAAGGAGAGTTAGGAGATAGGGGATATTTGGCTCAGCCTTAAATCTGATCTTTCTTACCTGACACTTAGTCTCTCTTTTCCACCCATATCCCTTAGACTTCTGGTAGGAAAACAAAGATTCTTGATGCCTCATAATTTTAAGTCCTAGTCTTCTTTTGGAAGAAGAAGAGTGCTGATTTTCAGAACATGTGTTCCCAGGGAATGTACTTTAATGGGAGCATGAGGTTCATTCTTAGCACTAGATACTTGTGTAGGAGTCCTAGATAATCTGCCTTCTTCCAGTGACTGATAAGGGAACATGGAAAACACTTTTTATGACCTTCCATCTCCTAAACAGTGTCATAGGAGATTGGGTTCTTTGGGGGAACCAATATCAACTCTTGCCTAGGGATGCTGGAAGGACAATGCTGGAAGAATTGGTGAGCCAAGAGTCATTTTATCTGTGACTGTTCATTGGGCTTCTCAGAGAGAAGGAAATTATCATCAATGAGATGCCTAAAATTTTCACTCACAGGAGATGATTTGCCAAAGGCCATATGACCCAGGGAGGAAATTTAATAAACTGGAAGCTGGCTGGACACCAACTCATGCTTATGATACTTGGGTATCTAATCCTGAGGCTGCATCAAAATAGTTTGAGACTTCTCTAGGGGAGCCTGCTTTCAGAGTTGACATCTAAGCAAATGTAGTTAATTGGGGCATAGATTTAGTGTCATCATAGATAATAGATTTAGAATGAAAGGGACCTATGAGGTCAACCTCCTCTTTTTACAGATGGGAAACTGAAACCCTGAGATAGTAAATGGTTTTTTGAAGATCGCAAGGTAGTGATAGTGATATCATCATTTGCTGCGTCTACTAATGTTTCTCAGTTTGCCTGCAAATATGCCCTTGTCCCCCCCATTCTCAAAAAATCCACACATGATGAATCCATTCCCACTAGCTGTTGTCCTATGATCTTCTTCCCTTTTGTGACTAACTCCTTGAGAAGGCCATCTATGATAACTGTTTCCATTTCCTTTCCTCTCACTTCTTAACTGTTTGCAGTCTGGCTTTTGATCTCACCATTCAACCAAAACTGTTCCCTACACAGTTACTAATGATCTCTTATATTGACAGTCCTTGTAATCTTTTCTTAGTTCTTATTCTTCTTGATCTCTCTGCAGCCTTTGACACTGTGAATCAGTCTCTTGGCACTTTCTTCTCTGTAGGTTTTCTTGGTACTGCTCTCTCTTAGTTTTCCTCCTATCTATCAGAACATTCTTTCTCTATCTTCTGTGCTGGATCTTCATTAACATCATGCCTGCTAACAATGAGTATCTCCTAAGGCTCTGTCCTTCTTTCCTTCTGTTTCCCTTGGTAAGCCTATCAACTCCTGTGGTTTCAATGACCATCCCTATAGATGACTCTTAGATTTACTTGTGCAGCTCTACTGATTTCCAACCATGTATTTCTGCTTTTTAGACATCTTTAATTGGTTGTCATGTAGACATCTTAAACTGAACATTCTGAAACTAAGCTCGTTATCTTTCCTGCCAAGCTCCCCTCATCTCTCCCACTTTTTCTTGACTTCCTTATTACTGTTTAGGATACCACCATCTCCCAGGCACCCAGGCTCGAAACCTAGATATTAGGGGCAGTGCTAACACCAGTATCCTGTTTATTCAGTTTTGATGTTGGGATGAAATGAGGCACTCACAAGTCATTGAGCAGTTAACAAAAAGAAGTTTACTTTACCTCAGCCTAACAGTGATATGCACCATGGCACTTAGTTTTTATAGACTCATTCTTCCTCCACTCTCCATCTCTATAGGGAAACATTAATCCTAACCTTGGGCAAGGTATGGTGACTTGTATGGTCTTCAGATATCCACCAAATCAGAGGGGCCCTGACTCCTTTTGGGTGGGGCTTTCTATGCCCATATGTAACCAAGAAGTTGTATCAAAGAAGGCAGGGGCTAATCAGGTCTCTTGGAGTGCTTTGTTGTCTTTAGAGAAAACTTATGCTTGTTGCAGGGAAACAGGAAAACGTATTCCTGTCATATGAGGTATTATCAATTCCCCTTTCTCATCCCTCATATCAAATATGTTGTCAATTTCTGTCAATTCTACCTTCAGAACATCTGTCTTATATGTCCTTTTTCTGACACTGCCAGCACTATGATGTTACCTGGACCATTGTAATAGCTTTCTGGTTGGTCTTTTTGCCTTAAGTATCACCTCATTCCATTCTCCATTTAGTTGCTGAAGTGATCTTCCTAATACAGTTTCAGTAGGTTGACTTGTATTTTATTTTATACATTTAAAGAAATTATTCTGAGAAGGGGACTATAGGCTTCACCACACTGCTAGAGGATTCCATGACATAAAAAAGAACCCTGATATAGAATATCAAGGGCAATAGTGGGGAAAAAAAAAAAAAAACAGGAATGAAGGGGTAATAGCACTTCAGACCTCAGATTAAAAAGCACTAATTATCATAGAATTTGCAACTAGTTAAAAAAATTAGTAGAATAGCCAAGGAAGAATCAGAAATAATTAGACTTAATAACCTAGTGTTTGGTAAACCATAAAACATGTACCTAGATATGACCTTTGTATTCGACAGGAATTACTAGGAAAATTGGAAAGCATTTAAGCATAAATTAGATTTAGATCTATGTCTTATAACATAATAGATGATGTTCATTACATGAAATTGAGAAGCTGTGACATGAAGAAAATTACCCTGATTAGAAGAGAATTGGCTAATTGGGAAACCCCTCAACTGATGTAGATCAGAAACCTCTGTGTAATTTATTGTCTTCACCCGAGGCACTGAGAAGCTAACCAACTTGACAGTGATCACGCGTTTATTTGTCAGAGATAGACTGCTGCTTGTGTGCTGGGCCTGTTTATCTTTACTTGGTACACTGCCTTGCATACAGTAGGTGGTTAAAGATGCTTCAGTTGAATTTGTCAGCTTTATAATTTTGCAGAGGGTCTGATTGATAACCATAATTAAAGGAACTTTAGAGAAATGGCTCCTAAAATTCATCATTCACTACAAATTAATCAGTAGTTTAAAAATGTGATATATTTGATTAGGTGGTTGTAACCTGAAGAACAAATCTACTCAGTCTTTGGAGTGTTGTGCTGAGTTGCTGGGTTTGGATCAAGATGATCTTCGAGTGAGTTTAACCACAAGAGTCATGCTTACAACAGCAGGGGGCACCAAAGGAACAGTTATAAAGTAAGTTAATTAAACCAGTACAAATATGCCAAAAAGTTTGTAGTGTAATTATTTTTTCCTCTGCAGATGTCTTCCTTTTTATAAACTGTTTACTTTCATTCTTTCTTTTACAGTTCTTCAAAACTGTGACAGACAATTCTTACACTTTTTTTTAAAGTTTCCCAAGATAAATGGTGACTTTCAGTTCCTTGAAGTCATTTAAAGTTTCAGAAAATATAGTTGAGCAGGACCTGGTGTAGTCTTCCAAGAACCCAGGGTCATTTTCCTAAGGCGCAAAAGTAGGAATTTAGTATAATAGTTGGTATCTTAAAGTGAATAAATAGAATAAGAAAGCTATTGGAGACATCATTCAAAGGTCTGGTTCAAAATAAACAGATAGCTTACATTTTTTAATGTAAACAATGTCAGATGAGGTGTCAGATGACTACAGTGGAAAATTTTCTTAAATAGCCTGCAAAAATGTGAACAAATTAAAAGTATGTATAAGATTCTAGGGGAAATATGTATGTGTATGTGTTGTGTATGAGACATACACACACACTTATTAGAGAGTTGGTTGTTTTTTACCATTTGTGAAAGCAGCCATTTATATCTAATATAACTTTGATTAATTATGGCACACACTACTTTGCACTTAAATCACAAAAAGCCTGGATCAGAGGTTTATTTTAAAAAGCAAAAATAAGTCCACTTCTAGGTTATGTCTGGGCTTCAGTATACATTCAGCCCATTCTCCTAGGAATAGATGAAATGGAATTAGGAGGAGAGGGTAGAAAGTAGAAGATGGCAAATGACAGAACCTTGAGGAATTCACATGTATAGGAAGTGGGAGAAGGAATCGGGACCCGAAGGAAAGTGAAAGGAGCAACTAGAAAGGTTCAGGAGAACTCAGAAAGTACAGTGTTATAGAAATCAAGAAAGTCCAGAAGAAAGATGTAATCTACAGTCAAATACTAGAGAGAGGTCAAAGAGAATGAGACCCAAGAAAGGCTGATGAAATTAGGAAGAGCATTGGCTTTGGAATCAGAAGACCTAGATTCAAATTCTGACTCTGATCCTTACTACCTTTGGTATCCTTGGGCAAGTACAATATAATACAATATAACAAAAATTTAAGCACTTATTATGTACCAGGCACAGTGGTAAGTACTGAGGATACAAATAAGGAAATGAAAAACAGTCTCTGCCCTCAAGGAGCTTTCAGTCTAATAGGGGAAGATGTAGAAAAAGAAGCTGAAAAGGGAGGGAATAGGAGAGTTGGGAGGAGTTTTTTTGTTTGTTTGTTTGTTTGTTTGTTTTTGTTTTTGCTCCACCCTCCAGTCCTCCAGTTAGAGGGGCAGAGGTAACTTAGGGTACTGAGGAGTTGTGAGTACCAAAGCTGAAGCAATCTCCTTGTCTATTTTCTTGGTGATAAGCCTATCTTTATAAGAGGGTGAGGAGAAGATAATGATGCCTTTGGAGGGAAATGAAGTCACTTAATTTCCCTGTGCCTCAGTGTTTTCATCTGTAAAATTATACTAGATAGCCTCTGAGGTCCCTTATACTTTTAATCTTTGATCTATGTTAATTGATGTGACTTTATAGAGATTTTATTATAATATTTGTAGAGGAAGTTAGATTGTAAGGGATTGAGGAATAAATAGTTGGTAAAGAAGTGGAGACAGGTGGTGTGGATTCCTTTTCCAAAAATTTTTGAATAAGAAGGAGAAAAGAGATAAGAATAAAAAATGAAGATAGGACCAAGGGCGTGGATGAAGGGGTTCAGTTTGGCAAGGAAAATGGTGTACCTCTTTCTTTGAGACTGGAACAAAGGTGAGTAATATAGGGGAAGACAAAGTGAAATTATTCAAAGGGTAACAGAAGAGAATTGAGGGACTGTACATCAGATAATTTTAATCTCACAACTGGAACTAGGATGGGGTGGCTGGAGCTTTGCTCAAGGAAAGGAAGGGTGTACTTTCTTCCTTCTGAGGAATACTCTGCCTAATCAGGATCTTCTGGCCTAGGAGACTGATTCTGATGTGCCGACTGGCCTGGGCACCTATGCCCTATGGGATGTCCAGAATCAGTGTGAAATCAGTGTTTCAAGGGTGGAGGGCAGGAGCAGGCAAGGGAATCAGTGGCATATTGCCCATCCCCTTCTCATAGTAAACTCACTCATAGCTCTCCTCAGTCCTTATCCTTTCACTTTAGTACCTTTTATTGTTAAAATAATCCCCTTTGCCCTAAATCTCTACCTCTCACTTTTCTTCCATTTTCATGCTCATGAAATCAGTCCTCCTAAAGACATCTCTTGGCACCCACTGTGACACAGGGCAAAGAGGAAGAATTGTCATACTCCTTGACCCCACTGCTACTTTCAGATCTTTCCTCTGTCATCATCACTTAGCAACTACATTTCTTCCTTTAAAGATGACCCCAGTCAGTCTATATCTTTGCTTCTGTTATCTGTAGACTTCCATGTCACTATTCCTTCACTAAGTCTAGCATATGAGTCATAGCCATTTTCTCTACTTCAACTCTTCACCTCCTTTGAACACACTGGCTTCCCAGTTTCTCAATTTACTCATATCCTCTGATCTTAGCTAGACCTCATTCAGTGTAACTCATTCATGAGTAGCAGCAGTTACACTTTAGACCCTCCCTACCATACTCAATTAAACTTGCTTAATTGTGATATTCATCCTTAGTTTCCTCATCTGTAAAATGAAGGAGTTAGTCTAGATTATTGCTGAGGTCTCTTGCATATCTAAAATGAATGATTTTATGGGTAGATTAGAGTGGAAATTGTTGGGAAGACTGCTTCTTCCTTTTGATTTCCTTATGTAAAAGCAAAGTAATTCTTGTTATCTTTAAGATCCAATAACTTCTTTAGGTGAATCTTTTAAGAAATTAAAATAGTTCAGTTGTGAATTTTATACCATTTCCTTTTTTTTCTTTTCTTTTCTGGTACTTATGAAGACTTGGTTTCCTTTGGATGACCCTGTGTCCCTGTACCCTTTATGGTTCAGTGAAGGGGAGTTGGAATACTTCTTATTCCCCATTGCTACTTCCAGATTCTTTTCTACTTCTGTCCCTTCTCCTTTGAGGGTAATGCAATCCAAATTTATCATGTAATCCAGATCCTCATGGCTGTTACCTACTGGCCTCTGTGATATTCTCCTTCCTTTCTTAGTGCATTGAGTGTCAGGCTCACAGCCTTCCTTTCTGCCACAACTCTTCTCATTTACTCACTTTGTTCAACTTTGAGGACCTAAGTCTTGTTCAGCCATACTCGGGGATGGTTGTACCCTTGATCTTATCATGTCCATGTTTGAGAAATCTGAAGTTGCTATGTTTGATCATGATATTTCATCTTTTAGATTCTCTTTATTCTTTACTCCTCCTAAATCTGCTTTCCATTCTCATCATGATTTCCAGTCCCTTAATCCTCCAGTACTGTACTGGGCTATCTTCTCTGTTTTGTCTATACTCTCCTCCTTTCCCAATCTCTATCTCTCAGTGAACTAGTTAAACTCTTTTCTTTAGTACTGAATCACTTATTCCTTTGTCCTGTCTTCAATCATACCTTGACAGAACCACCCTCCCTAGATTATTTCTACTATCTACCTTCTTTGATCCTACTCACATGATAGTAAATGGAAATGTAGGATATCATTAAATAGTGATGACTGTGGCTGCCACATTCGTGCTATTTAATTTCAACTGGGTCCTCACTGCAGCAAGCCAGTCCTTTCTTTCCTGCCTAATTTATTCATTATCTTACCACAGTATCCATTCCAGACCTTTTCATGTGATCCCTCCTCTTCAACCTTCTCAGCTGAGGACCGTGCCTAATACTTCACAGAAAAATAAATTGAGGCCATTTGTTTAGAACTTCCTTTTCATATTATATCCTTTTGACCTCAACCCTCCTATTTCTTCCCTCATTCTGGCCTTTGATGAAGAGGCAGCCCTTTTGTTTTTCAAGGCCAGTAACTGTATATGTAACCTCATCTTCTTCTTTCCCGTCTTCTCCAGTACATTGCCTTAACCCTTAGGTCCATTCCCTCTCTCATCTTCAATCTATCCCTATTTACTCATTTGTTTTCTACTTTCTATACACAGGCTTAAGCCTCTGTTTTAAGAAGTCATTTACTAGATTTTCTCCTGAATGCTATTTATTATTCTTAATAGCTTTCTTCTTTTCAGCTTACTTTGGGAAAACAATTTATTTTATTTTATTTTATTTTTGCTTTTTGGTGAGGCAATCAGGGTTAAATGACTTGCCCAGGGTCACACAGCTAGTAAAGTGTCAAGTATCTGAAACCAAATTTGAACTCAGGTCCTCCTGACTCCAAGGCCGGAGCTCTAGCCACTGCACCACCTAGCTGCTCCGAGAAAGCAATTTAAACTTAATCCCTCCACTTCTTCTTAGTATATACAAAACACAAAACTTTTCTCCAAAACCCTCCCTTCTTCTAAACTCTCATTGAGGGTACTACCATCTTCCATTCACCGAGGCTTGCAATCTTGGTTTCATCCTTAACTCCTTTCTTGTACTCTGCGTATTCAATCAAGTCTTATAGTTTCTACCTTCACAAAATCTCATGTATACATTCTTTTCTCTCCACTCAGACACCCTCCCCTCATGGTGATGAATGATTGTGATAGCTTTTTGGTAGGTCCTCTTGCTTGAAGTTTCTCTTTACTCTTTCCACTCAGCTGCTAACGTGATTTTTCTAAAACACAGATCTGACTATATGATAACCTTACTCAGTAAATTTCAGTGGCTCCATATTAATCCTTAGCATCAAATATAAAATCCTCTCTTTGACATTTAAAACTCTTTACAACCTGGCTCCTTCCTGTCTTTCTAGTTTTCTTTTTATTCCACTTTATGTACTTTATGATTCACCAAAACCTGTCTTACTGTTTCTTACTCTATTTTAAATCATCTGGATTCCTACTTTGGTATCACTTTATAGAAACTGTTATCTCTTGTTATCAGTGATCTCTTTAATTGCTAAATCTAATGACTTTTTCTAAGTCCTCATTCTTCTTGACTCTAGCATTTGCTAGTGTTAATTACCTTCTCCTCTTGGATACTGTCTTCTCTCTGGATTTTTCATGACTCTCCTCTCTCTTTATTTTTCCCTACCCATGTGACTAGCTCTTTCTCAGTTTTGTATGCTGAATCTTCATCCTTGTTTCCATGAGAACCCCCCAGATTCTGTTCCAGGCCCTCTTTTTTTTTCTTACTATACTCTCTCACTTGGTGATCTCATCAGCTCCTGTGAACTCATTTATCATTTGGATTGTTTAAGGATCAAATGAGAGAACGTATGTAAATTGCTTTTCAAACCTTAAAGTATTATATACATATATAGATGATGATGATTCCCAGATGGACTTATCCAACTCTAATCTTCCTTCTGAACTGCAGTCCTGAATTACCAGTTGCTTATTACACATTTCAAGTTTTGTGACCTGTAGGTACCGCAAATACAACCTGTCCAAAACAGGACTCATTCCTTTCTCTCTCAGACCTCCCCATCTTCAGAACGTCCCCCCTGCCATCGAATGCCTCATCCTTCTTCTAGTCACCCAGATTCACATTCAGGATAGCTTCCTTAACCCTCACTCTCACATATCCCATATATCCAGTTGTTCTTCACATCTTGTGATTTCTTTCTCTGCAACATACCTGGCATGTCTTCTTTCCAGTCACACAGACACCACCCTAGTTCAGGCCCTCATCATTTTGCCTGGAATATTTCAGTAGCCATCTAATTCATCTTCCTGCCTAAAGTTTCTCCTTACTGTAATGCAGTACAGCCACTAAAATGAATTTCTTAAACTGCAGGTCTAACAAGGCTACTCCTACATTCAGTAACTACATTGGCACTTTATTACCTCAAGGATTAAATACAAACTACTCTGTCTAACATTCAAAATTCTTCACAACCTGGGCCCTTCCTATCTTTCTCATTTTTTTATACATTACTTCCCTACATACACTCTCCAGTCTGGCCATACTCTTCTTGCTTGCTTTTGCTTACATGTAATGCTTCATTTCCTCTTTCTGGGCCTTTGTGCTGACTCTTCTATGTGCCTAAAATGTTCCTTTTCCTTATCTCTGTCTCTTGGTATCCCTGGCTTCCTTTAAAGTAGCTCAAACACCACCTCCTGCCAGCTGTCTTTTCTGGTTCTTCCTGCTGTAGTGTTCTACTTCTTGTATTGTTTCTCTATCACTTTATACCCTGTGGTTGTTAGTACAAAAGCAGCAATCATTTTTTTGGTGTTTTTTTAAGTTGTTGTTCCAAATACTGATTAAGTGCTGCAGTGTTAGATGACCATATGTCCCATAAAATGATATTTCTTGTTTCATTTGAGAGTACTAAAAAACATTCTGACTTTTTTTTTTGTCTCTCCATGGAGTATCTCTAAATAATTTATACATTTAGCCACAACATTTTTCTTCTGATTTTTTTTAGAGTGAGAATATTAAGATTGATATCATTCAGTTCCTCCACTAGTATGATAACTTGTTGGTTATATATATTTATTTATATATGCGTTGTCTTCCCTGTAACAATGAAATCTCTTTTGAGGGCAAGGACAGTTGCATTTTTATTTTTCCATCTTCATCATTTAGTACAGTTCTTGTTACGTAGTAGACATTTAATAAATACTTATTGATGAAGTGATTGGCTTTTTAAAAAGAAGCTCACATTTATCATAACAGCAGCCAAGTTAAAGTTTATAGATGTTTAAAAATTGTAATTCTTACCACCCTCTTCCCCCTTTTGTGCTGCTTTGTCCCTGCCACTGAAGAAGGGAAAGGGGGCTGCTCAGGACTGAGGGCCATTTTGTTTTTGTCTTTGTTTCATGGGTTACCCTGGCTAAGGGATGCATCACCAGGTGGCCAGCCTACCTTATTTAGTGCTTTACTTTCCTTAGATAGTGCTGAAGTGGTCCTTGGAAAGCAGAGTAGGTCTGTTGCTAGATGCCATACTTGAAACCTTTCTGGCAGGATAGAACGTCCCAGAGTGTGTGCTCTGTTGGCACAACTCTTGAGAATCCACGGTTACTTCAACACCCCACGGAAATGTTGAAATGAGACCTTGTGGGAGAATTGTATGATGGAGCTATACAAAAGTATAATTGATGCTGGCTTAATGATGCTGTGCCTTTTTAATTGACTTAACTGTGCGTTTTATCCAAAGGCTGTAATATTGTATGCCTCGAATTATTTTTATGAAATGTTTGAATATTTTTGTATTTGTTTTGTAGAGTACCCCTGAAGGTGGAGCAAGCCAACAACGCACGTGATGCTTTGGCAAAAACTGTCTATAGTCATCTTTTTGATCATGTGGTGAACAGAGTAAACCAGTGTTTTCCTTTTGAAACATCATCATTTTTTATTGGAGTGCTAGATATCGCTGGTTTTGGTAAGTTTGATATACTTTTATATTTTCTTAAGTTTCCCATGCCTTCTCTGGCATGCTGTCACTATGTACCTTAGAGGTTAAGCTGTTAAGTTCTCCTGTTCCTTGAAGAATACTCCTGAGTGATTCTTGGGATCAACAAAAGATCATCCGGGAGAATCAGCAGTGAAGGTAACTTCACCATCTCTTCTTCTTACCATTGACACCAATAAAATTGGCTCTATCTTTCTGCGACTCTCTGCTGCCCTCCCTTTCACCTGTGCCCTCTGAGAACCATCCTCCTTCATGGTGGAGGGGAAAAATGTGGAATTTCGTCAGAGAACTTGAGCTTAAATCCATGTTTTGCCATTGGTGCTAATCTGTGTGACTTTACCTCTTTGGGCCTCAAGGGTTTCAACTACATAATTTTTAAGGTCCTTTCTAGCTTTGTATTTATGACCCTGTCAACTTTGATCTCTTACTTTCAACTTCTTTTCGTCACTTGGTGCTCACTGAAGCCTAGATTTCTCCTGAAGATAACTCTTGGCACTCCCTCCAAAGCCTTCTCTTGTACTCCTTGGCACACTAGGCTGGGAGGAGGAGCATGGATATTTGTTTTTCACTGCTGTTTTCATATCCGCCTGCTGAATGATTCAGCTACTTTAAAGTTGACTCCATTTTATTCAGATCCTTGTTCCATTATACGCCACTAGCAGCCTTAATGTTTTTTCAACTCCTCTCTTCTTTTTTAACATCCTGTGCTCTCTTTTTCTCAGCCTTCTCACATTCCATAATCTGAATGATTATTTTTATCTCTTCCCTTGCTCCCTCTTCTCCTACCTCCCACACCCCATTCCTCATAAGTCTGGCTGAATTTGCCCCATTACTGTAGTTCTTAGTCATGACTCTGCTTATTTATTATATAATTTTCTTAATGTGATATTTTCTTATTTATACATATCTGCATTTTTACTTTATGGACCAAATAATAAGCAGATGGTACACAGATGAAAGATTCAAAAGACTGGTTTTTGTCTTTACTTATTTCAGTGACTTAATTATATCTAGAACCTGATGTTCAATGTACATCTTAAACTCATTATGTCCAAAACTGAACTCATTTTCTTTCCCCCTAAATCTTTCTTCCCTCCTAAGTTCTCTATTACTGTAGAGGGCAAAACATCCTTTTTGTCCTTCAGGCTTGGAACCTAGGTGTCATCCTCAACTCCTCACTCTCTCATTTCCCCTATTTGGTTTGTTGCTAAGGCCTGTCGATATATCCGCCTTCTCTCCTCTGACAGTGGCACCGTTCTAGGGCAGACTCTCATCACATTATACCTGGATTATTACAGTACCCTGCTGATGAGTCTGCCTGACTTAAGTTTCTCTCCATTCCAATCCATCCTTTATTCAGCCACCAAAATAAATTTGCTAAAGCACAGGGACCATGCTGATCCCCCCCTCCTCAATAAACTCTAGTAGCTCCCTACTCCCTCTGGGATCAAATACAAAATCTTCTCATAGTTCTCTCATAACAAAGTCCCTCATAACCTTGACTTCTTCTAACTTTCCAGTCTTCATACACTTTACTCCTTGACATGTACTCTTTGATCCAGCCTTTTTGTGGTCCCATGAACAAGAAACTACATCTCTTGATTCCAGACAGTTTCTCTGGCTATCCCCATGCTTGGAATGATCTCCTGTCTCACCCCTAACTCCTGGCTTCTCTGGCTTCCTTTAAATCTAGCTAAAATCTCATCTTCCACAGGAGCCCTTTCTTAGACCCTCTTAACTCTAGTGCTGTTTGTCTGTTAATTAGTTCCTATTTATTCTGTACATCACTAATTTGAACATATTTGTTCATATTTTGTATCTCCAGCACTTAGCACAGTGACTGAAACATAGTAGGCATTTAATAGATATTTCTTATCTATGTTGTTTGAAAACATCCTGGTATCGAATGTGCATCTATAGCTCTCTTCTCATTGTATTCAGAGTCAATCAGAGTGAGTCAATCAACATTAATTAAGCCTACTATGTTCCTTGCACTGTGCTAAGTGCCAGGTATACAAAGAAAGGCATAAGACAGTAGCTGTGTGGCATGATGATGTCCTGTGGCTAAACTAAGGAGGTTGGAGTTTCAGAATTGGTTTCATCATGCAGAATGATGAGTTCCTGGAAATCATGATATCCCTGAAAGCAGCCAGCTGGGAAACGATGAGCTGAATTCCTTGGGTAACCTCCATAAATGGTGGAGGATCTGGGAGGAGCTTCCAGATATCCATTCCCTACCTTCTACAGTCAGAGGGAGGAAGGAGCCCCATATGCAAGAGCATAGAGGCAGGTGAACCAGTTTGAGGCTATTAAAATAGTCCAGGAGATGAGGAGGACTAAGAAGATGTTGGCTATGTGAATGGAAAGAAGGGGAAAGATGTGAGGTGTATATAGATATACATATGGATATAGACTTGATAAGACTATAGCTAACTGGATATGAAGAATGGAGGAGAGTGAGGAATCATTGTTATGGGAGTGGTAATCTATATTAAATAAAGTACTGTAATACTAATTGTAGTTGAATACATTTTGTGCTGTTTTATTGTATGGTGCATGACACTGCTTCTCTGCAGTAGTTGATAGTCAGACATTTATTAAGTGCCTCCAGTGTACCAGGCACTGTGCTAAATATTGGGGATACAAAGAAAGGCAAAAGACAGTCCTTGCACTCAAGGGGCTCACAATCTAATTGGGGAGGACCACACATAAAATGAAGCTGAAAAGCTAGGGGGAGGATAAAAAGGAGAGGGTATTCTGGAGGTATAAGGAAGTCCAGAAGAGTGGGAAATGAAAAGATGGCTGCTCTGAGTACCCTCCTTAAATGTAGGATCTGGGAGGAGCTCTTCACTGTCCATCCTGTATCCTCTCCAGTTAGAGGGAGAGGGAGAGAGCTGGCAGCAGGGTCAGGAACCTGAGATAAGAGTTTCAGGGTTGATGTGATCTTGCAATGTAATGAGATTCTGATGAAGTCCTGAGTAGCACAGCCAGGTGGGAAATGACGCAGCTCACCAATTATATTTGGCTTTTGTGTTTTTCTGTGAAAAGTAGTTTTTTTTTTCCCGTGCTATGATGAATAAGGTCTCTATACAATACAGCTATTTCTAAAGGATGTCTGTTTCAGAAATTTAAAGTAGCATATCTTTTTCTAACCAGTTCATGTTTAATAGAATTAAAGTCTGAGAATGAATGTTATCATTGTAGTATAGAACAGTGAATGTTATTTACAACTGTTGATTTTTGTCTAATCTGGATTTAAGTCTTTGCTGCAATTAAAACTTATTTTAAGAAAAATTTATGTTACTGATCTGATAAAGATTATTCATTATAGTTTTTTATTTTCTCTTTCAGAGTACTTTGAACACAACAGTTTTGAACAATTTTGCATCAACTATTGCAATGAAAAGCTACAACAGTTTTTCAATGAAAGAATTTTGAAGGAGGTAATTTATAACATGCCTGTTGGTTGTTATAATATAGATTTTTAGAGGACAAAAGTAAAAGTGGTTTTGGTTTGTTTGGTTTGCTAAACATTGTACTATTGAATTTCATGTAATTTCTCCATATATTTTCCTTGAACATGTTACCTCTGTTTCCTTTTTAGACCCTTTAAAAATATGTGTATTCTTTGTGTTTTTATATTCTTCTAACAGTGATTTATAATATATATTTGAAATTTAGTAAAGTATTCAAGTGGTATAACTTTTCCTACAAAACCCATTGGGTAGAAAAATTTCTCAATATTTAGATCCTTCACTATTTCATTACTTAAGTGGATTTAGGATCGTCAGTGTAGATATCTTTTCAAGTGTTGTAGGTTGCAACCTATTCATGCTTTCTTATCCTTTTGTATTCTTGTCCATGTGCTACTATGAATCCTCCATAAAGAATCTACACAAAGTCCTGACAGTCACCTTCTGAATTTTTTTTTTTAACATTACACGGGTAACATTGTAGTGCTTGGGCTATCTTTTTGTTATGCTTTGTTTTTGATACATGACTAACTCACTTTATTTTCCAAATATAAATACCCTCATCTGCTTGACTTCTTTTCTGTATTTGACACTTGACCACCCTATACACTCCTTGGTCCCACCTACCCTTCTCTGTTATTCACATGTGATATTCCGTGGACTGTCTCTCTGCCTTTTCAATGACTGTCCCTCATGCCTGGAATGAACTTCCTCTTCATCTCCACGTTACAGAATCCCCCTCATCTTTGAAGAGGCAACTCAAACATCATCTTATACACAAAGTCTTTCGTCTAAGTACTAGTGTCTTCCCTAACTACCTTGTATGTAACTACTTTGTATTTTTTTCATAATCTATGTACACATACATGTCTGTGTTTGTATGGTGTCTCCCTTAATAGAATATAACCGCCTTCAGAGTGGGGATTTTCTTATTCATTAGATTTGTGTCCACTGTATCTAGCATAATGTCTGACATATAGTAGATACCTAATAAATAATTATTGATCACTTGAGATTCTGGTTTCAATTTTAGTAACAATGTCAGTATTGATGTAATTCTGTCTCTTCAGTCCTGTATCAGTGTTGGTAGTCATTGGACAAAGTTCTACATTTAGATAAGCAACTTCTAAATTATTATTTATACATAGTCTTTTTTTGGGGGGGGGGCTAGGGAATGGGGTTAAATTACTTGCCTAGGGTCACACAGCTAGTAAGTGACAAGTGTCTGAGGCCAGATTTGAACTCAGGTCCTCCTGACTCCAGGGTCGTGCTCCATCCACTGCGCCACCTAGCTGCCCCTATATATAGTCTGAAGATGGTATGATTTTCAGCATCATCTTCCTCCTCCTGTCAGTCAGTCACTATTCTCATACAAGTGGGCCTACACAGGACTAAGAACTTGTTTGTAATTTCTCTTCTTTCACAGGATGACAGGAGTCTAAAAATTCATAACCTAGTGATTAATCTGCTCCTGATAAGTGTTCTTAGCACCTACCTAGGCTGATACTTCACTGGAACAGTCTTTTGCAGAGACTTTAAGTATTTGACAAATACTAGAGTATATGTACATTCTTGGCCTAAGAACAGGTCATACTTGCTTCTGTCATGAAACTTTCCCTTACTTAAAAAAGAAACACACCTTCAATTGAGAAAAAGGCTTAGTTTGTTTACATTTTCACCTAATAGCTTATAAATGACATATACATACAAATGTAATTATAACTGGTATTTATGTAGTGTTCTAAAGTTTGTAAAGCATTTTACAGATAGTATCTCGTTTTATCCTAACAACAGTCCTGGGAGATGGGTGTTATTATCATTCCATTTCACAAATGATGAAATTGAGGCAGACAAAGGTTAAGTAATTTGCCCAATGTCAGATAGCTAGTATATGTCTGAGTCACATTTGAATTCAGGACTTCCTGACTCTAGGACCAGCACTATCCACTATGCCACCTTACTGTATATATTTGTATATGTGTGTGCTTGTATATATAAACACATATGCATACAGACATTTTATACACACACACACACCCCCATTTGTGTTTATGTATATATGCACATATACCCTCACTCACACGTTCATGTGTATATAGTCATCCAGTGTATGTTATAATCTGTATACAGGAAAATGTCCACTTTACTGATATGTATGCCATATGAGCAGATACAAGGATCAGATCTGCCCCTGCCTAAATTTAGGGAGATATTCAGGTTTGTTAAAAGACTTAATTAGTTCATTTGAGATAAGCAAAATTAAGACATTTAGTCTAAAATGGAAATAAATTTTCTTTTTTGAATGACATCAAGGGGTAGTAAGTCTATAAAATAGGTGCAACTGTATCTTGTGGGCTTATAAGTACTTTCCAGAGAGTTTGCTTTGTTTATTTTGTTTATCATAAGTTCTTAGTTACTTGATTTTACGTGACTGATAATGTATAAATGTGCACATGGACTTGATTCTGTGTATATGATTCATATACTTGATTTGTGTGAGGGCTACTCCTTGTCCTAGGAGAATGCTTGGTCATGTACTCTCTAAGAGCAAGGACTTTCTCTTTTCGCTGTTCAGTGGTACATTCTTCCAGTAAGCTCTTTGAAAAGTGAATTTTTTCATTTATTGTATTTGTATCTTAGCATCTAACATACCTAGTACAGAGTAAGTTCCTAATAAATATTTGTTGATTAATCTCCTCTGTTACTGAGTATAATATAAATACTCAGTAATTGTTAATTATACTGCAACTATAAAACACTGAAGCAATTTCATACCTCAGGAGATATCCATATCTATAATTGTTTCATTTTTATTTAGGAGCAAGAACTCTATCAAAAAGAAGGCTTAGGAGTCAATGAAGTACACTATGTGGATAATCAGGACTGTATTGGTATGTCTTATTTGACTATATTTTTGAAAAATATGGCAGGTTATGATTAGTTTTCTTTAGAATGGATTTTAATACTTTGTCTTGCTATTTTTCCAATCTGTGGCTATTGAACACTTTAGCTAGTGGAAATAAAGATGTGATTAGTTATTGAGAAAAGCCTCATTTTTTAAATACTGCTTCTTGAAAGGAATTCTTTCAACTCAACCCTCTGGTTTTGGTTTAAAGTTTTCTAAAGGCTTTTTTAATCCTGTTTAGTGCTTCTGAATTTTTGTGTGGCTAGTATGTTAAAACAAAATTAGGAACTTTAGAATAAATACTGTCAATACATTTAAGTAAATTAAACCTAATAATGAAAGTAGCAGTATGAAGTCAGAATAATTTTTGATCTGTTGAACATTTTTGGGGGGGATTGGATTGAGTAACATATCTATTTCCATTTCTATAATTGTATGTAACAATGGGACCAGTTTTCTTTTGCATGTCATAGCACATGGACTTCCCAAAGAGACCAAAGGAAGGATTTATCTTTGGGACTAATGTGCCTTTCTCTGACTGAGAATGTAACTACAGTTGTGACCAGGAAACTTGTGTTTGTTAGAACATTGTGCGTAAAAGTGAATAGTTGTTGCCTGTGAGTCATTCTCTGCTATCAGCATCTGCTACTATCCTTATTACCTAATCAACATCCATTCTTACTGCTCACTACATACATTAAGAGAAAGTCCCTTTGTAAATTTGGCCTCCCAGTCTCCAGACCACTGGTGAGAACTAGGTAGGGTACAATAATTTTGTGTATAGCACTTTCAAAACACTTGGCATTTTTGCACTGAAACTTGTTTATTCCCTTTTTATTCCCTTTCTTGGACTCTGTCCTTTATTCCTAAAGATCTTGTCTCCTCTTTCATGTCTCTTCCTATCATAATGCTTCCGAACTTTTAAGGTCCAACTTAAATTCCACTTCTAACCTATGGAACATGCCCCAGTCAGAAATAATATCATCCCCCTTTGAACTCTTGTGACACTTATTTTCTTTACCTCTTATGTGGTACTTTTCAGATACTACCTTGTATTGTAGTTATTTCTGAGCATGGCTATTCCTCCAGCTAGATTTAAAGGTTCTAGAAGAGTGATGAACTTAGGTTTTGTACACCTTAACACAGTGTTTTACACATAGGAGGTGCTCAGTAAATATTTTCATTTCACCTAATGAACGAATTAAAATCTTTTCAGCTTATTTTTTTATCATGAGAAACATATGGACTTAGTCATAGTATTGTACATTTAGAGCTGGAAGGAGCCATTTAGTCCAGTACTTTGATTTTACAGTTGAGAATACTGAGGCACAGAAAAATTAAGTGATTTTTCTAGAGATAGGTAATTAAGTGACAAGCAAGGATTTGAGCTCAGGTTCTTTGATTTTCAGCATTTTTATATGTACTCCCTCCAAAACAAACTCTGAGAGTAGACAGGATATGGATTATTATTCACACTTTTTGCATAAGGAAATTAAGGCATAGGAAGTTTGTAATTTGCCTAAAATCATTCCTTACAAATTTAATCAAAAGGTCTTTAAACTGAAAATAAAGGAAGGCTGAGATAACTTACTACATATACCTGCCAAGCAATGGAAAAGCTACTGTGTAGGAAGAATAACAATAAAGACACCTAGAAATTCACTAGTGAGAAAACACAAGAAAAAAAGCTAGGAGTGTAAACCATGACTTCTGATATTTGTAAATAAATGAGTAATAAGCAAAATGAACTAGAACTCTTAACACAGAAAGACAAATTTGGTTTACCCAGTTTTCAATGACACTAGTAGGATAGGACTTCTTGGTGGAATGAGGCTCTAGAAAAGTATATATCTTGTTCAAAAGGTTAAATAAAAGGGAGAGAATAGCATTGAATATTAAGAAAATATACTCCATTCAGGAAAGCTCAGTAGAGGGCATTTGGGTGAAGGTGAATGGAAGAAGAAACAAAAACATTATTATTTTTGGAGTACACTACAGACCATATGGATAGAAAGAGCAAATAGATTACAAGACATGCGTGAAGACATGATAAAACAGTAACGGAGGAACTTATTTTATCTGGTCATCTACCAGAGATCTCGCTCTGCCCAAAGTAGAGGAACTGATGATTTCTTGATTTGCCTTGCTTTAATGATAACTTTATCCTTCAAAAAATGGAGGAACAAGTAGGACAAATTCTTACCCTAGACCTGATTCTCACCAATGAGGAAAATTTGTCTGTTTTAAAATGATAGGAACCTTGGGGGAAAGGAACCACTCCATCTTAGAATTTGTCATTGAGGGGAAGGAAATTGAATATCATTTGATAGGTACCCCAGATTTTGGAAGAGCAGATTTCATAGGTTTCAGAGAAAGGCTAGGTGGGACGCCAGGGTCTAAAATTCCATAGAAGAAGACGAAGCCTTCATGATGAAATTCATGATACAGAAAATAAGAATTTTAATGAGGAAGAAACAAGGAAGAAAAGAGACAATTATCCAAGAGACTGATTTGGATAGACAGGAAACGCATTGACCAAGTCAAATTGGAAGGAGATGTTCGACTTCCTAACAGAAGATTGAATGATGGCAGTATTATTGTTATTAATATATTATATTACACACAATATTATATTATTAATAATATTATTAATAATAATAATAGTTGACTTTATATATCACTTTAAAGTTTGCGAAGCATGTAATATACATACCCTCTTTTCAGCCTCACAACATCCCTTTGAGGTTGGAATTACAGATATTTTTATATATACTTTGTTTTACTTTTGGTTATATACATTCCCTTTTACAGAGGAGGAAACTGAGATCAGAACTCAGACTCTTAGACTTGTAGTCCAGTACTCTTTCCAGTGCCTCCTCATATATTACACCCACTTCAGAGAAGAAAATTGACACATAGAGGTTGTCATATCCAGATTCTACATCTGGTGCATGACACAACTGGGAATAGGACCAGGTCTCTTGATTTACCATGCTATACTCTTGACATTAGATTTTGCTGCCCCTGTAGAAATATCATTGTAAATTTACTTTTGAGAATGAGGTGCTTGGGAAACCTTAAAATAATATCTAATAATGTACACAGTAACTTGCATATTCAATTCAAACAGTTTTAGAGCAGTTGAATTTTTAGTATAACTGTAGAGGAAGCAGAGTGGTATAAAGAGGCAAGAAAATTTGGAATGATTTGTTCTTTTTGTTCTGAAGCCTTGTAAGGTTGATCTGTTTCTAAAAGTCATGATCTAAATGAGAAAAGGATGTTCTTTTTTCTCTACCAGGCCTCCTCAACTATTTCCAGAAAGAGAAGAATAAGAAATTTCTTTTTCCATAAAAATTTTAAAAACTACAAATAACTTTATTAAATTAGCTGTGCTTCTACTTTTCAGTGGACTACAGTAACAAATTTTGCAGTAAAAATCAATAGTTAGCACAGAATACCTGTAGACTCTTTAGTTAAGTTTTTCTAGTTTATGATTAGTGTATTAACACTTCTTTTATGCTTAGTTACTGTTGACATTATTTTGAATGTTTTATTTTTTTTCATTTAAATAGATTTAATTGAAGCAAAATTAGTGGGAGTACTGGATATTTTGGATGAAGAAAATCGTCTTCCTCAACCAAGTGATCAGCACTTTACAGCTGTGGTTCATCAGAAGCATAAGGACCACTTTCGCCTTACTGTGAGTTTACTGTTAGAAAGTTATTAGTCTTATAGGAAGATTTGGTGTAGTGAAGAAGAGAGTGAGGGCTCATCCTTTTGAAGATGCCTTCATGTAGCTAGCTGTATTAATTAGAAATGCCTGAAGAGTACCAAGGGACATTTTAAATGTTGCTTGTTGGAAATGCACATTTTTTAAAAACTAGAAAATTCTTTTCTTTACCTAATATGGGTACTTATTATGTGATAAACTATATGTAATAGTGAAGGCCTAAAGTGGGAGCCCAGTTTTTATTTGTTCCATTGGGAGAGGGATAAATGAGTAGGAAAGGTATGTGTGCAATTTTCTGAATGCATGAATACCTGTTCTCAGTTAATTCTAATTTATTTGTAAAATTAGAATGAAAATTCTAAAATTAAGAATAGAGCCCTAACATACTTTATTCTATATTTCTGTAAAATAATGACTGCTAGATATAGCTAATAAGGTTCTGTACTTGGAATCTGCAAGGACTTGGGTTCAAGTCCTGCCTCTAACACTAGAAGCTGGGTGACCTTGTGCAAATCACTTAACCTTTGTGTGTCTCAAGTAACTCTAGGGATTGTCTACTAAGTCACAGATATGTTGTAAACTGTGTTGTTTCAGGAATTTCCTACCCCAGCAATTCTTCATGCTGATGAAATCACAGATTTTTCTCTAGTTTTCTATTAAAGTAAACATTATTTGATGCTTGTTGAAAGGTCTTTAACTGGAGAGACAGCTGAGTATAGTGAATAAAAGCTCTGGAATTCGAGTTAGGAAGACCAGGCTCAATCCAATCTCAAATACTGTTACTGGCTCTTTAAATCTAAGCATGTTGCTTAACCTTTCTCAGCTTAACAGTCCTTACAGGTAGGGAGCATAATATCTCCCAGGCTTGTTGTGAGGCTCAAATGAGATTTTGTGTGTGTGTGTGTGTGTGTGTGTGTGTGTGTGTAAAGGTTAAAGCACTATTTGATTGTTAGCTGTTATTGTTGTTACCACTATTAATAATTCTTAAAGGAAAATATGATTCAACTTTCTAAAATAGATAGATATCACATAGACTTCACAGAACTTTAGAGCTAAAAAGGATCATGGAAATCATACCAGTCTCCTCATTTTACTTACAGGGATACTAAGTTTCATTGAAACAGATAAAAAACTCTCCTACTCATGAATCATCAGTTAAACAAAGGATTTAGCAAGAAAACATCTCTTTAGTGAAATGTCCTTAGTTTGAAAATATGTGACATGTATTTTCTTGGTTGTTCAACATTTTAGATGACTGACATTGGATGCCAGGAAAGACAAATTTGAAATGACAGAAGTATAGCAGAATTAGTATACAATTTAATATTTGTAGCCATTACAAAATGAGAATATGCCATGTTTTTAATTTTTAAATCTGATTCATCTTTTTACTTAACTATTTCTGTCAGTGGAAGCACTGAGTTTGCTTAGTCTTCTGTTCTTGATACCAGGGTATTATGGTTAACATGTCCTCCTTACCCATCATTCAGTAAAGGTTACCTGTACTTCTGGAATTTTGTACACCCATTCTGGGCTTTTTCTTTCCATTGTCACTAACACATTAGTATAGGCCTTCCTGGTAAACTATGTGAAGTAAGAGCATTCTGTCCTAACTGATCTTAGTACCTACCTCTTGTTTCCTTTGGCCTCCACATCTACTGTTGAGGCCACTTTTCCTTCTGCATAGATCGAGAGGTTACCACTCTTCTGCTCAGAAATTTCCATTGATGTACTATATATTGTTTAAATAGTACACTCTGAGTTCTTTCTCTCCCTAGTGGAATGCATGCACTTGAAGGCAGGAATTGCTTAATTATGTATTCCCATTTCTGTTATCTAGCATAAAAGAAAAAGTATTCACATATCCTAGTGCTTTGTATGTAGTGGATGCTTAATAAATGTTTGTCAGTTTGAGTAGAAAAACCTTTTCCTGGCATTCAAGGACTTTTACAATCTGACTCCATCATACCTTTCCAGGTTTATTTTGTACTACACACCTTCAAAATATTCTTAAAAAATATTTTTGTTAGTATATTTTGTTTTTACATTGCCCTAAATTCTTAACGTAAACTTTCTGCCATCCAGTGAGCCAGTCCTCCCTCCTTGTAATGAAGAATAGAAAAGATAAAGAGCAGCTTAGTAAATGGATCAGTCTGCCTGCTGACAGCAGTGCATTTATAATTCCACACTCAGAGTTCAACACCTCTGCAAAGTAACTTTCCACAAATTCTGTGCTTAAGCCAAAATTGGGCTACTGTGCCCCTGAAACATGCCCTACAATTTCCTGCTTTTGTGTTTTACTCATGCTGTTCCCTGTAGCTAGAATATGACTTGCTTTTATCTCTTAAACATCTTACTGAGGTAATCAAGCTCACTTCAGATGCAGTTGCTTGTGGAAATGTGGCAACCTACCTATGAGTAGCACTTTGCAACTTTTCAAATTAAAGATGGAGACTAGCTAATTTTTATCTTCTACTCTGTTGGATCTGTGATATCATTGATTTGTGAATTCTCTGTAATGATTCAGATTGCAACCAATCCAGCCACACCTATCCTTTGTGACAGTTATCTGTGTTATCTTCAAAGGAGATAGGAGACCCACCCAACATATTGGAGTCCTTCCTTGACCTCCTCTTCTTGTCGTACAATTCTTTGAGGATGATCTTTGCTGCTATTCTTCTTCCAAGTTGCACCTTAGTTTTCATGTTGCATTCTGCTCACAACAACCATGCACAATCCATACTACTCATAACTATTCTTAAAATTTAAGATTTATTGAGTTGCTACTTTTGTTATTTTTCCAATCCTGTAATTATTTTAAATGTGATCATTTGGAAATAAGATGTAGCATGACATACCAGGTAAACTTTAGTTTGTTTCCTCATTTCTTTTCTTTTCTTTTTCTTTTTTTTTTGCTTTTTGGTGAGGAAGTCGGGGTTAAGTGACTTGCCCAGCGTCACACAGCTAGTAAGGGTCATGTGTCTGAGACTGAATTTGAACTCATGTCCTCCTGACTTCAAGGCCAGAGCTCTATACACTGCGCCACCTAGCTGCCTCTGTTTCCTCATTTCTAAAAGAGAGGTATTAATCTCTTATCTGCCTCCCTCAAAGACTCTTTTGAAAACAAACGAAATTCAAATCACTGAAAGCAGGGGAGAGCTAGGTGGCGCAGTGGATAGAGCACCAGCCCTGAGGTCAGGAGGACCTGAGTTCAAATCCGGCCTCAGACCAAACACTTGACACTTACTAGCTGTGTGACCCTGGGCAAGTCACTTAACCCCAATTGCCTAAAAAAAAACAAAAAACAAAACAAACAAACAAAAAAAAATCAAATCACTGAAAGCAGTACACTGATATAAAAGAAAAGAACAAGATATTTTTCATCAAAGGGTATCAGTGACTTCATTTGTAATATAAGTGGATTAGACTTGATGATCATTTATGTTCACGTTATACAGTTCTCTACCTTTGTTATTATTACTGAAGCTTCTGTGCACTACCAAAAACGAATAATATATTTTTATATAGAAACAATCTCAGTGTGGTAACCTTTATGCCTTCAGTGAGTCCAAATGGCACTTATTAAGTGGAAGGAGATTAATGAAATCTTCTTCAGGTATTTGGGATTTTCTGAGACTGGTAGCAGCATTATCCAAAAAAGTGGTATAGTGGTTAGAGCCTTGTACTTGGCATCAGAAAGACTTGGGTTTGAATCCTACTTCAGACATTTGGTGACTTTGGGACTCTGGACAAGTCAGTTAATCTTCCTGGGCTTCATTTTCCTTGTTTGTAAAAAGAAGGGATTAAATTATAAGATCTCTAATGCCCATTCCAGGTCTAAATCTGTGATAATCTATGATGTGTAACTAGTCTTACAAAAGGCACATTGTGCTTCAATGTGCCATTGATATTCTTAATTATAATATTTAGTTATAAGATAGTGATATCTTAATATTTTATAGATAATTCAAGAACACTTTGATAACTGTATTAGACATTTCAAAAGCATTACAGTAGTGAAAGTTAGAGAGACTTTCTGAATTTGAGTTATTTCTTTAAGGAATCAATCACAGATTATGTAATTCATTACATAGTAATTTCACAAATTGAAGACCTGTGGATTCCTTTACAGATTCCCAGGAAATCCAAACTGACTATTCACAGGAACATCAGAGATGATGAAGGTTTTATCATCAGGCATTTTGCTGGAGCTGTGTGCTATGAAACAGTGAGTATATATTGAGTGTCATAGTTCAACTAGGAAGTCTGGTAAAGCTTATGGACCTCTTATCAGAATAATTTTCTTAAATGCATAAAATAAAACAACATAATTGCAAAGAAAACCAATTGTATAAAATAAAGTTATCAAAATATAAAAAAAAGAAAACAAATTGATGAATACCCTGAACTGTGTTCATGGACCCTTAGGGGTCTGTAGACACCAGGTTAAGAAACACTGGTTTAATCGTAGGAAAATATCCTGTTAGTTAATACTCTGCTTAGGATGAAAGAAAGACTTTCTCCATGTCTGATGCGTTAAACTTTTCATGGTAAGTAGTATATTTTGATCATAATTTTCAGAGCCTCCAAAAATAAAACATTCAAAAATGGCTGAGATGTTTCTATTTCTTCAGGACCAGAAGACTCTCTTAATATTGTGAAGTTTCCTTGTTCTAAACAAATTTGTTTTATTTATTTTTCAGACTCAGTTTGTTGAGAAAAACAATGATGCTTTACATATGTCACTTGAATCCTTAATATGTGAATCCAGGGATAAATTTATTCGAGAATTATTTGAGTCATCCACAAACAACAACAAAGATACCAAACAAAAAGCAGGAAAACTTAGCTTCATCAGCGTGGGGAACAAATTCAAGGTATTAAAATAACTTGCAAATTTTTCTTGCATTCAGAATACTTAAATTTTACAAGTAAAGTTGATATAAACCAAGTTATTGGGAGAAATCCATTATTTGTAATATAAAAGCTGACCAAAACAGGTCTTTTTTTAACTTTAAATTTAATGAGATAGAGAGGAATTGCAAATACAGAAATACTTGCAGTATTCTAAATGCTTCCTTTATTAGTAGCTAACCAAAATATCTGATTACTTCTCCTAATTTTTCTCCTTTCTTCTGCTTACTGTCAAGCTGACATTCAAAACCTTACTTTCTCCACATGTTTTCTGTTTCCTTTCCTTATTCAGCAGTTTTATTTAAGCTGGGATATTCCAGCTCAGGATGGCTAGAAAGGACTAGTTGAGTTGAGAAAGGAAAAGCAGGCACAGCCAGGGGCTTCAGGTAAATGATCACCTTTATGGATTTGTATTTATAAATTTTATTATCATTTTAGTAAGAGCCCTTCTCAAAGCAATTTGTAATTTCTTTTTGATATGTTTTATATCATTGTGGCATTGTAAATGTGTATACTATACTAACAAATGTTTATTATTAAAATAATGTTATTTAAAATGCAAGTACTAAGTGCTTCAAATTGCTTATTTACTTTTGACAGATGTTTCATGCCAGATTTAATTGTGCTCATATTAAAATCAAGAATTTTTTATTGTTTGAGGCAAGGGAAGTAATTTTTCAAAAAGCCTACCTTGAAGTGTAAAACCTTTCATTGGTCTTAATTATTTATTTTTCAGGCTCAAGATATGTGATATAGTGTTTTTCCCTGAAAACTTGATGAATGTAGCACTTAGTTATTGTGTAGTATATTTATTTTTTATACTAGTTCCATGGAAAAATGTTCTGGTTTTGTCTTTTATGTCAGAAAAAATTTTTATGAATTCAGAAGATTAGTTTTCTTTGGCTTTAACTATATTATTACTTTTAAATACTAGGATTAAAGATATGAATTTGACAAGTATCCATATGAAAACTTTACATTAACTTATGATGCATAGTATTTTTAGAAACGACAACAAAGAATACTTCTGTTGCTTCAGAGTATTTTAATAGAAAGTAATTAACTTTTAACACAAGAATTTTAGATATTTTCCATTTTGAATCATAGGTTATCTTTCACAAATGTTAACTTCATAATTCATACAAATTAGAACTTTAAAAAAAATGGATCAATCTTTGTGAATTTAATGCTCTTTCCCAAGGAGGGGTTTTTAACCACTATTAACAATTCTCAAAACTCATTCACAATTTGCCTGATTGCTTTATGTCTCTCCCAGCAATATATATTATTCCACCTGCAAAACTTCTTACAGTCAAAAGTTAAAGTAATTAGGAATAATTTTCTAGAAATATTACACACATTTTTCTCTGAATCGTTTTGCACTAAGATTTCTTGTGCTTAGGACACTGCTTTGCCATATGTAGCTAAATAATATAATTCTAAATTTCAACAAACACGCATTAAGATCTATGTGAAAGTTACTGTACTAGATGCGGGGATAGCACTGCTGTCTACAAGCTTAGATTGTTAAACATGTAAAGGATATTTACACAAATACTATGATAAAAGATGAGGTATGTGCAGAGGTGAGGCCCAGGAAATTCTATAGTACTTCTTAGTTTCAAATTAAAATTTAGTAAGTCATTGTAACTGATTACGTAGCTTATATAGTATTTCTTCATCATGTAGAATCTTTAGTGAATTAAGGGCTTCATAGAAGTCAATTTCCACATAGCTGAAGGTTATACTTTAAGAGCCCAACTGAAATGAGTTTTTCTTCAAAAATGGATTTATATACTCCCTGCTTTTAAAAACTGAACATAAGTTTATCATTATGTAATGGCTTAAGAGTGTCATGAACTTTACTGTAGTACAGGAGTTGTCTTGTAGAGAGCTGTTTACCCTTCCAACAGCCCAGGCTGATATACAGTTATAGTTCTTGCTTTTCTCAGCTGTCAGATGCTTTTATTGTTCATTTTGCTGCCATGTTTTATTTATGCCCAAGTCCTAAGGATGTCTTCATGCTACTCTCACAGAGTAAAGTGCATAGGTTTTCTAGTAATTGTTTCTTTCCCTAATTGAGAGGCCTTTTTTTGCTTTTGTGGGTTTCTTACTAGTCTTATCAGATAGTGAAAGTTGTCAGAAGTCTCATCTCTAAAAAAGTGGGTTGTTAATTATATTTTGTTAATTGAGAAATCATTTTCGTATCCTTAACTTTGAATTTTCTTCTGTTACAAGTATATCCAAGACTTGTTAAGGCCTATTTTAAGTTAATATAAATTATATTAATGTAGTGAAGATAGGTACTGTGCATTGTTAGTATTAATAAAAGTTTTGAAACCAAACCTTTTTGCAGGGAGATTATGAAACAACACAGACATCAGTATTACAAAAATGTACTTGGCAGAATAATAATTAAGGCATTTAGGGTTTATAATTTCTTGGCAAGGTAGATGGAATATTCAGTTCTAGAACTGAGGCAGGATTAACTCCATAACTGTGATCACAGCATTTTAAATAATAGAATCATTAAGTCATTTTTTGAGTTTATATATAAAATAATTCTGACAATAAAATATTGCCAAAGTTTAAACTAAAATTAAAAGTCTTTTTCTCTAAGGTAGTTGAAAAATAGTAAAAGGAACTTCTGCAGATGTACGTGAATATATTATCAGTGACAAATGTTCTCTAAAACAACACTTTTATATGCCATTTATTTTCATACTCATTTTACTTATAACCTTGCTCAATGAATTGCTCTTGAGCTGTGTGTAGGTTTCCATGAGCCATGTACATATTTCGTGTATCTTACTTTTAAAATTTATTTTGTTTGCTGGATCTACTGTCTGTTTTTTCCATGTAAATTTTAAAGGGTGGGGCTTATATTTAGTAGTAGTAATCATTTCCACCCTGATATGTCTTGTGTAAGTATAGTGATTATTTTCCTTGGTGTTGTACAAGGCATGTTGCATGATGAAGTTTTATCAAATCCTTTTGCATGTTTCACTTATCAAATAAGTAATAAGTTACTTTTTTTAACATAGTGACAATAACAGCACGCCTTGATACTAACTAATATTCATCTATGTGCTTTTATTTTCTGATATAATAAACAGATTTTTTTCCTTCTACAGACACAGTTAAATTTGCTCCTGGAAAAATTGCGCAGCACTGTAAGTATGCTTGAACACAACATACTTTCCCCTCTCATTCCATATATTTTTATCCATTAGGTACTATTATTATTATGATCTACTAATACCTTGGGGCTAGTACGAAGTAAAGTGTTGGATTTTTAATAAATGCTTGAATTGAACTCTGTGTAGTAAATACTTTTATCATAAATAGTTTTCAAAATATTTTACAATTACCTTTTGTTTTTTACACACTGGTCATTCCCCAGGTCATCCAGTAAACAAGCGTTAAGTGCTTCTATGTTCCAGACAGACACTGTGTATAATTGCTGCATATATAAAATACCTTTTTATAAAGACTTTTTGTTTTTACAAAAACAGTCCCTGTCCTCTAGGAGCTCATAATCTAATGGAGAAAGACAACACATAAAAAGAAACTGAAAAGTGGAGGGGATAGGACAGGGAAAGGAGGAGTGCTGGTTGATGGGGGTGGTCTGCAGTTTGGTGAGAAATGATGAGATAGCTCCTATGATCTGGGAGGAGCTCTCCACTGTCCACTCTCCACCTTCTCCAGTCAGAGGGAGCCCCAAGGGCAGGAGTACTGAGGAATGTTATCTTGCAGGAATATGAATTTCTGGAGACAATGATAAAGCCAGGCCAAAAATTATGAAACGGCTGCCCTGTTTCCCTTCCTTAAATGGAGGATCTGAGAGGAACTTTCTACTGTCCACCTTCTCCAATCAGGAAGAGTGAAGAGCTCTAGGGAGTACCTAGGGAGGGTACTGACTTATGAGTTTCGGAGGTAATGTGATCTTACACGAAGATTTAGTAAAGTAACAACATAGTTTCATATAGGTGGAGAAAATATCATGACAAATTGTGGTTCAGAAAAGGTAGATTTTAGGATTAAGAACCAGGCACTTACCATGGCCCTGCCTGGGCTGGATCTCCATCTGGAAGGCCCAATGTGAAGGAGGCACTATGGACTGCCTTCTCCCTCTCCTACTATGGCCCATCTACCCAGCTGGCTTCCCACCAGCCTTTCTGCCTGTGCATGGAATCTAGCATTGTATGGACTTTGGGGACTGATGTTTTAATAATAGTGCCAGAATCTCTTACTCTGAAAGGGCTAAGATAGGGGGTCAGTGTCTAGTCAGGAATGAGAAAGATCCTTATCATTTATTTGCCTTGCTGCCGCTCTCTCCTAAAGCTCAGGCATTGCCATTTATCCTGCCCTGGGGACCCTAAGTGTTCCTGAGCCTTGATGTTTGCCCTGTAGCTTCATCCTTAAGACCTTCCATTTGCCTTTCAGCTATTTATGTTGTCTCTTCTACTTAGAATGTGAGCTTATCGAAAGCTGGGACTATCTCACATTTCTATTTGTATCTCCAACGTTTAGCACACCTCGTGGAACATGGTTAAGTGTTTAAGAATTGCTTTTAATTCATTCGTTAGTGATCCCTTGTTGAATATCTTACTTTGAAATGTTCTCCCTCTGAGTATCATTGCATGTGTTTTATTTATGGATAGTGTTGATGTGGAAGAAACAGATAAGAGTACTTTGGATCCTTTTATGGGAGGCAGATACTCTTAACACACATAAAATGGAAAAGATGACCATTTTAATGTTTAATTATACATATAAAGTTTGACAAGTGCTGGGACTTATGTTTTAATAATAATACCAGAATTATAGCTCCAAATGGATATTGTCCTCTTGTGCCCTGTCCCCTTGCATTCATTCTGAAGAGATTATGCATTTATCCTGATGATAATACCATCAAATAAAATGTTTTTGGAAATACTGGGAATTTTGTTTTCAGAGTCTGCATTACATTCAAAAAGTCCTCAGTGATAACTAAGTTTTGTCCTTTAAGACTGATTTTAATTTCTGGAAAAAGCAAAGAGTAATTTAGAGGAAAGTTTGGTAATCATGTATTGTTTTGAAATTAACTTTGAAAAAGATTCCAGAAGTGAAATTTAATAAATTTTTTTGAGAATTGAATTGGTATATGTAGAACCCCTTAAAAAGAGTCCTTTAAAGAACTACTTTCACATTCATTTGTGAAAGTTCTAGTGTAAGACATTAGTTACATTGTGTAATACTTAATCCTTATTATTTTTATCATTTGATCTGATTTAATTAATTTTCATAATTCTATATGAGTTCTATTGAAATTATTTAAAAAAGTCAGCCACCGTGATGAGATTTAACTCAATGAATATTCAGTTCCTCCTCTGTAAAGGCACTTTGCTAGGTACTGGGGAGGCAAAGACAAAAATAATCTAGCTTTTTTTTTTTCCTGAGGAGCTTAAGTTCTACTTGTAGAAGATGTTTTGATGTAGACTGACATTTTCATCTAAGGGAAGAAATATCTTTAGGAGTATACCATATATTCCTGAAATTTAACCAAAGAAAAGAAGTTTAACTTGTTCTTGTTCTCATGAAATAGTTTTTAATAAAAGAGATACAACATACAACTATTCTCATATAGAAGAAAAAAATTTTTATATGCTAGGAATAAGAAAGGCATGACATTTAATTTAAGTGTATAAAGTATTTTTACACTTGAAGCAGTTCATTACAGGATTTTTTTTTAACCCGTACATTTTTGGTCACTAATATCTGAAGGGATTTTCTGAGTTATTAGGATTTATAGCACAAAAAGGTTCTCATGTTTTCGTTATTTAAGCAATTATTTTTAAAGAACTTTATGCATAATTATCATTATTGTTATTGTTTTGTCCTTCAATTCTGTTTCCCACAATGTGTAAAAATAAAGATATATTTGTAACATAACAATATATTGTCATTCTTTTAGGGATCTAGCTTTATTCGTTGTATCAAGCCTAATTTAAAGATGACAAATCATCATTTTGAAGGTGCCCAGATTTTGTCCCAACTTCAATGTTCAGGTACTTTTTATACTTAGGTAACTTTGTCAGTGATCTCTATTAACATTATCCTCATTATTTAACCCAAAATAAAAAAATCATGATTTAGTGAGTAAAAAGGACATGGGTTCTGATCTGTTTTTACATATTTACTAGCTGTGTGGTGATGAAAAATCACTTAACCTCTCAAGCTCTCCTTTATCTGTAAAAGGTAGCAATACTTGTACTATTGGTTTCACAGGGTTGTTGTGAAGACTGTACAGTCATTGATTTAAAGCTACAAGGACCTTAGAGGCCCTTGAGTCCAACCCCTTCACTTTACAGATAAGGAACAGAAGCCTCGAGAAGTTATGTGACTTGTTTACACAGTTAGTTAAGTGTCTGAGGTGGGATTCTTGAACTCGTGTCTTTCTGTTTGGTATGTCCTAAAGCTGCATACAGTTATGTTATATTTGTAAGTGTAGTATAATAATGTTACTTGTTTTTTCCCCCCTCAAAGGGTAATTAGTTGTCAGTTGAAAAGATACTTTAAAATATAAAATAAAGGATTAACGTTTGTTGCCCAGTTCTCAGAAAGGAAAATTTGTATTCCTTTTGAGTTAGACTATTATTTTCAGTGAGAAAGTGTTTTGTAAGGTATTTTTATAACCTTCCATCATAGTAGACATAAAGGCATATAAAAATTAAATTAAAAAAAACTAGACTTTGGAAAATAATCATTGCTATTATAGTCAATCAGAATTTTCAGAAATTAAAAAAAAAACAATTTTTGGTCATTATTTACATTTATTCTTGTTTGATTTTGTATTTTAATGCTGACCAGTTTTTTTTTTCTTTAAGTTAAGTTTAAAACAAAAATTTCCTAATCTAGGCTCTAACGTCTTGGCAAAAACTTAACAGTTCACAGGTCAAGATAAAGCTATGCTTTGTGTCCAAACTTTTTCTTTAATCAGTATTCCTCTGTTGTTGTGGGCACATTAAAATTTACAATTATTCTTTATTTTCACTTGTTTCCTTTATGTTAATATCTCAAAACCATAAGGATATTATAATTTACTCTAGGTGGACTTTTTGTCTGAAATGACCTTACTCTGACTGTCTAATGTATGTAATGACTTATCTAATGTAAGATGGTGAAAGAAGACCATGAGATTTGAGCAAGATTGCAGTTATCAGTATATAGTTGGATATTTGAGGTAGCAAGGGGAGGGAGAAGCATTTGTGAAGATAGTAGTGAAGGAAGTCACAGATTTGCTCAGTCCAAAACTGTACTAAGAAACCTGTTTTTTCATCTTTACCAACTCAGGAAAGGAATCCTACTTCAGAAACTCTTAGTCATAAATGTTCTTTAAAATGACCAGCCTTATACTCAGGAAAAGAGATTCTAGACTTTGAACTGTAGATAAATAGCTCACAAGGGCTATGAATTATCTTATTAACTGTCAGTTAATTATTTTAAAATTCAGGGCAATACTTCACACACATACACATGTACACAACACAACATTTCAGGTTCTCTTTAACTGTTGGTGGGCCATGGGAATTGCCATGGCATTGTTGCCATTGATTTATACTGGCATATCAACCCATCTAGTATAGGGTATCAAAAACTGAGATTGCCCCAGAAAAATCTTACATTTTTTCTAGTCTTGTCTAAGATTTAGTCCTACTGGTTTAAGGACAGGTCTTGTTACAAAAACAGGTCCTGCAAATATCCTGTTGGTCAGATCTCTAGAATCTCTCCCTACTAATATTTTGTTTATACTTACTGGCATGTTAACACTCACTCATAGATAAAAATAGCTTCATTGCTAGGTTTAGGCTGGACATTAAGGTTTCAGAGTCAGTTGTGCCAGTCGTAAAGATGTGGTAGAGTTCATAATAGATGTTGAAGATGGAACATAGTGTAATAGGAAAAAGATATAGACCTTTTCTTCTCCATTTTCTATGGTTAGACTCTGTGGTGTACTTACCTATGTGGCCATTTCCTTATTGGAGAGCATTTTAGATCTGTTCTATAATTAGCAATAACATTTTTTTTTTTTGAAACTAGCAATGAAATTTTTGGAAGTAGGTCAGTCCACATCTGAAAGCAGTAAAATTTCCTGTGTCAGTTGATTTGTTGTCATTGGGTTATAGGCTTTTAGTAGAAAATAAAACTTTAATATATTCACTTTCAGTTCTCTGCCAATTTAATGTATTTGTAGGTATAAACTTGCTGATTAACAGTTATTCAAGATCTATTAAGTAATTAATACCATGCTTTAAATCGGGATTTTTAATCCATTTTCTGTGGTGGACCCCTTTGGCAGTCAAGTGAAGTCTGTGAATGTAGGCTTACAAAAGAAACCAATTATACTGAAATACAGTTATTACAGTATTTTAAAAATAAGTTCACAGGTTAAGAACCCTTGCTGTAAACAAAGTTCTGTTAAGTAAAATAGTTTTAGAATCTAACCTCCTAAATTAAATCTGGCCTGTATACTATTGATAAAGTACTAATCAGAAATTTTGGGAGGAAATACGTGCCTGAATGTGTTATATTATCAAAAATCTTGACTGCATCTCTCAGTATAATTTTACTTCCTAAATATTTGGTTTTATTAATTGCCATTTTAGAATTATTATTAGGATTATTTTCACGTAAAGGTTTTGCTAACTTGAAGGCCTTTGTGAATAGCATGAGTAGTAATTTGTGTCTGCTTATGAATATAGGTATGGTGTCTGTTTTGGACCTGATGCAGGGTGGTTTTCCATCTCGAGCCTCATTTCACGAGCTCTATAACATGTACAAGAAATATATGCCAGATAAGCTTGCTCGATTGGATCCAAGACTCTTTTGCAAGGTATTAATGATATATATATTGAAACTACCTGTTATTGTTTTGTAAAGTATATTAAATGTTAATGATTAACTAGAAACTAATTTTTTAAATTTATTTTTTAGGCTCTTTTTAAAGCTTTGGGCCTAAATGAACAGGACTACAAATTTGGCTTAACGAAAGTGTTTTTTAGACCTGGAAAGGTAAATAAATGTATATTTGCTTTTTTTTTTTTAAAAGATGCTTTAAATTTTTATTTACATCCTGGTTATTTTTTTTTTCCATACTTGCTTTCCCCCTTCACTCTACTGACTCCTTCTTTGTAATGAAGAAATATAGTAAAGTGAAACCAACCAACAAAACATTCACATTGGACCGCTTATGCAGGCAGTGTTTCATTTCCATACTCTATCTGTTAAATATACTTATTTAAAAATAGATTAAATATTAAGGTACTCTGAATATAAAAGAATGAAGTGATTTAAAGATTCTTTTTTATCCCCCTTTTGGTGAGGTAGTTGGGGTTAAGTGACTTGCTTGGGGTCACATAGCTGGATCAAGTGTGTGAGGCAGGATTTGAATGCAGGTCCTCCTGACTCCAGGGCCGGTGCACTATCCACTGCGCCACCTAGCTGCCCTGATGTATAGATTCTTAACTGTCGTTAATCTTGACTATTAGTGGCTCACAGATTATATAATTTCCTTCCTTCATACGCAGACACTGCATGTGGTATATATAAGTGTATACCCTGAATTTCCTTGTTTTCAGGAAAATTCACACAATTTACATATTTTTATACAGTATGTTGTCAAAATATAAACACATATTTCCTCCATGTATAACCATTATGTTTAAAAGACTCATAGTTGTTACATTCTGTAAATTTACCTAAATTTAGTTCTTCAATGTTTATCTCTGTATAATGGCATTCTTTCAAACATTTTAGGTGTTTTTTGGGGGGTGGGTGGGTTTTTTTTTTGGCTAGGCAATGGGGTTAAGTGACTTGCCCGGGGTCACACAGCTAGTTGAGTGTTATGTGTCTGAGGCCAGATTTGACCTGAGGTCTTCCTGACTTCAGGGCCGGTGCTCTATCCACTGTGCAACCTAGCTGCTCCCTCAGATATTTTAAAAGTAGTCTTCTGACCTACGTCCATTTTCTTTTGCTTCATCAGGTAAACAGTAAGCTGGGCAACAGTAGAGAATAGAAGTTAAGCTTTGGAGGCAGGGAGAAATTGGTCTTGCCCATATCTAACTTTGTGACCATGGGCAAGTCATTTGGAGTTAAATGTCTTAAATTTATAGACAGGTTGCTGATTTGCATCTGTGAAAGGGAGTTTTTATCCCAGGTGGTTTCCACATTAAACTCATGGGTCAAGACAAAAAAATCCCAACAAAATAAATGACAAAAACAGAACCCTATTTACAAGGCATGCTAAGACAACTGGTGATTCTGGCATATGATTCCATAATACTTTAAGCACTCTTTCTACTGGAGTCATGGATGGAGGGGCAGCGTGAGACAGTGGTATTTTTGATAAAATGGTGGTTGTTGCTTTCATGTTGTTTCCACTCAATGCCTTTCCTAGACGTGGTGACATCTAGACTTTTTTTTTAATCCTCATGTATTTCCTAAGTTTCATTAGCCAGACTTGACATGTAGTATGTCTGAACAAACTATTGTTTTGTATAAGAGCAAGATTATGCCTTCTGTTGCATTGAAATTATTGATTTTATTGCAACTTACCATTTTCTTGGCATTTTAGTCACCTTACTACATTAGGAAGATGCATCCATGAAGCAGTAAATCAAAGATCCATTTTCGAGGTTATAATAATTCAGGTTTATCTTTTTGTAGGTGAGACTGGTGAAAGTAAGAATAAGTTGAGATGTTTATTCCTTAAAGAGAGTTGTAAAGAGGTGATAATGAGGTACTTATCACCTGTGTCTTAAATAGTATCTGAATATACAGTAAAATAAACTATGCCTTAAATTGTGAAAATAATTGACTATACTGGGGAAAGTGTGTTGGCATTCAGGTGTGGCTAATCATGACCCTGTCTGATAATTAAAGAATGTTAATTTGTTTATGGGACTCATCTGCCATTTTGTAATCTTTGTTAAGCTGGTTGGGGTTTACAGACAACAAGCTGATGTCCCAAGGGCTAATAGCCTGAGTGATAACACAATTTCCCTTCAACTATATCTTTAAACTAGCTCAAACTAGAAAAGTGCAAGGTGAGTTCCAGGGGTGGGGAACCTGTGGGCCTCTAGGCCACATGTGGCCCTCTACGCCCACAAATGTGGTCCTTAGACCAAATCTAAACTTCACAGAACAAATCCCCTTAAAAGGATTTGTTCTATAAAACTTGGACTCATTCAGAAGGCTGTACCGAAGGACCTAGAAGGCTACATGTGGCCTCGAGGCCACAGGTTCCCCACCCCTGGGGCAGATGCTAACTCAATTATAAAAATCAATACAGCATAAAATAAATTACATTGTAAAATCAATACAGTAGAAACCAGAGGTAATATTAATTTTTATCTTTTCACAAAGGTAATATAAAATAGGAAAAAATAAAATTATCTGCCTTCAAAGTCTATTTCAGGGAGCATAGTGAATGTCTAATAACATTCTTCAACACAGTATAATAAGTATTATGTCAATGTTATCAGAATCTAGCTGGCTGACTCACTACCTACTTATACCTCCAGCTTTCAATCAATTTACTCATGGTTACAGAGCTAGTGTTGAAGGTGGGATTCAAACCCTGGGTCTCTGCTGATTCCTGATCAAAGTACTGAGTGCCGTTTCTACTGTGCCTTTCTACAATAGTGCACACATGTGACACACAGATATTCACATAAAATAATATAAGTGCACGTGAGATGTGTGAAAAGATTGCTTTTTGAAAGCTTCAGGGGAAAGGGTCTTATTGACTATTGGGATCATAGAGCAGGTGGAATTAGGCCCATTTCACAAGGCCACATGTTACCTTTGGTGGGAAAAGCCCAAAGTCTCTCCCTTTACAGCATTATGTTTCATCAGACTGTATCAGTGGATTCTAACCAAGAGAAAACAGCCAAAGAGAATTTTAAGATTGCAAATACAGGAAACATAAAATGGTGCACAAACTGATAGAAATGGTCAAATGAATTTGGTTTAGGGGGAAAGATAAGAGACTTGATTCAGAGTGTGGTGAGTTTGAGGTGTTAGTGGAGAGGTCCCTAAAGCAGTTGGAGAAAAGAATTCAGAAGATAGCTCAGAGTAGGAGATAGAGTTGTGGGAGCCATCTGTATCAAGGTGTTAGTTTAGATGGAAATGAAAGAGAAAGATGATAGCAGATGGAATCTTCTTAGAAAGATTGACTCAGCAAAGGAGACCAAGAAAGGGCAGTTGGAAAGGTAGGTGGAAATCTTAGTTGGAGAAAATATTTAGAGCTGGGAAGTAGTTAATAGTGTCAGAAAAGTCAGAGAGGTGAAGGAGAATAAGAACTGACAAAAGCTGTTGGATTTGGTGGTTAGGACATTTGTGACTTTTGAAAGAATAATTTCGATGGATGTTGGAGATGAAAGCTTAGACGCGTAAAAATGATGAAATGGAGGCTTCATGTATAAACATTTTATTCCAGATGTTTTGAATAGGAGGAAAGAGATGGGATAATGTGTGGATGTAATATAATGGTCAAGGCAAAGTTTTGTTTTTTTTTTTTCTTTTTAGGGTTGGGGAGACCTGAGCATTTTTATAGATTAGGGGGAAGTTGTGATGGAGAATGACAGGTTAAATCAAGTTGTATTGTATGGGATTCTTTTTTTAACTAGATTGGCTTAATTGTCATATAAAACGAAATGAAAAGAATTTTTATATGAGACTGTAGCTATAGAAAGATTAGGATATTGGTCTGAAATTGTAGTGAAATTATGACTTACACTCAAAAACAATCTTTAGGATCTGCCTCTTTCTCGTGAAAGCTTAGTGCATGAAACTTCTTCATGCTTTAATATTCTAATTGGGTTTCATTTATTAAAAATTTTGCTCAATTTTCCTTTAACTTCTTTGTTGCTTAGCATAGTTTTCTTAAGACATAGAACTTATAGGATCTATGTTAATTTATATGACTAAATTACATATTATTTAGAAGTGTTAAGTTTTTGAATTATGTCCATGAAATCATTCATAGAATTATATTATTGCTTAACTGTACAATTATAGCCTAGTAAAATTTTAAACATCGTTCATAAACTTAAAGCCTATGATCTTTGTTTGACTAAGCAAAAATATAATGCTAGAAAAGATCTCTGATGCCTTGAGGACAAAATTAATTCAAATAAAAATCATATTGAATTTCAATATGATTATGTCTAGTAAATACTCACCATGTGTGTACTTTCTTGTTGCTATTTTACTTACTCTTATCACAGATGGCCTAGATCACCTTCCCAAAAAAGGAAAGGAATAAATAAGAAGATAGAAATTTGTGAAATATCTTTAGATGACATCATACATATTTATCATAAGCTATTCCATCCTTTCCCATAGGAACAGTAATTAAGAAGTACTGGGGGGCAGCTAAGTGGCGTAGTGGATAGGGTACTGGCCCTGAAGTAAGGAGGACCTGAGTTCAAATCCAGCCTCAGACCAAACACTTGACACTTACTAGCTGTGTGACCCTGGGCATGTCACTTAACCCCAATTGCCTTAAAGAAAAAAAAAAAAGAAGTATTGGCCAGTGGGGGAGGCAGACTATGCTAAATTAAATACTTATTGATTGATGGGTTTTCTTGAGAACCAATAACCTAAAGGAGAAGAAAGCCTAGTAAAAATTTCAAAGACCTTTAATCTTAAAATTATTACCTTTAATTTAATTTTAGCAGACAAAGGGAAAAAAATTAATGTAATGACTGTCTGACAGAAAGCACTAGAAGGTTAATTTGTCAAAAGGATAAAAAAAATTACTTTTTATTTGATCTAGTGTCAAAGCTGTATTCTGAAACTACAGTTCTCTGTTTAGATGTTTCAGAAGAGATTTCATTAATTTATTCTTTAATGCTATAATGTTTTTTCTCCTTTCATTTTTAATGTAATGGATATTTAGGAAGCATTTTTTAAATCTCCCACTGAAGAAAGAAAGTATATTTTGAAACTTCCTGGTAGAACATTACTTTTCATAGCAGGGTTCTTAGCCTGGGATCTCTAAACTTGCTTTAAAATAAATTTTGATAATTCTCTATCTATAGAATTGGTTCCTTCATAATCCTATATGTTTTATTTTGTGCACTTAAAAATATTATTCTGAGAATTGATCCTAAGGTTTCACCAGACTAACAAAGGAGTCTGTGGCATAAAAAAGATTAAGAATCCTTGTTTTATATCTTGTTCTCTACATGAAACAACTTCTTTAAATTCAAATTTGATTTATATTGCTCTTAATTGATGAAAGGAAAGGAGTTGCAGGGATTTCTGTGGAGGGAAGAAACATTATTTAATTAACAAGCCATTAGGCTTTCCTACCAACTTTTTTTTTTTTTTTTGAGTTGTAAACAAGTAACAGAAATGTATAATTTCAGGCTTCTCGTTTTCCTTCTGTATTCACCTTTTTATTAATGAAAATGATTACAAGTAGTAAACAACCAAAAGGCAAGCCAGCTTCTGGGGGAAGGAAAGGAAGCAAAGCCTTTGAATAATCTGCAGCAGTATCAAATGATCAGTGAACAATGAAATTGATATATACATGTGATTAGAAAATTCTGTTGTTTGTCAGGTCCTTACCTTACTCTCTTGCATATTTTCTTATTTAAAAAATTACTCTTTGAAGTTAAAATTCTTTTCAGTTTGCAGAATTTGATCAAATAATGAAATAAATAATCACATAATGAAGTAAATCAAATAATGCAGTAAATCAAATAATGAAGTAAAAAAAAAAAAGTTAAATTCTTGAAGTTAAAATTCTTTTCAGTTTGCAGAATTTGATCAAATAATGAAATCAGACCCTGATCACTTGGCTGAACTTGTTAAAAGAGTCAATTATTGGCTTGTCTGCAGTCGCTGGAAAAAAGTTCAATGGTGTTCACTTTCAGTTATCAAATGTAAGTATTTCCTTCAGTGTTTTTCCTCTGTGTGTGTGTTTTTGGAGACTTTTGGGGGTTATTTTTGGTTGAGTTTATGGTCAGACTTAAAGAAGTCTCTATGAATAGAAATATTAACACTTTTGAACTTGCTGAATGTACCAATACAACAGCTTTAGCATAGAATATAAATAAGCCGTAATTTTATGTGAATAACAAATTACTTTTATAGACTTAGGTAAATTAAACAGATCAATTCATAATCCTTAAAAACTAGTTCAAAACAATAAATTTATTTTAGAAAAGTATTTATTAAACACTCTGTGCAATAAGCCCTGTGCTAAGAGTTGAAGATGGAGTATTGTGTGTGAGAAACAGCAAAGTAGACCAGTGTAGTTCAATCATGCGTGGAGAGGAGTAAAGTGTAAGATGACTGGAAAGGTAGGAAAGGACCAGATTGTGAAGGGTTTTAAATGCCAGACAGAGGATTTTATATTTGATCTTGGAGGTAATAAGGAATTACTAGAGTTTATTGAGTAGGAAGATGACGTGATCAGAATTGTGCTTTAAGAAAATTCACTTTGGCAGCTGAGTGGAAAATATCTGGGAGTGGAGAGACCTGAGGCACGAAGACTAATTAGAAGGCTATTACAATAGTCCTGGGGAGAAGTGATAGGAACCTGAAGTAGGTTGGTGGTGTGAGAGTGGAGATAAGGGATTCTGTAGGAGAGATGTTATGAACACAGACAGAACAACGTATTGAATATGCAGGGTGAGTAGGATTGGGGAAATAGAAATGATGAGGGGGCTTGTTATGTAAACAGCCTGTTATTCTAAAATGCCCATATTCAAGCTTGCCTTAGGACCCCCTGAATACAAATACTCAACTGCCTATAAATTCTGTTGTTTAATTGACCTGTGCCTAGTGAAGATCACCTCTTTATTCTCACTTCTGTATTTCTTTTTCTATTTTGTGACCATAACTTAGTTGAAAATCAGGTACAAAAGAACATGAAGAAGGCAGTACTTATGTCTTGACCCCTCCACTTATTTTCTTGTAGGAATGCTTCATATACCCCTCTTATTGAATATCCATCTCTTTTCATTGATGATTAGGCTCAAGTTTGCAGGTTATGTCACCTTGGATTACATCTCGAGTCCTTTATTCTTCAGAACACATTATCACATTCTCTTCAGCAGTTTCTGGTGGGTGTAGAATACTCTTGTGTTATTTGAATTTCATTTCCTTTAAATTTGAAGGTTTTTCTCCTGATCCTTTGCAGAATTTTTTGTCTGTCATTGGAATTCTTAAATTTATCACTATGTGTTCTGGAGTTTGCAGCATAGGGATTTTTTTTTCTGGAGGCAATCTGTGGACTCTTTCCATTGCGTTCAGAAGTTCTGATCAGTTTTTCTTGTGTTGTTTCTTGCATTAAAGTGTTTAGGTTTTTGATTTGTTGTGTTCTTCTGGGAAACATAATCCTAAAGTAGTTTCTATACATTCTATCTTTGAGATTTATATGTTTTGCTGGTATAGAGATAATTTTTTAAAAACATTATTGTCTTTTACTTTATTTTTTCCAGATCGTCCTTCACTTCTATGTAAAATGTTAATTTCCAACCAGTTGTTTTCTCTTTTGTTTCTTTGGTGAGGTTTGCCAACATGGATCCAAATTTTTCTGTTTTGTCAGTTATTTCTGTTGTGCAGGACATAATTTCTGCTTTCACATTTCTTATTTCTCTCTTAAGCCACGTAGGATGCGATTCCATCCTGCTATGATTCCACACTTTCTTGGGAATCGGTAAGATCTTCTGCCCCATCAGGTGCAGATTAATTTTCCTTTATTTATAGATATCTGGCCTTGTTTGGAAGATCTTGATGCCATCTTCCCTTCTATTATTTCTGTTATCTTCCTTGTTGGTTTATCTGCTTATGCTCAAGGCATTTAACTGAGTCTTATTCATTCTGAGATCGTTAATAATTTCAGTCTTATACCCTTTTATTCCTTTGTTCCTGATTTTCTGACTTTTTCCACTTTGATGGTGGCTTCCCTAGGGTCTGGACATCAAAGTTGTCTAAGCATCCTTCCACACTGGGGAATTCATGTTTTGCCTGCCTTGATCTCTGCCCCAAGTGATGTCTTGGGTAACAAAACTATCTCCAGCTGGCTGCCAATCCTCTTTTCTTCAGGCCTGGTGGACACCCTCTCTCCCTTACCCCCTGTGCTGGCGTGCTGCTCCAGTTCCTCTGAGCCCTGTTGCTGCACAGCATGCTTCCATGCTGCCATCCCAGGCAGAGCAAGCATCTGGCTTTTGGCTTTCTGCAGTGCAGATTGGGGATGGAAGGGCAGAGTTCTGTTGCAGGTGTCTGAGTGGGTTTGGGTTGGGTTTGGGTTTATGCAGCCCTTCAGCTTATGGGGAGTGGGTGCTGAGAGATCACTTTAGGGTTTAGGGATTAGTGTTTTCTATTGTTAGTTTGTTGGATTGTTAACATACTTAAGGTTATTGGTGTCTTAGACCATGGAGTCCGTCAAAACTGATTTTTGGACTCCTTTTTCTTTGGTGGATCCCTTGAGGTCTGCACCTCAAAGCTGTCTTAGCTTTCTCTCATGCTGAGGAATTCGCTTTTCACTGGTCTTTGCCCCAAGACACTTCTGTAGATACAGAATTGGTTTCAATGAGATGCCAGTCCCCTTTCTTTCAGACCTGCTAGAGCCACACACATGGGCATGCCCTGACTCATTACCCTGTGTAGCTTCTCTGTACGTCCACCTCCTCAGCACAGGGCCTGTGTTTGTGTGTGTGCATGTGTATGTGTGTGTTGGGGAGTAGAGTTAAAATACTTTTACTTGTTGCTATGGAATAGAGGGGTGAGGGGCAGAGGGGTTGCTGATTAAGACAACAGTGCTGCCCTGTAAGGGGGCTGATGGGGCAGTATGCTCCTGAGTGTTTCAGGGATTAAGAATTAGCAGGTTGCTGTTAATTTATTAAGTTGTTACCTTGTTAGGGTTCTTGGTGTCTTAGCCTGTGGATACGGCTGAAATTAGTTTACCTCTTGCACATAATTATTATTTCGAAAAAGTTTGAGAGATCTGAGGGTTGGAGAAGATGTTTAGTCCTTGATCTGCATTTATTTTCATAGCTTTGATTTATGCCAGCTTTTTAGCTGCCTTTTAATTGAAAGCTCATTTCAAAATTACAGGTACTTTAAGATGAGAACTGACTTTGGGAAGGTGACTCTTATTTTGTTAAAATAAGATGTCTCTTGGTGGGGACAAAGAAAAATGCCCAAAAAAGTAGTTCATTCACTAAAAGTTTCATGTATGTATGACTTCCCATCAAGATCTTAAGCTCCTTGGGTCTTATATATATTTTGTACTTTCTGCCTCTAATTAAGGATCTCAATAAATAATTAAAATTGGAAAAAAAAGATTTCTGTATTACCAAAAGTCAGGTCCTCAGAGGACAGTGATGTACTTAGACAGACCTAGTAAAAGTTGTAAAGAGTTGTTTTATTAGTTGGATATTCCTTCTCAGTTTTCTAAAAACAATGCTCCCGTGGTTATTTGTGTAGGTTTTTAAAAACAATTTTTGTGCATTCCTTTCTGTTGGAAATTGTTTTACCTTGAGCCAAGAAAATTTTAGGTAATTTTAAACCTTTTAAAATTGACAATAGCAGTTAATTTGAGTTTTATATATAATAACATGATAATATTTTATTTAAAATAAAATCTAATCCAATTTTGTTGCTTTTTGTTTTAACTATTGTAAAGAATTAGAATAATGCTACATGTTGTGATTTTGTAGTTGGATTAAAAATTGCCTTTTTCTTGAGCTTCTGCTTTGAAAAAAATGAATATCTTTTAATGGTGTCGCTTATCTAATTAGGGTGACTTAATTTAATTGCTGTCATTTTTTTTTTACTCTCATAGTGAAGAACAAAATAAAATATCGTGCTGATGCATGCATTAAAATACAGAAGACTATTCGAATGTGGCTTTGCAAAAGAAGACACAAACCACGGTAAGATGGATTTTGGTTAAGTTAAATAACAAACTGATAACTAAATAGTGATAAATTCATCATGACAAAAAAATCAAGAAACTGAAACCTAAAGGTATTTTTCTCATTTATCACTTTATTTTTAGAAAACAGTCTTTTTGTCTTTTAATATTTATTTAGATATTATTTTACTAAGATTGTTTTGGTAGCTTATGTTGTTTGACACCTTTTTCTTTCAGTGTTAAAAACAAAATTTTTTCAGAACAGTTACTATCATTGTTTAATTACTAATGGTTCAACATTGCTGCAAGATGCTCTCTAGGAATAATAATAATATTTAATTTTTGCTTATAGATTCAGTGCTTGTTTTTTATTTGAACCTATTGTATTAATTTAACCTTTATAGCTCTTTGAATATAAATAGTTCTTAATTGCCTAAGATCTTTCAAAAGTTTTTAATCTATTTGAAAAGTGATTCAGAATTCAGAACTGCCATTTCAAGAGTGAATCATCCTATTCCCTTTGCTGCCTATCTGTGTCATATATAGTCCCTTGTATGATTGTTTTTGTTTAGCTCATATTTAGAAAGGGAAATAATAAATAAAAAAGAAAGAAAACCTTTTAAGAGTATTTTTCAGTTAATGGAAATTCTGTTACTTAATTGTTTGGTATTGACATTAAACTCTAATGAAGCATTGCTTTCCCAGCATTGATGGTCTTATCAAAGTGCGCACGCTGAAAAAAAGACTTGACAAATTTAATGAAGTAGTGAATGCTTTGAAAGACGGAAAACCAGAGGTGATCAAGCAGATCAAGGATCTTGATATTTCTATTGATGCATTGATAGCTAAAATTAAGGTATGTAATTTCAGTCCAGGTGACTTCCTTATTTTAAGATTACGCTTTGATGTTTTTTTGAAATAAGTGGTGGTATTTGTTGACCAAACTTTGATTGTAAAAGTAGTTACTATAAAATAGTGCATTGTACATAACAAGTTTCTGCATAATAAGGAACCTGAAAAGATCAGTACAAATTGACCTTATCCTCCAGTTTTTACTAGAAAAGATAACTCTGTGTTAATAGAGCATTTGTATAATCTGTATTTTTCTGTCTCTTCGTCTCTTCCATTATTTCTTTGTCTTTTTTGAGAAGACAAAGTACTTCTGAAAGCTATAAGTAAAACAGTAAAAAAATAGGCATCATAGTTTGGAAGTGGAGAGCCTGTCCTTTTTATATCTTTTTTTCTGACCTTGGGATGAGGAGGTAGGACAGAAGTGGCCTATGGCATTTGGAAATTCAAAAGAATTGCGGTATCTCAGATTTGGTAGGGACCTCAGAGGTCATCTAGTTTCATAAGAATATTTACAACCTACCTGATAAGGAGTTATCTGGTTTCTTCTGGAAGACCTATGGTTTTTTTTTTCCTAGTAGCAGCTTAATTCTGCTTTTGGATAGCTTTAAGAGTTGGAAAGTTTTTTCTTACATCAAGCCTAGGTTGGCCTCTTTTTAAAAAATTCTAATTGGAACACACACACGCGCGCGCGCGCGCACACACACACACACACAAAATAGAACATTTCCATCTCCATAACAGAATGCAATAAAAGGATTATGTATGAAACAGTGAATCTCCATTTCACATGATGCTGCCAAAACTGTCCTGCCTGCCCATACTACCTTGTGAACTTCCTTTTGTTCTCTTTTGTGCATTTTTTTAAAAAAGTGTTTAAATGGCTCTCTCTTTTTTTCTGTCCTTATTAATAATTTCTTTTCTTATTCCCCTTTCAGTTGAAAATGAAGAAGGGGGAGAAACACCCTTGTAACAAATAAGCATAGTTCTGCAAAAAGAGTCAGATCTTTTGGAGACATATACGGTCATTTCATTGATTAGAGTTCTTGAGTTTTTCAGAATTGAGTTCTTTATTATTTCCTTAAATAACTTGTTCTTCTGGTGCAGCTTACTTTACAGTATCAGTTCACAGTAGCCAGGATTCTCTGAAATCATCTATTTCATAATTTCTTATAATGGAATAATACTCTGTCACGTTCATATTCCCCAATTCATTCAGCCAGTTCCCCAATTGTTGGGTTCCCCCTCCCCCTTAGATTGTAGTTCTTTACTTTTCTTTTTTTTCCTTTTACTACCCCCATTAAGATCAGGAAAATTTGTTCTGATTGTGGCTACTTTCTATTCTGCCTCTTAACCCCACTTCTTTCTGGTTAAGTTTGATGTATTTCTACACCAAAACGTGCCCGTGTAAACCCTTCCTTTGTTTCAGACAAGAGTGAAGTTCATCTGATTACCACTCCCTCCTCCCCTTTCCTCCCTGCTTGTATACTTCTTACACACCCCAGTTAGGAGAAATAGCAAGTTCCACCCACCTCTTTCTTTCTTCTTTCTTCACTACTGTATTCATTTTACCCTTTTAAAACCCTAAGAACAGAATGAATCCACCCACAGACCTTCTATTTTTCTCCTATAACTCCCTCAATGTTCTTTGAAGACCTTAAGATTCTGAAGGAACACTTTTTCTCTCCCCTCCCCCTATTAGAATGTTAGTATTACATCATCAAGTCCCACCCCTTTCAGTTGCTCATTTATGTGTGCGTGTGTATGTATGTGTAATATATACAGATAGTTATCTTTTTAAGTTTCTCTGAGCTCTTATGTTTATATTTCAAAGTTGCTACTTAGCTCTAATCTTTTCAGCGGAAACTCTTGAGTCTTTTATTCCATTAAAAGTCAATTTTCGCCCCTATAGGATTATACTCAGCTTTTAAGTGTAAGTTTTTATTGGTTGTAAGCTTATATATTTTGACTTTTGAAATACTGTATTGTAAGATATCATTTGTAGTAGAAGTTACCAGGTCTTACGTGATTGTTACTGTGTACTGGACTTGTCTTTCCGGATGCTTACGATCCTTTTTTTCCTTTAGGAGCTCTGGATTTTGTCTGATATTCCTAGAACTTCCTTTTGGGGTTTCTGGAAATGATTGATACATTCTTTATCTCTTCCCCTTACCCTCTAGTTGTAATAGATGTGGGCAATTTTCATGTATGATTTTAAAAAATATAGTGCTCTGGCTTTTTTTAGGAAGTCATGGTTTTTAGGGAATTGAATGATTTTTAAATTAGTTCTCCTTGATCTTATTTTCTAGATCATTTGTTTTTAATATGAGATATTTGTATTGCATGTATATATTTATCTTATATATGAAACATGTTGATATCTTATATTTTTCCCTATATTTTTAATTTTTTGATTTTATTCTAATATTTCTTGCTGCCTCACGGAGTCAGTGATTTTTGTTTGATGTATTCTAGTTTTTAGGGACTCTATAACTTGGATAAGGTTTGCCACTTTCTCTTCTAAGCTATTTATTCTCTTTCAAATTCCTTCTTCCAAAGCTTTTGTTTACTCTTTGCCCTCTTTCTTCATTTTTCCCAGGTATTGGAAAATAATTTTTTTCCTTTGAATCTCTGTAGTTATTATGGAGTTACTTGCTGCTTTTTTTATCTTTAGAATTCTAATGCTTTTTTTTTTTTACTCATTGAATTTATTCATTTGTTTACTCATCTTTCAGGTCTAGTTTCTCACTGGGGGCTTTGAGCCAGGGTCAGGCTTATCCCCTGTTGTATTTTTTGTTAGGATGTTAGGCTTCATCGGCCTTGGCTTGGGTCTCCTAGGTTCCTTGACTGAATTTTATCTCCCAGGGTAATATCGCTCTGAATCTTAGATGGACCTCACTTGTTTCTCAGGATTGTGTGTTGAAGACCTCAAAGCCCCTGGGCTTGGGTAATGCTGGTGTGAGAAATGTGGCAATGTATTGGTCACCGCTTCTCCCATATTCTCACCAAATGGCTTTCTGACTTTCCTGGGTTTTTCTTGGGGGATCCTCACCTCTTTCTGATTCTAGATACAGAGATTTTCAGGCTGCAAATTTCTCTGGCTCATCACTGGTTACATTGGCTAGCTGGGTGTGGATGTTGGTGCTGGCTCTTTTGGCTGATCCCTTTCCAGTCACCTGCTTTCCATTCTCTTTTCATCGTTCCCACATAATGCCACTATTCTTATGCCAACTTTTAGCCCTAGATTACCCTCATCATCGATCTCCTTCACTCCTTACCATTTTCTGAATACAACTGGAGGAAATCTCACATATGTGCTGACTGGGTATCTCAACTAGGCCCTCACTGCAGCAAGGCATTCTTCCCTACTTGATTACCTTTTTCATTCCCCACAAAAGTGATTCCAAATCTTTTCTTCTCTCCCCAAGTTTCTCATACCTACACCTCTTCTCCCACTTCCAGCTGAGAGCCTCCTTACTTTACTGAGAAATTTGAGGCTATTTGACATGGGCTCCTTCTTGTTTCATTCTTCTCATCTCAAAACTCATTGTCATCCTGTGTTTTCCTTTCCTGAGGTTTCTGACAAGGAGATGGCCCTTCTTCTTGCCAAGGCCAACCTCTCTATACTTGCACTCTGTCCTTCTGTCTTTAACAGATTATGCCCTCAGTCCTTTCTCTCTTTCAAATCATTAGCCTCTCCTTGACAACTGGTTCTTACCCTACTGTCACACATGTTCACCTCCCCCATACTTTTTTGAAAAAAGCTTTCCCCCCAATATCTCTTTATCTTTTCGTAATCAAATTCCTTGAAAAAGTTAGTCTGCCAATAAGCATTTATTTTGAGTCTGTAGCGTGCCAGGCACTGAGGATATAAGAGGCAAAAGAAATTCCCTGCCCTCAAGAAGTTTATAATTTAATGGGGGAAATAGTGAACAAATACGTACAATCTATATACAGGATAAAAAGAAAGTAATTAATAGAGAGAAGGCATTATAATTTATAGGTATTGGGAAAGGCTTCTAGTAGAAAATAAATTTTAATTGGGACTTGAAAGAAACCAGGAAAGCAAGGTCGTGATGAGGAAAGAGAGCATTCCAGGCATGAGGGAAAACCACAGTAGCTGCCTTCACTTCCTCTCCTTTCACTTCTTATCCCTTTGAGTCTGGTTTCTGATATCATCATTCAGCTGAAACTACTTTCCTCCAGAGTTACCAGTGATAGTTTACAGTCCTGATGATCTGGTCTTAGTATTTATCCTATCTGCTCCTTTTGACACTATTGTACAGCCTCTTTTCTGGGATACTTTCTCCCCAGTGGTTTTTTGTAGTTCTATTCCATTGGTGTACTGGTAAATGTTTAACAACCAGCTCTCGGAAAATGCATGTTACAGAGTAATATGCATTATTAAATTTTCTCCATCACTGTCTTAAGTCTAGACATTAAACAAAACAATAAATCAAGTCCTCATAGGTAATGTTTACTAATTTCTGAGCTCTGTGCTCACACTGAAAATGGGACAGTTGGCTCTCGTGAACCGGTACAAGTTGACCCCAGCACATTCCTGCACTACTTTCTCCTTGTTTGCCTCTTACCTGTCTGCTCATCTTTTACATTATATGCCCACTAACTATGGGTATTTCTCAAGGTTCTAGTCCCTCTTCTTTTCTCCCTCTATACACTTTCTCAAGGTAACCTCATTTGTTTCTGTGGACTTAATTAATCTCTCTATGCAGATGACTCGTATATGCACATCCAGTCTGTCTTCTATAGAACTTCAGTTTTATGTCACTAATTGCCTCTTAGACATTTTAAGCTGACTGTCCTGATGACATCTCTGTCCAAAACTGAACCAGTCTTTCTCCCCAAACCCTTCCCTCTTCCCAACTTCCCCATTTCCATAAGTTACCATCATCCTTCTAGTCTCATAGGTTTGTGTCCTCAACATTAACCTGGACTTCTCATTCTCCCTCACTTCACATATGCAGCCAGTTAGAAAATCTTGCCACTTCTCCCCTCCCAACATCTCTTGCATCTCAACCTTTCTTTCTACTCATTTCTTCGTTTACTCCTCATCATCTCTAGGTTATTTTAGCAGCTTCTTGGTTGGTTTCTCTGCCTCAGGTCTCTCTCCATTCCAGTCCTACCCTAGCATCCTACACATTGATGCCCAAATAATTTTCCTTTAAAAAAGATAGAACCTTTGCTCTCCTATTCAGTCAGCTAAAGGGGTTTCATATTAGCTCTAGGATAAAACATAAAGGCTCTTCCTTAGCTTATAAAGACCTAAACGATCTGGCCTGATTGGCCTTCTCTCCCATGTGATTTTTCATCTTCCATCTGTATGCCTTTCCACTGGCAGTGCCACATGCCCAGAACCCACCTGATCCTTACCTCTACTTTATCAAATTCTCTTTTTCTTGAAGACACAGTTCAAGCATAGTCCTCTGCGTTGAAGCCTTTCCGGATGCCTTTAGCTATTAGTGGCCTCTCTTCCAAAATATCTTTTATTTAACTCCAAGGCATATATTTGTGTTTATTCATTTTCTGTTTATATTTTATATGTACATGTTGTCTTTCCCATTAGAATATAGCCTTGTGTGTAGGTATTGTTTCATTCTTTGTATTTGTGAAGAGGTTTGAGGGTGCTTACTTGATTTAGGGTTGCTGAGACCTCAAAAATGCCAAGACAGAGTTACCTGGAATGAATTTACACACTAAAGCCATGTTTCAGTCAAGTGGCAGTTTATTGTAATGCCAAGAGTATCAGGCAAAGTTCTTTTGGGGAACTTTCAACTTAATGGAGGTGAATCTAAAGCTTATATAGAAAAGGGGCAGGGATAGGAATAATTAGGTAATGCAAGAGGTCCAGATTTCTCGGGAGCAGGCATTGGTGATCTATGGATGGGAAAATGTAGGGAGTTTTACAGTTGATGTCAGACATTGAAGGAGAAGATGCAAGTTTTTTTGTTTAGCTGCTAGAGCCATGGACCTTGGGGATCTGGTGCCAAAAGGGTCCTTGGGCCACCCAGGGACAAAAATCCTTGGGCCAGGCACCCCTGCGTCTGTTCTGATAAGAGAATGTGTTCTGCAGCAAGAGAAAATTTTCTCACAGCAGGGGCCTACTGAGAAACTGGGAGGCTTCCAGAGACATGGTCTTAGGGCTGGGGCCTGAGCACCCCATCATTTGGATCTCTAGCTCCTATTATATTGCCTGATACATACTAAGCAATAAAAAAATTCTTGTTGATTGATAGATTGACTTATTGATGACTTGAACAGCATCAGAAAGTTTCCCCCTGCTTCAGCACATAAAATTCTTACCATTAGGGTCACTTCTTTATTTTATAGTATTATTTCTACATTGCTACTGTTAAAATGCATTCATTACCTAGGAAGTGAGAATAGACAAAGGTCAAATTCTTCTTGCTTGTTAATATTCATGGCTTTTTTTTAACCACTTTGTGCTTGTGAAAAGGTTAGATGCTTGTTTAGGATTGGGATGAGATTGGAGGGAGTTGCAGTCAAGGCATGGCAAGGCACCTGAGGGGTGAGCAATAAAGCTCTGGAAAGAGAATGAGGTTGCTGCAGGAAAACCTTGCTGACTTTACAGTTTTGTCAAGGGATAACTCTATATATGGCATTGTAAATGAGTAAAATTTGCTGCCTTATAGTGGCTAAATTTAATACTATGAAATTACAAAGAAGTATTCATTTTAGAAGTTTGCAAGTAGTTTTATGAATATTCTTTTGATATTCAGATGTTTTTATTAATAACTATACTGTATTAATTTTTAACTTTAATGTAAATGAGGTAGTTCCTTGTATGTAGGCACTCCTTAAATATTTGTGGATAATTTATTTCTCAAATAATAGAAAAAGCCAAATAATAGAACAAGAAATATTTTTAAAGTATTTTTTTATTGTTTCTTTTTCCAGTCCACTCTGATGACAAGGGAACAGATACAGAAAGAATATGATGCCCTAGTTAAAAGCTCAGAGCAACTCCTCAGTGCATTACAGAAAAAGAAGCAACAGGAAGAGGAAGCAGAAAGACTAAGAAAAATTCAGGAAGAAATGGAAAAAGAAAGAAAAAGACGTGAAGAGGATGAGAAACGCCGAAAAAAGGATGAAGAAGAAAGGCGGATGTGAGTGATCTTAACCATTATATCTTGACTTAGAGATTAGAGGAGTAAATAGTTGGTATTGATTAAGCTTCATTAATATTCTTTTTAAAAGCTCATATTGTTTTGTTGAACAGTTTCTAGAATTAGAGAGTAAACTTCTCTTCTCTGCATGTTACAGGTTTTAGATGGTAAATATTTGTCGATTTTTATTTCAGTCAAGATGTTCCTAGTGTGTATCTATCCAAAATCAGTTTCATTTTTTGGAAATTGCATTTAACTAGTATGATAAAGGAACCATACAATTCTCCATAACTTCTGTTCTTCAGCACTTAAAACTGTACATTTTTTTCACTGCATATTTAAACTCCCCCCCCCCCCCCCTTTTCTAGGAAATTGGAAATGGAGGCAAAGAGAAAACAAGAAGAAGAGGAGAGAAAGAAGAGAGAAGATGATGAAAAACGTATACAGGTATGGGAGAAATGGACTAGGTGTGCTTGAATGGCAAACACATGGATGTGTTCACATGCTAGGATTTATCACTCATGTTTCCTAGTATTCACAATGCTAATTCCCTGTTGTATTTTCAGGCAGAACTACTTTAGGAAGGTGTGTACTAGTTTGTGTGCATGTGCTCGCTTGTTGAGACAGGTCAGTTTACTGGAATAGACAAAAAACAAGAAGCTCCTTGTGCGAAAACATCTCGCATTTGTTTTTCACCATCTTTCTAGCTATAGTTGTAGGATCAGAGTTCTCATATTTGGAAGGGATTTTTGGACGCCATCTATTTCAACCATACCTATATCATGTTTCCCACGTATGTTCGTCAAGGGTCTGCTTGCATATTTTGAGTATCAGGGAATTCATTATGGTTAGCTCTAATTCCACTTTTAGACACATTTAATTTTTAAGAAGTTTTTTCTTGTATTGAGTTGAAATATTATTATATTTTTTAGCTTCTATCCATTGACCTTCTGTGGCTAAGCAGAATAAATGTATTCTCTCAACATAGCAACCTTTTAAATATTTGAAACCCAGCAGTCATGTTTACTTAAATCTTCTTTACTCTTAGGGTAAACGTCCCTGCAATCCAAAGTTCCTTTAATCAGACTTCCTGTCACATGGTTTCAAAGTGCCTCACCATTCCAAACTGTCCACAATAGTTTTAAGAATTAATTTTGTAGGATACTTTACTTAGGGAAGAGAAGTTCTGGCAGAGTAGCATGAATACTTTGATTGCTAGGGAGGCAATGGAAAGCAAGGTTGGAGTAGGACAGAGAAAAACTTTTATCTACTTGGCAGTTTTGAGGACTCAACTGTTCTCCCTTTGGTGAAGAGTATAAGATATAGACTAGCAATTTGCCATTGCTGGAATAATCACTAGTCAAATTAGTATATTCATATGACCCTTATCCAAAACACTCTGGCACAATCTCCAAACCTTAATCCATGTTTTCTCATGCCAGTTTCCCCCTGACATTTCCCTAATTTGTTCCTCTGTTACCCTGATTGCAGCTGATTTCTTATTACCGTTTGCCTTTCTACTAAATTATGCTTGCCCCATACATGAGAAGATTACATTTCTAGAGCGCTTTACATCTTTGACTCCTTTTCAACTCCCACTGTTAAGGGCTCCTGGCATGTAATTCTGTTATTCCAGATATTCTTCCTTTCCTGATGCCATAGTTTGCACTTGGTCAGAGACCTGAGCCAGATGTGAGCTTTATTGTCCAAATGTGTGGTGCTCTGTGCCTGTCTGCAAATGGGCAAATTTCAATATATGGGTTCTACCATAAACATTTTAAGCTACATTTTAAAGAATGTAATCAAAAATAAATGAGTATCTTTTAAAAATTAAATAAATTTGATATTGATAAATTTGATAAATTATAAATTTGTTGTTGTATAACATTCCTCTCTTGGAGATTGTAGTACTTTGCACAAATTCAGAACAGGAACTTCAGCTCTTTTTATCTTAACATATATGTTGATTAGAAAGCTTGTAGTAGTAATTACTGGTAGTGTTTCATGGAATAGACAAGAATTTTAGCAATAGAAATTTTCTAATTTGTCTAATCTGTTGCAGTAGCTTCCAGTTCATCTTCTTGCTTCTGGTCTCTCCCTTCTCGCATGCAACATCAACATAATCTCCAATTTGATATGCCTAAGATACAGATCAAAATATCTCACTCATTGTTAAGAAATCTTCAGTGGCTTCCTTTTGTCCAAAAGAGAAAATATGAACTCCTGGTGCTGGAATTTAAAACCCTCCACATTATGGGTCCCACTTAGCTTTTGGGCCATATTTTGTAGTACTTCCTTTGAGGCTTTCTCCATTTTAGGGAGATGATCTTTTTAGTTCTTACCTGTACATCAGTGGTGTCAGACTCAAATAGAAGCAGATCCCTGTGGGCTGCATATTGATTTAGAAAACCATAAATCAACATTATCTGTGTTGTATTGTTTTTATTTATTTCTTAAACATTTCCCAATTACATATTAATTTGGTTTTGTCTACACGAGTTTGACCTCTTTGCTGTACATGGCATTCTTTTTCTCATCTCAGTATCTTTGCACAGACTGTATTCCATATACATCTGCTTCTTATAATCCTTATTTTCTTTCAAAGCATACCTTAGCTTTATTAGTCCTTTTATGATTTCGGTCATTGTTCATATTCTCTGTCAGGAAATTATTTTGTATGTATTTCTATCTAATTGTCTGTGGACATTCTGCTTCTCTCCAATAGAAACAATATTCTTTGAATGGAGGGACTATTGCTTTTTTTGACTTTGTATGCCTAGTGCCTATAACATATGTTTAATAATTGCTTGTTAGAGTAGATTGAATTATTTGTTGACTTTAAGAAATTTTTAACATCACCTAGTCCTATCCCCTCATTTATGGATGATGAAACTGAGATTCACAAAGGTTAGAACTGTTCAAAATTACATACAAATTTCTGGCAAAGGCAGGACTAAACTAGCAGCTCAGTACTTTTTCTGCTTCCTTTTCGTAATAATATCTTGATATTCCTCCAAGTAAAGATGCAACAATTAATTTGAGAATATGTGTAATTTGATGTGGGAAGAAACCAGTCATTGCCTGTATAAAATCCCTGTTGAGGTTTACTAACATAGATGCCTAACTCTTTGCTAGATTAAAATTAAGATAAGAAATGGTCTCTGCCGTTTTGGAGCGTATGTTCCAGAAGGGAGATAAATATGTCTACATTGGCAAACTGTTTTTCAAACTACAGTAGTATAGTGTGGTTACTTTTTTGTGCATTAATTTGTTCAACAAACATTTCTTAAATGCCTGCTTTGTACAGTGTGGTGTTCTCCTCAAGCTTACAATCCAGGAGGGTAACCTACCTAGATAAATAGAAGTGCAAAGAACAATGTGATAAGTACGTGAGAAGTAGAAAGTGTGATGAAATCAAGTGGCACATTACATAAGCATGAAAGTGCAGTCTTAATATTTTAGAATTTTGTAGATGTCACATAAATCAGAACATTGATTAGAAATGCCCATTTTAGTTTTATTTGTATTTCTCTTTCTAAATGTTGTAAATCAGTTTTCTTCATTGCAGATTGTTTTAAAATTTAACAGAATATGACACTGACAGTACTAGTTGCCCCTCTTAGAAAACAAAAAAGTGGTCTCAATAAAATTATTGATTTGATTTTTTCATGTCAAAATTATAAGAATGATAGTTCATGCTTCACACAGTTCTTCCTTGGACTTAGGTCTTTTATAAAAACTGATTAAGTCTTTGACTTCTGAAAACAATACCATTAACTTATTATTATGTAATATTTTATGAGACAGCTGAGGTCTCAGTGCTATTTGCTTTTCTCTCCAATTGAAGAAGCAATCAAGCTTTGTTTCTATATTTTAGTTATGTATTAACAACATGTAATCTAGGATGTACTTGTTTAGTGGATAAAAAAGTGAAAGAGAATTGAAAAATTTGTTTCTGCATTCCAGGCTGAAGTGGAGGAACAACTAGCCAGACAGCGTGAAGTAGAAACTCAACAGCAGGCAGTGCTTGAACAAGAACGCCGTGACCGTGAGCTTGCTATGAGGATTGTTCAGAATGAGGCAGAACTCATCAGTGACGAAGCACAGCTCGATTTAGGATTACGCAGGTACTCTGGTTGGGTTTTGTTTAATGTAAATAAATCTCTCTTATCATTTTCTCTTTTCTTTCTCATGAAAAAAAAAAAGCCTTACTGATTCCTTCTCTTTAACCCGTTTAAAAATGAACTTTTCCATTTATAAGCAGCATATCCTATACGCAGAATAAAACTTTTTTTCCTAACAAGTTACTTAATTGTGAAAAAATGTTATTTCAGAATTGTTTTAGTTAATATGTCATTTTTTGCAGCGAACCTCTCATGTTTTTAATAGTAAATTTTTCTAGAATATATGCTGCATTTTATGGAAATGCAACTTAAGGAAAAAGTATTATTTCTGAATATATTGCATTAAACTCTGGCATGGAAATCAGACACCATAAGCCATTATGTATTTTACAGCTTTGATGCTGGGATTTGAATTTTCCCCAGTTCATGGTGTTCATATGTGCCCTTTCACGTAAAATAAAAAGGAAGCTGTTTTCCAGTTTTATAGTATAAATATTTGTTGAATTGAAACATTTAACCCTCTTTTTTGAAGCTGCTAACTTTTTTTGTGGGGGGGGAAAGAAGTTAATATGTACATTCTTAATAGAAGGGTTTTAGGGCTTTTTTTCCCTTTTTTAAAAAATTTACAGCATTTTTTTTAAAGACACCTAGAAATTATAGCATTTTGGAATTTTTAGGGGTGTGGTGTGGTGGTGTCAGAAGTATGAAATGATCCATTTCATAAGCATATGACCCTCACCATCTTTCAGTATGTATAAATACAAATATAATAATGCATATATGTGATATATGTTAAACATAGTTGGTTATGTTACACATACTATATAGCACTGCTTCCCAGGATTTCAGAAGTCTTTAAAAATTTTTATTTTTTAACAAAAATTTTCAAAACAGAACCACAAGATGGCATCATTTCCCTATGTCTTAAGAACCCTTTAAAAATAGAACTTGTATTCAAAATAAGACATCCTTCTAGCTCCACCTTTTCAGACTAATAGCCAGATTTTTCCCTCAGTTGAATATTATGAAAGGAAAGCATAGAATGCCTTTGATTTGGTTCCTGATTTGAAGTTAAGGCTTTCTTAATAGATGGGGATTACAAGTTTCCTGGTTATTATAGTTGTCACCAGGATTTTGAAATTAAATTAACTTTTTTTAACCTTGCCATAGGCTTTAGTGGGTGAATTCATCTGCTGGCATTAGTCCCATTGCCATGTAGTCTTACCATATCAATCCTTGGGCTTTGCACATGTGCCATGACAAATTGTGAGAAGTCTTGAGTCAGGTTTTGAAAGGGTTGAGCATCTGAGCAGGTAGGGTGATGATAGGGAAGAAACTGATTTATAATTCTAGGTCATTCCCAGAGGTTTGATTAACAGATATATTATATCTATAACAAATATGGCCAGTTATCACCTGCTCAGGGTAAGAAAAGAGACATGAGATTGTATTTTTTCTAAACCTATACATACAACTACAGAGGTGAATTTAGTTCCATTTTATCTGATTGTGAAGGACAAATTATTGCATATCTGTACTAAAAACTTTTTGTGAGTCTAAGCTCCTATAGGGAAAAAATTGTACTATTTTCTTTTTATTCTCCCTTAAGTGTAGAGAGTTATTTAGAGTCTTTCAGAGTCAAATGAAGTTTCAGACTTTTGGTATACTGAAATGTGCAATTATTTTTGACTTGAGATACTCAGAAAAGCAGTAAACCCCATTAGGAGGAAATTCAGATTTAGGCTTTGGTACCTTTGAATGGCAGCCGAGTTTGTTACCTTTGAGAAAGGGAGTTCATTTTTTCCTTAACTTAGGTCAGAAAGAATAGTTGGGATAATCTCAGTTCCTTTCCCCCCCATTTTCTGTATTTTCCTTTCTTCCTTTCCCTCTCTATATTTTATTTATGCTCTTGCCCCTTTCTCCTCCATGGAGCCTTTGTTAAATACTTCAGTCTTTGTGGAACTTTGTAGCAATTATATTCAGTACCACACAATTTAGTGCCTAATTATACTCTGTTTTGATTTGGTCATGTCCTTGACTGAATGCTTTTCATAACTTTGTATGGTTATGGAATAGCCAAATGCTAGCCCTTAAGAGCTATTGAAATAAATAAATGCAATATAATGTACAATATGATGATGTTCTATATACCTCTTGAAGAATATATTTGTTAATGTATTTGTATATGTGGAGTGAAAAAATTCTTTTTCATAGATTGGATTCCTATTCCGTAACTGTTTAGACTCATTTGTCGACATTTGTGATATCATTAAAATGTAGAATTGAATCAGTTGAGTTTATGATCCTGAGGAATAAAATCAAATTGCCTAAAATAACAAAATTAACTTCTATATTGTAATAGAACAGAGTGCCAGCTCGTAGCAAAATATGAATTTACCAATGTAGATAAAGTTTCTTACCTCCTTTTCATTCTATTGAATAAAATTTTCTTAATTTATTTTTTTCTGATTATGGTTAGTCCTTTGAAGATTTGAAATGAATGAGTGAATACAGGGAAATTTGCCCTAGTCTCTATATGAAATGAAGATAATGGAATAAAAATAGGAGGAGCTAAAATATACTTATTTTGATCATTTAAATTAAGGGAAAATTTAAACCTACATAAATAAAAACATTTTGACAGCTTATGAATGAAAGCTTAAATGACAGTATTATTTTAATTTTTAACACTAAATGGACCAGGTGCATAATTGAAGCAAAAATATAATTTTACTATGAAATAAAAAATTTTCATTCTACTAACTTTTTTCTTTACCATATGGATACAAAGATGTGCTGCTCAGTTTACATAGCTTTGTCGTCCTGGGTATTCTTAAATTCTGATCCTCTTAAGTGATAACTTCTAGAGTTTGGCATTAGAAGATTTTAATTATTTTCATGAAAGCAGACCATTTTTCCCCTTAAATTGAAATGGATTTTCAAGTTAGTATAATGTAATAGCATCAGTTTTAAGTTACTGAAGGTCAGTTTTTTAATATATGACAATTCAGACTATGTATAGTATATGTTAAAGTATTGTCAATCTGAAGCTAAATCTCAGAAACTGCTTTTCCTATATATTAATGAATGCATATTTTCTTACGAAAATCCTCACATTGGCAAAAGGATCAAAGTAAGGTTATTATAACCACATCATCTTTCAATAATCATTTGAATATATGCATACATTTTCAGTCATGAAAAGCTCCCAAACTATGAGTTTCACAGTTTCCATTTGAGTACGAATTAATTTTTATATCTAAAATCTAAGTGAAAAATTCTGACTATGTATATGTATGAAGAGAATGCATGTAACTTAGTGAAGGAAAGAACATCAGTTTTCAGCAAGCATATTTGTTAGATTTGTTGAATATATCTTCCTACTATGTGGAAATTAAATAAATGTTGTTTAATGATGGCTATTTAAACATTAAACAAGTTATTTTAAAAGATTGAGCACACTTTCTCCAAACTCTAAATTAAGAAGTTATTAACTTTCGTTCTGCATATTGACATCAATTATTTCAAGACCAAAAATTAGAATTAGCATTATTTTACTTAAAATTTATTTCCTTAATAAATTATTTACTAAATGATATATATATGTGGATTTTAATACTAACATATGTGTGTCTGCGAGGAAACAAATTTAAAACATTATTTCTGTTACTGAGTTTTCAACTCTTCAGTTTTATAAATACAATAAATCATTGAATAATTTTTATGGGGGATGAAGGGAAAATTTAGGTCTAATCCTCATGATGAAATAGTTGAACAATATCTCAAACCAGGGTTGGAGAATTAGGAGTAAGGTTAGAGAGGTCATCATCACAGGTAAGGTATCTGAATGCACACAGTAGATCACTATTTATTCAGATAGGCATCAGGTAATTGTCATCCAAACAGTTCCATCTTTTAGTAAAAGAAGTTGAAGTCTAGTAAATTTGTTCAGGTTAAGGAAAAATGTGGAGAGTTCTAGAAGTTCAGAAAAAAAGCTGTCATGGACTATGAAGCAAACTGATTAGTAGTATGTTCTAGAAGAAAAAAACAATTTAATAAAACCATACATAAGATTTGGGAATGAAAAAAGCCAAAGAAACTATTTTTAGATGAAGCATTATTTGTTTAAATGTCTATTTCTTTTAGCTCTGTATGTTTTGCTTAATGCTCATTTTACTTACCGAAGTTATTGGAACTTATTCTTGTAAAAAGGGTTGGCTTATAAATCTATGATTATTTTTAGGCGGTTTTGATGGGCTTCTGTCCCCACCTCAAGACCGCTTTTTATGGGGAGGAGTAGAACAGGAGACATTCTACCCTCTTGAGATACACTGTGGAAGTTGAATCACTTAACTGATAGTAGTTATCCAACAAACTCTACCTGTGCCCTCGGAAAAACTTCAGTCATTAAAAAGCAATGATTCTTAGATTAATTAAGCTAAATTATGAAGGAAAACTTAATTTTGAAAGTTGACATCAGTTTTGAAAACCAAAAGCTAGAATTAATGTTATTTTTACTTGCAAACTGTTTACTTAATAAGTAAAATTATTTACATCTGAGGTTAATATGGGTGTTAATGTTAGTTAATGCAAAGAATTTTACATATATATGCGTATATCTATGAAAGAAATTTAGATATTTTCAGTTACTGAGTTACTATATATTATTATGTGAGTTCATATAGTAAATATGAAATATAAGTAGTCTGAAAGCTGGATGAAAAGAACATTCCAGGGCAGGAAAATGGAAAATGAACAAGTGAGCTCTTTCCTTTGAGTAAACAGCTAAATTCTCATCCCTCTTTCGAAAATTGAATATTATACCAAATTGGAAAGAAATTAATCTTTGTAAAGAGCCATTTTACTTTTATACTTCGATGGATCTATGATCCTTCCAAGGGACGCATTTAGTGGAACATTTTTAGTCCTTATAAAATATTCTTGCAAGGTCAAAATCATTCATTTCTTTATAGATACTACTTATTAGATTATTTCCTTTTTAGAGTATTTTATTTAGAACTACAGTATTTTCATTAAAATCTTACTTTTATTTTAATCTCTGCATTGTGAAATACATTAACTTGCCGTATTTATATTCTGACTATTTAATATTAAGGATTAAATGTTCAGTAGGCAAAGTGTACAATTCATGTACATGTTGATAATCTTGTCTGTTAGAGCTTCCATTTTGAAGAATGATCTGTGTATACTGTGCACATCTCATTCAAAAGCAAAGACAGAATTTCATCTAAAAGATATTTATAGAAAAAATATATGATTATATTTAGTGATAGGTATAAGATGTACTCTACTAACTTTAAAGAATTTTTAAAAGAACTTTTGCTATGTGTTAATGAGTTGTGTAACAGCAATGTTTAAGAGCTTATGTACTTTTAGAGAGGGTAAAAATTGTTATTTGATTTCATGGAAAAGTGAAATCAGCAAACTTGTTTCAACTATTAAAATTAAGATGTTATATGGCTTTTTTGGATTTAAAAAGGTAATTTAAAATATAGTGTTTCTTTTACTCATTTTTGCTATATCAATGATTTTCTTGTAGAGAACAAATGGCCAAAGAAATGTCAGAAATTTTGGCTAGGTTAGTGCAGTAGAACTCCTAGAATAATGATTAGTTCAATGAAATCAATTTGTCAAATTATTTTTTTGATTTATGAGGCCAGAGCTTTGTCATGTGACTAACCTATTCCTTGTGTTTAAACTGTCCATTCTGAGATATAGTCAACCACTATCTTCAATACCTTAGGAATTTTTTTATGCAAATTGCTTTTAAAATACTTAAATATTGTTCCATCCCTTGAATTTAATTTCCCAACCAAAGGAAGTAGCTTTCTCACATGGCAGAATCTGGCCCTTCATATTTATCTAAATATAAGCTAATAATATTTTAATTGTCAGTTTAAAAATTATAAAGTAAAATGCATACATATATAGTAGGAAATATGAAATTAGTAATTAGCATGATTTCTATCATACGTCAATCTTGTAATTACTTTACTTTGACATTTACACCGTTATATTTATTGAATTTAAACCATCTGTAAGTTTTACCTCAGATGAAAGTTCAGTAGTTTTCATTCTCCAGCAGTTGCTTTAGCCAATGTTAGAAATTATAATGGTTTGTAAATAAAGCATTTTCTTTTATAATTATTTTGTAGAACACATTCCCTGTTAAGATTTACATTATAATATTAAATTCACAGTTAATATAATGCTTCATGGTTTACAGACCATATTTTCACAGCAACCTGTGAATTATGGATATTATTGTCTCCAGTTTGGGAAATGGAGGCAGAAAGAGATTAAGTCACTTCCACATGGGCACACAACTTATAAGTAGGTTCAAAGTTTTGAACCTAGGTCTTTGACTCCCCAGTCCATGCCTCTTGCCTGACTTACAGACTCTTACATCCAAAAATCCTTTTTAATTTTTACTTGCGAAGATTTGCTCAAACAACATATTGACGTATTTGTAAGTAATTTGACTTCTATTAACAGTGGCTGATAATTACTGAATCCAATCTTTCTAAGAAGTAAAAATAATTACAAATTATGATAGCAGTTTTTCTTATTTCTATAATAATTGTGATTGTTAATAATAATAATAATAATAATAATAACAATAGCTAACATTTATGTATCACCTACTATGTGCAAGGCACTAATTAATACTCACTTTTTTGCTGGTATAGAAAACATTTCTTGTTCTAATGTATAAAAATATGATTACAGAGGTCCTGCAGTCCAGGCCACTAAAGCAGCTGCTGGATCAAAGAAATATGATCTTAGTAAATGGAAATATGCAGAACTCCGTGATACCATCAATACCTCTTGTGGTAAGTTTGTACAAAGAAGGAGTATATCTATCTATCTATCTATCTATCTATCTATCTATCTATCTATCTATCTATCTATCTATCT